ATTATTTCCCCCAAGAGTTAAATGATAACTAATCAGAGGCAGCTATAGGAGAGCTATGAGATTCAGGTGAGGGTCAGATGACTTGTCAATCCCAGCAGGTATCTAAGAGGACGACCCGGCCTGCCCAGGCCGCAGTAGGGTCTTAGGAAGCCAGGAAAAAATTGTTGGGGAGCTAGATTAGGCTTTCGACCTGAGAATTAATCACCTTTGCCCTAAGGTCAGTTGCAGACTCAGTTTCAGTTGTGGAATACTACACAATTTGGCTTCACTTTACACTTAGATGGTACACCATCCAAAATTAATCCCTTGCTTTGCTAATATAAAAAACTGTCATTTTCCTCTTCTGCTATCTGCCTAACTAGGAACCTGTGTGTGTTTCCTATATTGTATGGGACATATCTGGATTACAAACCAAAAATGGGGAGTAACTCTTGCTTCTGTATCCCAGAATCCTTGGTGTGTGTACCCTGCTATATGCAACACCTAGCAGAGACTTTATTTAGCTGATCTCCAGATTAGAACTAAGCCAGCTTTTGCCAATTTGGCACACTCCAGATGTTTTGGACTACAGCTGGCTGGAGCTGATGGGAGTTGTAGCCCAAAATTTCTGGAGGGCACCAGGTTAGCAAAGAGTGAAATAAGGCCCCATCTGCACTAGACATTTAAAGCACCATCATACCACTTTAAACAGTCTTGACTTCCCCCAAAGCATCCTGGGAACTGTAGTTTATTACAGTTGTTAGGAGACCCTCTATTCCCCTAAGAGAGCTACACTTTGCAGAGTTCCTTGGGAAGAGGGATTGATTGGTAAACCCTATGGAAATTGTTCCATATCCTGAACTGATTTTTTTGTTTCAGACATACTACGTAAAGGACACTAGAGGGCAATAGCAGGACATGTTTAGCTAGCAACTTCCCTCTTTGGAGAATAAATGGTGAAACTGTAGTGGCAGCCTTCATTTCCTTTGTGGCAGCTGTTCTAATCTAGACACGTAGGCAATATGTATCCTTCCCAAGCTTCGCTTGTTTTCAAACCTGATGTTCCCTTGGGTGTGTTTTATACTGCAGCATTCTAGGAGCATTTGGGGATTATATAAAACAGTGAACATGTAATTGCCCCAAAGCTTGTGATGGCAATTTTAATGCAATTTTATTTTGCAATCATTTTTCGTTGTGGTTCTCAAAATGGGAAGTAGGCCTCCAAAAAGAGGAAGAGGGAGGTTACCTGGGTAGGCGCAGGCTTCTCTTTCATTCAGACTTAGCTTAGGCTTTGCATGGTTGGACCAGAAGAGAGAGTAAAGGGACCCCTGACCATTAGGTCCAGTCGTGGCTGACTCTGGGGTTGCGGCGCTCATCTCGCTTTATTGGCCGAGGGAGCCAGCGTACAGCTTCTGGGTCATGTGGCCAGCATGACTAAGCCGCTTCTGGTGAACCAGAGCAGTGCACGGAAATGCTGTTTACCTTCCTGCTGGAGCGGTACCTATTTATCTACTTGCACTTTGACATGCTTTTGAACTGCTAGGTTGGCAGGAGCAGGGACCGAGCAACGGGAGCTCACCCCGTGGCAGGGATTCAAACCGCCGACCTTCTGATCAGCAAGTCCTAGGCTCTGTGGTTTAACACACAGCGCGGCTGACCCGCGTCCCTTTGAAGAAAGAGTACCTCTGCCTAAAACACAGATTAACCTCGCAAAGCTGCAAATCCTCATTCTGCCCCATGTAAGACTGGGGTGCAACTGAAAGGGCCAGGATGTTTGCAGGTGGGAGAAAGCAAAGCAGATGGGCTATGACCAACTGTCTTTTGGACAGAAGTTCCTTGGTGCAATGAGCTCTTGGTGCAATGAGTTCGTTCCCTTGAGATGAAGGTGGCTGACCTGCAAAGGTGAGCAAAAGCAGGGAGGTTGGTGGATGAGGTGTTTGGGGCCGTTGTGTCTCACCAACAGGCAGATAGGTCCTCTACTGTCATGGAGAAGGAGGGTCTCGTAGAAAGAAAATGTCCCTCTGAGGAAGAAGGAAATGATCCCTTAGTTGCAGGGCTGGCCCACCAATGAGGCAGGGTGAGGTAGCTGCCTCAGGCAGCACCCGACAAAAGCAGCACTGAAGAGGAAGAGGAAGCAGTGGCTTCTCTTCCACCCCCAGAAGTGCTGCACCAATGTGTGAATGTATGCAAGGCTTGTATTTGCATATTATGGATGTAGGAAGTTAGTAGCCAAAGCTAGGGCCAGAATAATGCACTTCTGGCTACCAGCTGAGTATTATACGTGCAAATCACGAAAATGTCAAAGTCTGAAAACCATCCAAGATATACAACTTCACATAGTCTAGATGGAGCAGGCAGGGCTAACACGGCTAAGTGGGACTATTCATATCTGCATAATCCCATCTTTATGGGGAAAGACCCATCAGATTTGGGATATTCATCAAGCATACCGGATAGCTCAGTTGGTTAGAGCATGGTGCTGATAATGCCAAGGTTGCAGATCCCCATAGGGGACAGCTGCATCTCCTTGCATTACAGGGGGTTGGGCTAGATGACCCTCAGTGTCCCTTCCAACTCTACAGTTCTATGATATAACTCTTAATAAGCTGCACTGGTGAGACAACTCGCAATGCTGATGGCATCTATTTCGCACCCTCTTCAATTATTTCACAGGCTCTCTTTGTCTTCACAAAGACCCAGGATGAATGCAAGGATTTGTTCTTTCAGACTGGTTCTGTTTATGTTGTTGTCTGCAGATCCACACTCTAAGGCACACTCAGGAACAGATTTGGCAAGAACACAAAAAACAATCCATGTCTTAATGGATTGAGAATTAAAAGTAAGTCTCATTGATATCAATGGTGCTCTTCAAGCCCAGGGGCTAAATGTGGCCTTCTGATCTTCCCTATCTGGCCCTTAGGACTCCCCCAGGACACACCCCTCACTGACCCTGCTGGTTGGAATATGTTTTTGAATTCTGTTAGCATTTCTTGCTTGCCTAAATTGAGTATGGAGTGGTATGTTTGTTTGGAAATTGGCTTTTGGGTGGCTGAAAAGTAGCCCACTATAGAAGGGGGGGTTTTACATTAATTGCTCCACCCATTTTGTCTCTGGCCCCTCCCATCACTGGCGGGCAATGCCTTGGAAGGATGTCCACAAGTGAATGTGGTCCTTGGGCAGAAAAAGGTTTCCATCCCCAGAAGTATAGGATTGCTGCTTAGGTTTATTTTATTTTTTTGCTGAAGCCTGAGCTATTTCAGAGGTATTGTTTTGCTCTGCTTTCTGTTTTCAGTATAACTGAATAATTTTAGGTGACTCAGACTCATGGAGATGCGGAAGAAAATCATTTCACTGAGCGATTCATATTGCTTTGTATCCTGTTTTGTAATGCTGTCTGACTTCATCATGATAACCTGTGTGCACTGTATACAGCTGGCATCCCCACCGCACAGACACCCTTCTGGGTGCTCACCAAGGCCCCTTGCCCCTCTTTCTTTATTGATTTACTGTATTTAGTTTTAGGTTTGCCTAAGGGGACTGCTTGTTTGTATAGGGGTGCTTTCTTGTATTTTATTTGTTTTGGGGGAGCATATAGCTGTTTTTCTGGTGTGGTGGAATAATTCTGAGAATCACTGGTCTTTCTTCAGTAAAATGGACACTTATCGGTGTCCAAGACAGATTTCAAATGTGTCCCCATAGATTCAAAAAGTTTGAGGATCCCTGGTACATAGTATTGTAGTGGAGACATGTGACATCATATGAATGATTGATTATTAATAAGTAAATAAAAACATTCATATGCATGCCATTAATAAAAGATTGGGCAACAGCTCTTAAAGCATTTATTAGAGAGTTATTTCAAGCCACTACCAGCTTCATCTGAAATATGGAAATTATGAAATACAGTATAGACTGGCTGTAAGCGCACCAATTTAAAATATTAATAGTGATAAGCATGATATCATCCTCAAGTCTCAGCCCTTCCTGACTGCCTGAAATAGAAAGATTCAGCCAGAGTTTCTCCACCACCTCCTTTTTTAAAAAAGAGGGACAATAGCTGTGAATTACGCGGGTGGCGCTGTGGGTTAAACCACAAAGCCTAGGACTTGCTGATCAGAAGGTCGGCAGTTTGAATCCCTGCAACAGGGTGAGTTCCCGTTGCTCGGTCCCTGCTCCTGCCATCCTAGCAGTTCAAAAGCACGTCAAAGTGCAAGTAGATAAATAGGTACCGCTCCGGCAGGAAGGTAAACAGCGTTTCCGTGCGCTGCTCTGGTTCGCCAGAAGCAGCTTAGTCATGCTGGCCACATGACCCGGAAGCTGTACGCCGGCTCCCTCGGCCAATAAAGCGAGATGAGCGCCGCAACCCCAGAGTCAGTCACGACTGGACCTAATGGTCAGGGGTCCCTTTACCTATATTTGTATTTGCATTTTAAAAGTTAACAACCAGAAAACATTTTTCACACACACTAATTCTTGAGTTTGAAAGAGAGTGAACCTCTCTGCCTTTAATTATTGGGGTGGAAGTGGAGACATATTGCTGGCAAATCATTGCAGTGAAAAAATGAAGGGATTTCAGAACGTTTTCCTATGAACAACCCTGCTGTTTTTACCCTGAAACACGTGCGCCTCCGGCCAAGGAAATACCAGTTGGTATTGTCTTTCTCATGCTACAGTCCTTTATTCCAAGGATGAGAAACCTGTGCCCACCCCCCACCCCGATCCTGATGGGACTCCATCAGGTCCAGCCCTTATGGCCAATAGTCATAAGGTTTGTAAGATAGTCTACAATACATGGAAGGTGTGATGCCCTGAGAGCTGTCAGCACCCACAAACTACAGTTCCCAAGATTCTTTTCGGAAACTAAGTGGCATAATACAGTACTCCTTTGGATCTATGATGGGGGCCTTAGTCAGTCTCCCCGCGCGCCCCTTAGTGGGAGATGGAGACGCGTCCTTTGACTACATTTCCCAGGGTGCCTTTCAAGCTCTCGTCAGTGGCCCGTGGAGAGGCGGAAGCTGGACGGGTTTCCGGTGCCTCTCTCCCCCCCTCCTCCGCCCAGCTCGTTCTCCTCCCGAGTCCGCGGCCGTTGAGAAGAGCGAGAGGTGCCGCCCGCCTCTCCCGTCCTGTCGCCGCCGCCGCCGCCGCCGCTATGGGCTGTACGCTGAGCGCCGAGGACAAGGCGGCGGCCGAGCGGAGCCGCATGATAGACCGCAACCTGCGCGAAGACGGCGAGAAGGCGTCCAAGGAGGTGAAGCTGCTTCTGCTCGGTAAGGAGAAGCGGGCGAGGAGGGTGCGGCCGGGGCCTGCTCCGCCGGCGGCCCCGGGGTGGGGCGAGGGGCAGAGGCGGGGGCAGCCGGGCCCCGTGAGGAGAGGCCGAGGTGGCGGTTCTCTCTTAACCGGGCGCTCCCCGTTGGTGGCCCGGGCTGGCCCTCCCGTGGCTCCCGGGCACGTCCCGCAGCTTACTCGCGAGCAAGAGGGAGCGAGGCGGCCCAGCCCAAGAGCTCCTCTTGGTCCAGCTGCCGCTTTCTGATCCAAAGGGCTTTCGTATGTTTTATTTTTTTAAGGCCCTAAGTAGTAAAAGTAAAAGTCCTGCAGGCTTAAGGCCAGAATCCCAGGAAGTCAGTCGCGACTAAACTTCGTGGGAGAAGATCCTAGGCCTTCCCCAATTATTATTTTTAAATAGAAACCTTCCGATCAGGTTTAAGGAAGTTTGAAGGATGATGGTTTTGAATGGTTGTGCAGTTGTCCCCCACTCACCCACTTGCAGTAGACCTTGAGGAAGGAGAACGGTCTACCTTTCACATCTCACAAAAAACTCCTTGCTGTTTGTTCCGTGTGTTGATAAGGGTTTGTTCTGCATTTGTGTTTTAAAGATCCCTTTTCCGACCCTCCTCCAGGTTTTTACATTTGCAGAAGTACCTCTCTCAAAAAATGAAATGAGAGAGAAACAGATTCCTAGAACTAGTATGTAGGCAGCATCTGATGCCAAGTGCCTGCCTGCTCCTTTTGCTGCTTCTCTAGAAGCTTGGAGGAAGAAGCCCCTGATACCTTGGACAGCTTGCCCCTTTACCATGAATGTGAGAAAGAGGGTTAGCCTCAAGCTGTTTGTCTTGTACGTATAGGGGACAGTGGAATGGTTTCTCTCTAGCAAAGAGCACAAGTATTACCTGTCTTCTGTTAGTGGCATCTGGCAAGTGTACTTGGTGTTCCTGGTCTTTTTCTAGACCCCCCCCCCTTTTCAGCCAGAACTTTTTCTCCTGAACTTTTTTTTTTTTCTGGCGGTGCATCTGAAGACCTATGTTAGATAACAAGTGGCAGAAGTTGAAATTGCATTGCCTTTTCATTTGTCAGTTTTAAGTCACTGAGGCCAGATGTCATTCACTTCAGTTCTTTATTTCATTAAATTAATGAATGTGGCCATTCATTTATTTAATTTCAGGCTTTTAAAATAAAGCAACCAAGAAAAAGTAACAAATGACCCAGTTCTTAAAGTACAAAATTTTAGATTTTCAAAAACCTAAAATAGAAAACACAGCAGGTGTGATAAACAAGAAATTAAAAATAAGCATTTTATAACTACTGGTAGCTTCCAAACAAAGTTTTCAAAAACTTGGTGATGAAGTTCCTTATCAGTGTTTTCTAAAGAAACAATGCTCATAGGATCAGATAGTGAATGACTGGAGGACAACAAAGCAGAAAGCGGAGGATAAGTTTTCTTAATTGAGAGAATATAAACCTGTTGGGGGGTGTTGACCTAGGAGTAAGTGTTTAGCTTAAAAACAACCATGATGTCTGGGATAAACAGCCATGTTTACAGATAATGGCAGATGATATGGTATAGTAGAGTACAATCCTAACCAATCCATGAAGAGTTTCTAAAGAGTTTGTTGGTTGGACAACTATGCTTTATTTATTACCACATTTTATTGTGTGTTCTATTGTCTTTGTTCTTAAAAAATGTTATTGTTTAATGCACTTTTATAGTTTAAGATCCTAGTTGTACTGACAATGTTGCATTAATTAAAAAAAATAATTTATTCGACTCCAAAGTCATGCATGTTGGGGTGGGTCGGTGGGAGAAACCCTTAATTAGACTGAGGTGGAAAGAAGTATTGGCCTCATTTGCACATAACACTAATTTAGCTTAGCACAAACTTAAGGGCTCCTGGAAAGGAGATTGTAGCTGCTTTGCTCCTCCCCTGTCATTTTCCTGCTGTGCTGCAATTGATTACAGCATATAGTTTATGCGTAGATAACTAAACAAGAAGCCTAGGTTCAGATGGCATGCTAAGTAAACCATGGCTTAGCTTAGTGCAGCAACAAAATGGCAAGGGAGGAGTTTGGCTTAGCATTGCTTGTGAATCAGGCCATTGTGATCAGAGCCCACCAGAAGTCAATTGCAGTGGCAATGAAAATGCAAAATTCTGCATTAGGAAAGGTATTTTTAAAAAATCAGCTACAACTACAGTTAATGCTGTGCACTGTTGTAACCCATCCCATTTCAAAAAGGCAGCTTTAGAACTGGCAAAAACTAGAAAAGGACAATTTAAATTATCACAGTTATGAAATCTTTCCCACGAACACTGGCTTAATGAGAAAGATGGGGGCACAATAAAATTATTCAAAAACTACTAAAACAGGGATCAGAAATTTGTGGCCTTACAGATGTTGTTGGAGTACAACTCCCTTCAGCCCCAGCTAGCATGGTCAACAGTCCAACATCTTCTGGAGGACCACAGGTTGTCCATGCCTCCATTTAAGTTAGAAGAACTATGTCACACGGCCATGTCAGCATGTAGTGTTAAGCCATTAATTTAATGGTTTAGTAAACTATCCTGTGCCCAGCTGCATGCAGACCAGCCACTCCTGCTTTGCTCTGCCCCTTTTTCTAGTGGAGAAAGAAACCATGAAGCATCCGGTTTAGCATTATGCTGAGCCTCTGCTCATGGATTGCTTCACCCCAACAAACTATGATTAGGAAGTCAGCATGATGAACACACACATAACTGAAATACTATGAATATTATGAGGCCTGAACCTGTATTTTCAATTGGGAGAATCATGATTTAAAACCCCCTTTGGGGGGCAATTTTATTACCATTGTGCCTTAGAAGAATTATCAACCTTTCTTTTTCTGCATTCGTTTTTTCTTTCCTTTTTGGCAGCATGGAATTTGGCAGCACACTTTCCGAAAGTTTAGTTACACCAATCTTCATCCCAAGTTTTCTTGTTTATGCTTGTTTGTCTGGTAGATCAGTGGTATACCATTCTACTCAAACGTGAACTCTTCTGAGTTCAATAGGGCTTATTCACAGGTAGGTTTGTATAGAATTGCAGGCTAAAGAATGTAAGTTCACAAACTGGTTCATAGGACCCAAAATGCTTTCATGTTTTTATGCTGTACAGGGCTTGCATGTAACTGTGCATGGAAAAAGTCTTTTAAAAAAAATGCTGAAGGGAAAGGTGTGACTGCCTTGCAATGTATTCAGAAGAAAAGATAGAATTCCTAGTATCTGTAATAGAGCTTTACGCTAAACCACTTTGTTTATGGAGCACTCCTGCATTGATTGGGTTGAATGACTTCATAAATGGCTTTGATTCAATACTATTTTAAAACTAAAATTCCATTTGACAGTATGGCATAGTCTTAATTTGAAGGAGCTAGTCTTGATCAATCTACTTATAGGTTTATTACTGAACTTGGTGGGGTGAGTGTGCATGCACATGTGTGCAAATTCATTTCCTTGTATTACCAAAACAATACAACCAAAGGTTCATGGGTACATTAATTAGTGTCGGTCCACAGATGGTTTATGATTTGCAGAATACTCATTTTGTTTAATAAACATGATGGATTTAAAAGGGATATAAACAAATTCATGTCTACTAGCCATGATGGCTATAAGATGCTTCCAGGATCAGAGGCTCCCGTGTCTTTGAATACTAGTTGCTAAGAAAAAAGATCAAGTGTTCTGTATAGATGGTGCTATTGCCATGAAGGATATAGTAAAGCCTGCAGTGAAGGAATGATGAGCAAGGTAATTAGTTCACTTCACTTGACTGTGTGTTTATAACCACTGAAAATTCACATGCAAAAAGGAAATGGTTTTAGTTGCTGTTTTTAAGAAATCAGTGAACATAAAATGACTGGTGTTTACATAATGAAATATTCCTCATATTCCTCAGTTAGTCATATAGGACTGATACACACATATAATACTAAGCCATTGGCCATTAAACCATGGTTTTAACATTGCGTGTGAACCCTGCCCAGCAGCTTAACTATGGTTTGTTAACTGCCAGCAAGTCACACTATGAAGCCATGATTTGTTGACCTGTTCTAACTTCAGCTTTGCATTGCATACTAACCAAGCACCCTTCCTTTAGTGTGGTTTGTTTGGCAAGTGTCTGAGGTGGGGTGGTCAAAGGCATGAGACAAGAGCAGCTGGAAAACCAAACTTTGGAGAAACAAGTCGTGGTTTCTTTGTCTGTGGGACAACTTGTGGTTAACCCATGGTTTGTCAAGCCATGACTTCGATGTAGGCCAAGCCTTCATTAATTTCATACATTTCTGGATAATAGTAAAGATTTCTTTTTCTGTATCATTTCAATATCCTAACAGTTTTGCACCCAGTCATGTAGGCTTCTTTGAGAAAGGCCCTCTTGCATCGTCTTCATCCTGATTTATTACACTATGCAATACTGTAACATTCACCAGCCTCCAGTTCAAAATGATACTGTATTCTTTTAGGAAGGTTTTTTCTTTATGTTGCTGTTCACAATGCCTGATACCTGTTGTATTTGTGTGTTGGTGGTCTTCAAACAGAGCTCCTCAGATGGAGTAGTAAAGTGTTCTGTACGTCCTTGGTGAGATTTACTTTTTTGTGCCGGGGGGTATTCTGGAAGCAGTTACGTAAACTGTTGAATTGTGTGATCATAATTTCTCTTTCTTTCTCTCCGGTCATACAAAGGTCACTTACTTTTCCACAAACAATACTCTAGTCTGTCTCACAATAAGCGCAATTAGGCAAGTACAAAATTCACTTTCAACCGAAGTGTGAAGAAATTATTTGGCGTTTTACCAACAGTCAGCTACTAATAGATGTCTTTCAAGCTTCTGAAATACATAATACTTAGTTGAGGAGGCAGCATTGTAGACACATTTTCAGTCCTTTGGCATTTGATCCTTAGTAACAGACCAGTTACTAAGGATAACTGCAAAAGATTTCAAGGATAAAGGGAATCTATACAACTGAGAGAATGCTGCTATTACCCCTCCTTTATCCTCCCCACATCTCTCTGCTCCAAACAACACTTCTATTGTTCCATTATTGTTTTGCCTCTAGGAAAAACACTTTAATGAAGGGCCACTCCATTTAGCTGACGTATAGCTCTTGCGTGATTTTCCTATTGCCGTAAATAGCTAAATTTACAGAAGTTGCATTGATCTGTCTACTCAAATAATGTATATTATTTGTCTGGTTCAGTATAACTTTTAGTTCACAAACCAGTTGAACCACAGTACAGTAAATAGGTTCTGTCTCCCTTCACTTCTGTGGAATAATTGTACATAAATGGAATAATTCTGTGAATTTTCAGGCTGCTTCACATTTTATAAAATTAATGAATATACAGTGTGGAGCCCTGTGACGTGTGAGGAATGGATGGCATTTTTTGACTGCAGGCACACACCATTGAGAGCTAGGGGGCATTTGTACCTGATTATTTTTCCTGCCATGGCATAATCCCCACAATCTACACAAATAATAAAAAAGCATGCATATTATAGTCATTGTGCGTACAAGTAGTACACTCAAAATGTACCTGCTATTTTTGTGCTATGGCCTTGAGTAGTAATATTATCTTTGACTGCAACTAAGCTTTCTTAAAAGAAGGGGAACCTAGCTAGGTAAAGCCTCTGTCTAATGTAGCAACGTGAACCTCATCTAATTACTATTTCTATTAACTAAAGCTTTTTCCTCTTTAGAACAAGTTGACTGTAATTTTATTTCTTCTGTTTTGAGGTGGAACTTAAGGGAAAATGCCAGAATCACTCATGATGAAGCCACCTTGCATAATAAAACCCCAACTGCTGTATCTTCTCTGCAAAGTCACTTCCGAAGGAGTGACTGCAGTGAAGAAGCAGCTGCGGGGGGGGGGGGGAGTCCTAACTTTCCACTTTCTGCTGGCTTTCTCTTGCAAAGCCCCACTCTCTGTCCTCCCCTGTCTGGGTCTCTGATCCATGTTTGCAAAATGTGAAGCACTGCTTCTATTGCCCGTTCCTTCTTGGTTGCAGTCATCTCCCTCCTGACTTTGTCTTGCAGGAAAGTAATGATAGCTGGGGTCTTTTTCCACACAGGTGTAATAAATATTTCAGACCTAAGAGAAGTGGTACAGAGCTAAAGAATATTCCAGGTTCCTGGAAATGTAAGAAATCTTACATAGATCTGTACACATAAAAAAAAAAAATCTAATGCTGGGTCATTCATATCTTGAGGCTATTGCCCCATAGTCTGAAATGTATTTGAGCTCTTCTTTGTCAGGTTTTTAAATTGAGGAGCAATCTATACTGAACTTTTTCATAAACAATGCTGCAAATTCATCTTCCTGTAAAATATCCCATCTGTTTAGTCTTTTAAAATATCTAAACCGGTTGTGGGAAAGCTTTGACTCTGTATGTTGCTGAACTATAATCCCATCAGTCCCACCAATCATGGTCAGTGGCCAGGGATGATGGGAGTTGTAGTTCAACAACATCTGGCTGGCCAAGGGTCTCACAAACCTAATCTAAACAAAGCACTTTTGCTCAGTTTGGGTGTCAGTGTATCTTTGGGATCCAATGCCATCTTGTTAAGTCATGAGTAGAATATGTTTGCTTGCTTTGAAAATAGAAGGCCGCATTTTAAAAATAAGAAATTAATGTGAAATGCACTACTGAAGCTATTGTAGTTTTTTCTGTATACTTCATGCTACCCAGTTCACCAGTAATTGTGGTCTTAAGACCCGGATCCTGAAAATTTGGACATTATGCTTACAGTATCCTTCCCTACTATTCTGTTCTGACTTCATTTGGCAGCACAACCCCAGTGTAAAGAAAATCCTGTTCTTCTTGTAGCAGAACTTAAAAGCAGCTTGGTATGTGATCTGCCACCTGAAAGGGAGTTAATATTTTAAACAGTATATTATTTCAACATGATTAGGAGTGGCTCAGAGGCATAGCAATTGAGAATTGGCTCTAAGAAGCAAAAGCAGCTGCTGATGAAATACATGCAATCTTCTCTTCCCATTCCGAGACTTTTATTTGGTTTGCGCAATACACTTTAGAGACAACCTTCTCGTCTTTGGGGAAAAGTAATTGCTAGGGTTATAGCCAAGGGATTTTGAAGTATGTAAACAAGTAGCAACATTCAATTTATAAACACATAAGAAGCTGCCTTGTACTAAGCCAGACTATTGAGCTATCCTACTCAGTATTATCCACCGCGTATGGAAGCAGTTCTCTAGGATTTCGGATAAGTGTCTCTCCCCCCAGTCCTACCTGGAGATGTAGAATTGAATTTAGGACCTTCTGCATGTGAAGCAGTTTGCTCTGCCAATGATTTATGACCCTTCTTTGAAATATTGGGGAATTTGTGTTTCATAGTTCAGTACTAACCATGCAAAAATTAGGTAATTAATTTAGAAACTCAAAACTTCAGTATATGCTGCTGCGGGCTTTGGGCATACATCTGTGTTGCCACATGTACACACAAAAGGAAGTGTGTGCTTAAGTGTTTTATACACATAATTATTTGGTCTTTATGTTTCTGACAGTCTTTGAGAGATCAGTAGTGTTTTGCTTCAGGAAGTATGAGAAACATTTATAAGTAGGTGATGGGTAATCCTGTATACATATGTAGGTATCCCAGTTATTTGTATAAAGAATGCAGATGTTCATTTTGTAAATCTTGACTTCCAATGAGGCTTAAACTGCCAAAGATTACTTGCAGCTGTTGCTAAGAGGCATGGGAATTAAATTATATGTAGTGTACTGGTGCATGGATGCTTCTGGAACAGACGGTAGTTGATATAGAAAAATAGTTAAATTTTGAACTCACTCACCAAGATTCTGCTTTCTCAATTTCCACATCAAATTAAAACAGGTTTGCTTATTTTTGTTTTATAGGTGCTGGAGAATCTGGTAAAAGCACCATTGTGAAACAGATGAAGTAAGTAAAGCGGCGTATCTTTTAGACCGGTACCTAATCCAATTATACTGCAGACATTGCCTGCACGTGGAGGATCTTCGCAGGGTTTGAAAGAGCTCTGCCATGAAGGCAGTGTGAGGGGACATCTGGGGACTTGAAAGTTTGTATGCTGCTCCTTTTCTTGTCACATTGTGCTGTTTGTGCAGATGTCTTATTGGGCGGGGGGCTGTGAGATTACAAAGCTATTGAGTCCTGCCATGATCCTCTCTTGGTGCTTTGCCCATGGTGCTAGTGAAGTATGCTAATGTGCTATTGCACAAGTAGATTGTACTTCTGCTTGTGCAAGGGAGTGGGCTTCCCCGAACTTTTTGCTGGTTCATCCTTCCTGCTGCAGGCCCTGCTCCACATCCCACCTCATTCCAGAGGATTTCCCAATCCCAGGGAACAGTTTTTAAGAGGACAAGGGGACTACAGGGGAAACAAAAGGCAAGAAAGCCCCATTATCTTGGCAGTAGTTAAATTACAACCCAACATGTTTAGGTGGATGTAAGGAATAAAATTTTATTTGTTACTGTTTTGTCCTGCCTTTTCTCAATGAGGGGTTGTATGGTTCTCTTCCCCCTTTCTCATCATTATAACAACTCTGTGAGGTACCGTAGGTTAGTCTGACTGACAGTGACCGACCGGCTCAGTACTTACTTAGCCTAATGGCTGAATGGGGATTTCCTCACTCTGGGCAAAGCACCAACTGGTTAGTATTTCTTTCTTTTTCAGAATCATTCATGAGGATGGCTATTCAGAGGAAGAATGCAGACAGTATAAAGTGGTTGTCTACAGCAATACTATCCAATCCATCATTGCAATAATAAGAGCAATGGGAAGACTAAAGATAGACTTTGGTGAAGTTGCCAGAGCTGTAAGTGTATTGTATTGATTTAAAATTACTACTGATTTAGTAGTAGTAATGATAATAAAGTGCTTGTCTATTAAACTGGTGGTGGAAATACCACTACCATCTTGTGTTTATGTGTATACATTTGATCCAAAAATGTGAGGAGTTGGTAAACTGTGTTCTTGTTGTTTTGATGTTATTGTAATGTTGCCAGTAGATGTGAAGGGCTACCTTTTCCCATGTGAACCTGACAGTGCATTAAGATCTTTGAGGGCTTTCTCTGGACTCCTCTGCTTTCAGATGATTAGGTTGTGGGTGGTAACTGGGAAGCAGGTCTTTTTATGTTTAGGTGTGCTGGTGTGTATTTTGTCTTTTCATCGCCAAGCATTGACTCCCCACCACCCCAAGCTCTTAATTAACTTTTTAATGCATTCTGTTCTAGTTCGAAATCTCTGTTAAAATGTGGATTTGTTTGCTCTATGCTGTTTTATAGCTGTTACTGTTTTTAATGGTTTTTATGTTACTAGTTGTCTTATGTAAGCTTTCCCTGGACATGTAAACATTGAAGGGTGGGGTACAAATCCCTTAAATAAATAAGTGCTGTCAACCTCTGAGAATGTTCTTTTGTGATCTCTTAAACAGCTCAAGACATGTTAGACAAATTTGTAGCTTCTGCCACTGTGCTTCTTTAATTAATCTATCAGTACTCTTTTGTATAATTAAGTAGGAGAACACCTTGCTGAAACTGTCCATCTTCCTGTATATCTGATATCTGTCATTTTTCCCATTTAAATTCAAGCTGGTGATTTATTATTATTATTTCAACTTTTTTGTTGCTTTATCTTGCCCAAGGCAACCCAAAGCAGCTTACAACCAATCACATGTAGTGTGTGCTCCCAGTTACTCATTTTAGTCATGGCTTGAAGTTTCTTGCGCCTAACGCCATAGATGACATAAGACTTGGGAAAGGTGAACATGATTTGATTGGACTATTTAGTCCCAGGAACTGGAGCTTCCCCATACTTTCTTTAAAACTTTAATTATCCATGATTTTAAAAACTTGTTTGGTATTCAGTGTTGATGAGCATTTATTTCAAAAATTTCAGCTTCTTTTCCCTAATTTGAAGCTATATTTCTTGTATTTGCAGATAATCTGTTTTGCTTAAATTGTTCTTTTTCCAGCTTAAGACAGTGCTCAGCTACTAGTTTTGCAGCTTTAAAACTTTTTAATTCATAAGCGTAAGCTTTAACTATTTCTTTGGCTCTTGCCATTCTTATCACAATGTGTTTCATGGCTGAGTAGTACTATTTAAAGTAGTCCACAGAAGCTTATGCCATAGGGCAACATCCAGTTGTGTCTGTAGAACAGACTTCCACTCATGCAATGGGGCTTCCTCTTCTCCCTCTTGTAGTCTCCCATTGCAGATCTGCTCTGGAGGGTTGTGGGGCACAGAGGGTTCCAGAGAGGAGGAAAAAGAGAGGAAGTCCAATTGTATGAGCAGGTCTGCTTGTGCAACAGTTGATATCTCCAATAATAAATAAATCCTTAAGGTGTCCCAAACCTCTTTATTGGATGAGCTTGTTTCCCAACTGTCATATCATACTGCAGTATACCTTCATTTTTGGTAGTTCTGATCAGCTTAGCTGATTCTTTGAATTCTGGTTGTGATGCACATCAAATAATGGTTTGTGCAGTTAGCAATTTGTTGTTTAGAAGTCACATTTCAAAGAAGGAAACAGTCTGCTGCTGGTGGGTAGTAGGTAATCAACCATACCATTGTAAACTTGCATTGAAACACTTCCCCTAATGTTGGTTGTTAAGCATATGTTATTATACTGCACATGATAACAGCAGTGTTTAATTTGCCTTCTTCTGCAGGATGATGCCCGTCAGTTGTTTGTACTAGCTGGAAGTGCAGAGGAGGGAGTCATGACTCCTGAACTGGCAGGTGTGATTAAGCGGTTATGGAGAGATCCTGGGGTCCAAGCATGCTTCAGCAGATCAAGGGAATATCAGCTTAATGATTCTGCATCCTAGTAAGAAGCTTTTTATAGATTTTAAGCCCTTTCACAGATAAACTCATGCTCTTTTAACCACCCACGTAGGTGTTATACTTACTTTGTCAGAACTGTTGTTTATTTTGCAGAGTTATTATGGCAAGAGCGATGAATACTCCCAAATAATTTCTGTGGTATTTCTCAAAAGGCTATGGGGAAACTTGATGTGAGGATGCTAAAATGCATTTCAGGAAAATTCCTTAAGCCTGACAAACTGGACAGTGAACAGTTAATGAAGGCTTGGTTTTGAAGATTCCATCGATTATGCTTAATTGATCAAAACGAGTTTTGTGGGTCAAAGGAAAGGGCGGAGCCATCAGTCCCAACACCACTCACTTTTCTTGTCTATGGTATACTGAACGCTTGGCAACCTGCTTTTAATGGCATTCTTGAGGTCTCCTTCTCAAAAACAGTGGTACTAATCTTTTTCATTTTGACAAAAATGCCATCTCCCCAATTCTCTGTGTTTATTTTGTCTTGTCTGAACTTGGAGAAGGACTGTAGCTTGCTGGTAGAGCATCTACTTTGTATGCGGAAAGTCCCAGGTTTAGTCCTGGGCATTTTCAGGTAGGACTGAGAAAGACTGTGGCCTGTCATTTGTTTAAACTTAGTCATTGAGGACAATTGAGGAGTGGCAACAGTCCTTTGGACACTTCATGAACAACCTATTATTTCTTTCCAAAACTACATGAACCTGTTATTTCATTCCAGAACAGTTCTTAATATTCTCAGGGTATAGGTGTTTGCAACACTTCCTGGAGACTTTTTTTGCCTTTACAGTGGACCCTCTGGATACGAACTTAATTCGTTCTGGGGATCCGTTCACACCCTGAAAATAACGTAAATAGAGGTGCGCTTCTGCCCATGCACAAGGCGTGCAGAGCCCTTTTGCGCATGCAGCGAAACCTGGAAGTATACACTTCTGGGTTTGCTGTGGCTATAACCCAAAGATTCCATATCCAGAGGGATATGTAAGTAGAGGTACTACTATTTAGCTTGAAGTCACAATAAAAGAAGCCATTTATACCCATAACAGCAGTATGAAGCTGGCTATGATTATAGGGAACAAGTATCATTCTTGAATAGATTTTCTTGGCATTGCTGTGCCCCCTTTTTTTGTAGAACAATGGTTTTATTTGCATTTTCCAGTAATTTAAACCAAGATATTCTTAAGAACCTGCGGATTATCTATTTTGAGATAGATTTTTTTTTACACCAATGTATGCAGCATATCATAGGACGAGGGCAATAAAATCACTAATTCCTTGCTGGTTGATAACTTGCCGAACCAAGTCTTTGTACTACCAGATAAGGTAGATCTAAACCAGCTTTACTTCTTCAGAGCTTGCTGCTGAAACGTGACTATACTGTATACAGATGATTAACCTGCATGGAAAGAGAGCATATAATCTGTTTAAATAATTCACTGCTTCTTGTTTTCAAATGAAGCTCTTAACTGTTTTCAGGACTTGAAGTAGCTCTTGTAATCTTTTGGCAGCATTTTACATTACAGCCAGTTGCTTGGAGTTTTCATTTAATCCACTCACATTTTGGTTTTAGTTGCAGGTTGCTTTTCCATTGCCTAATCTAAAAGCAGGACAACACGCTCTTCCTTCTAGTGTGGGCAGAAAAGTGAGGTATAAATGAATGAAATAATAAAGTTATAGTACTGTTTTGCATAGCTGTAGTTTAAGTATAGCTCGCAGGATCTTTGTTTCCCAGCAGAAGTATTTTTATTACAAGAAGCTGAGATCATAAACTTTGCCCTCCCTAGATAATTTGTTAACATCAAACCCTAATCAAGAATCTGCTTCAGCAAAGGAATAGCATCTCAAGACAGTAATTATATTCTTTGAGTTACTTTTAAGTCATCTTACTGCTTTGTGAGACTTTATAGAACCAAATGAGACTGGGCTCTCCGTTAAAAGGTTCAGCTGTAAAATACAGTTAAGTGGCAGTGCAGAATAAGGCTGCCCTTCCTTCTGCTGCAGGAGAAAATTAAGCTGGAGCCAGAGTACTATATAGTAACTAATGTGTTGGATATGGATAACCCAGATTCAAACCTTGTTTAACTGATAAAGCTCATGGTACCCTTAGGGCAAGCTACTGTATTTCATCCTTGGTTCCAGCACATTGTGATTTTCAAGACAATGTCTGTTGGTTCTTTACGCATATTTAGAAGTAAGTAAAGTCATAGATACTTGTAAAAAGAAACCATGGGGAATAGGAGTATTACCTAATAATACCTAATAATATAGTGCAGGCTTCCCTAACCTGCTGCCCTCCATACCTTTTGTACTACACCACTCATCACCCTGAGCCTGCACACTTTTTAGTGCAAAATATCTGTAGGACACCATGTTGGGGAAGACTGACAGAGGAAATCTCCTAAGATGTCAAATACTGTATATAGTCGTCACTCCTTGCAACAACCCTTTTAACGTAGACCTGTTACTGAGTGGGGATCTGTGAGGTTGGGGGACAGTGGCTTGCCTGAAGTTAACCAGCAAGTTAGTGACTAAGCTAAGATTTTAATTGGTGACATAGTCTCGTCACTCACTTTTCTTAACTGCTGCATTACACACAACTCCTTCCTACTGATCTCCATGAAGTTTCTCTCATCACAGCAACTCAGGCAATGATACATACCTCAAGCTTGCAATCCTACCAATCTATAGTGCATACTCTTCAATTTGTGTCTTGTATTTCTCCCCTTTGCCTGCCAGTATAGAGGTAACTATCAATTCTTTCTACATTGCATTTCCTACATGTATATATTATAACTCTTTTTTAAGGTTTCAAATAAGCACCATTTATATAAATGTTCTTTATTGAATAACTTAAGCAAAAAAGACTTGCCTTAAGGAGTTTACATTCTCATCATCATATTAGGGACTACTTTGGCTCAAGCTATTATATTTACTGATTGTTGTAAAACTCGAGAATTTATAGTGTGAACATTGCTACAGTAATGATGTTTTGGAAAGCCTGTATCTTAAAACTACATTTTAAGGCAGCTCTTAATGTAGCTTTCTCATAAAGAACCCAAATTATATCCATTGGCTCCAGTTTCAACTGAGGTTGCAAACTTAAGTAACTTTGTTAACATAGAATAGATTTCAACAGTTAACATCCGGTAAAGCCAGTGCTTAACTGGCTTCGGGTAATCTACAACTATATGACAGTCATGACACCCTGGAAGAAGAAGAAGAAAAATAACATTGCAGAAGAATTTTTGATTTTTCTCTAGATGAGAATAAGGCATAGAAGAGGAATATAGGAGTCACTCACAAAAATTGTGTCTTAGTCCAAGAGAGTGGATAAAAATGTATTTATCTCCTTTCTCCATCTCTCTTTCCCCTTTAGCTATCTTAATGACTTGGACAGAATATCCCAGCAAAGTTACATTCCAACTCAGCAAGATGTTCTACGGACCAGAGTGAAAACGACAGGCATTGTAGAAACACACTTCACTTTCAAGGACTTGTATTTCAAGTGAGTTACATTGTGGGTTGTAGGGTCCCACTTACATATTACTATCACTCCACTGTTCTTTGGGTTGTGGTGTAAAATTTATGACTTTTACATATGCTCATGTTGTGCAGGCTTAATTTGGCTCCGGCTTTGCACAGTGTAAAATCTCTGTCCTTCAATTCTATTCTTGCTGGAGATTTTTGGTATCAGTTCACTTTTTTATTTTCATTGTTTTGTTCTTTTCAGCTGCTTTTATGTTGGGATCACAGACACAGGTACTGAACCCTTCCTTTACAGGAGCATATATACTAAAAGGATACTGACTACTGTTTTATAGTATTTGTTGAAAGCCCCACCATACCGATGTTCCAATTTGCCACGTGTTTATTTTCCCGTGTTGCAGTTGGAGCTGAAATTAACATGGCTTTGTGAAATGTGCATGGCTTTTTCAGCAAAACTTTGTAGAGAGAGTACTAACCAGTCAGTTGAACAGAACATTGGCCGGAAGCATGCACAGGTGTTTAAATGCTTGCCATTTATAAAGCTTGATGTAGGACAGGGGATGTGTATTTCCCCCTGGAATACATACGTAGTGATTTGAGACTTGCAACCCATGTACCTCAATGTAGCTTGCCACCATCTTAATTGGTCGCCCCTACAGGGATTGCTATATGCTCTTTAAATGCGGCCTTTAAAGTCCCTTGGCTCTGTTTTGACTATAAGTTCCATCAAGTCCCATGTCTCTGTAAAATATACTGCCATGCGGAATAAGTGGGACTAGCAAGAGCTCACATCCTTCATGCTGCAAGATGCCACCATGTTTTGTGGTAGGGTGGGAGCCTTGCTACAGAGGTCATGGAACTCAGAGAAATGTTAGACACTCTGAGGTTTACAGGAGGAAAGTGTAAGGAGCCCTGCTCTATGAACACATATCCACCTTAACAGAATGGGCCTGACCTAGGCAGTATCCCTTTAAGTATGAATTCTTCCCCTTTGCCTCCCATCCTTCATGCCAGCCATAAGGATGCATTGAAACCCAATATTCCTCTACCTGCCACTGTGCTATTAGAGAAATGTTCATTTCTGATCATATGCTCTACCATAGCCTAGTTACAGTGCTTTATCTTGATAGACGGTAGTAATAATAATAATATTAATAATGTTTTAATAAAGAATTTTATATATGGCAAAATGAGTTACTACCTTTGCTTGGATTTCTGCTGACAAGGCTCACTTGCACATGTCTTTTAATTGCACTCCAGTTGGTTGGGATAATGTTTAAGAATACTCTTGTGTTTATTTTATAAATGCACAGCAAAAACAAAAAACAAACCCAAGGAAGTTAGGATTGGGTGAATGTCATGTTAAGTTTGGTTCTGGACATCAAATCACAGAATGGCCTTTGGAAAATTATCGTTGATGAGCTTGTGTTCTGTATATGTAAAGTGGGAATAATGAACCCCATATATAGAGAGGATGAATGAGAAAAACTCCGTAATATATATATGCTGTATTAGATGAGTGTGACATAACTAGTGGATCAGATCTGCTTCTCTGCACTCTGGTCCAGTAAATTGAGCCTTGAACTTGGGCAGTTCAATACCTCCCTTCCCTTCTCTTAACGTTATCTCAAGTCTTCTTTCCTCATATGTAGAACTGGACTATATCAGCAGTTGTTACTACAGTTTTTAAGTTTGTTTAAATTATTAACTTAAATAAAACATTTTTGGAGCTCCTTGGCTTCTCACCTTTCCAGTATATGAATTAGTTGCCCAAAATTGCTTTGGTATGTAGTATCCAAAATCAGATGCAATGATAATTAACAAAATGCTGTAAATTGTGGCACAGCTTGATAGCACGTTCTGGCTATTAAACTACCAGTTAAAGAAGGGTGTGAGTATTTTAAGACTTTTTCTAAAGCAGCATATCATTTTCTTTCTTGCCCTATTTACACCTTTGCCAGAGGGCCTAACCAAGTTGGGAGGCAGCCTTCTTGGCCGTATGAATGTAGGTCAGGGTAGCCAACATAGTGCCCTCCAGCTGTTGGACTATAATCCTTGACCATTGTCCATACTGTTGGGCTGGTGAAAGTTGGAGTCCCAACAACATCTGGAGGCTGGCCACCTCAATGTAGGTGAGGCAGTAAAAGCTGTCAAGAGCACAGCCGTAAGAACAAATAAGACTCAATAGGACTTCTGTATCCATTCCTGCAGTGGGCTTTTTGTCTACTAAATAATCTCATGCACAAGCTGATAGGATGGGTGGAAGGCAGATTCTCTCTATCTCTATCTCTTTCTCTTTCTGTGTGTGTATCTAATTCTATCCTGCTAGATGCAGAACTTCAGTCACAGAAAGGGAGAGTTTAACCTATTCTTAAAAAATTCCTGATGCACTATGTGGACACAGCAGTGTGTATGTTGTTTAAGTAGGTTCCTCATTTAAGCTAGCCAGTCTTAATGTTATGGAGTGTCTGTTTGGTTTGTTGTGCCATTCAGCTAAACATAAAATAAGACCATATTACTCTTTAGGGGAAATTTAACTAGAAACTAGCAACACCTTGCACTATGGTGTTATGGCTTGTAAATGTTTGCTGCTAGTTAGCTTTCCCACAGGAAACCACTTTGTAAGTGCATTGACCATTCTGCAACAGGAGGTTGCGTAATCAGCCATTGTTGTTTAGCAGCCACCAAACAAAATGCTGTTCCCAAGCAGCAGAAGATGATAAACATCGTATGCTAGCATAACATTCAGGTTCTGTGTTGTGCAAGCTTACCCACCTGTTAAGAGAGATGTCCTTATGTTTTTCTGTGGCATTTCCTCCTTTCTATGCCACCTTTCACTCCAAAAGGAAATCATTGTGCTGAATATGGGGTAAATTGTTATAGTCTACTGTTGGAGAATATGAATTCACATTGCAAAAGTGAGATTTTGCTATTTTTTATTTATTTTTTTGGTTCTTTCTCCAGCTGTTAGAGGCAGAATAGTTTTATACTTCAAGGTAAATATTGCCTTCCCCTTACAGAAGTAGGCAGGTCCGTCTTCCCAGTCCACTTACCTTGAATATTTGATAAAATTCACATTGCTGCTATTATGATCCTGTTATTTCATGTGACTCTTAGATTTCCTGGATCAAATGCCCATTCAGTCTCTACCAAGAGATGCTAATCTTGTTCTTATAGCAGTCCAATGAAGTACTATGCTCAATAGACTTCACTGGAAATTGTCTGGAGTTACGCATATTGTTCAGACTGTATAAACAAATAATGTTTTCCCTGGACTGTTCACTACTTAAATATTTCTCAAGATTACTAAATTATACCATATGTCAGCAGTTTATCAGCCTCTGCAATAACATGTTTCTGCTAAAGCAGATTGATAACACTGCTGAATCCTACCCCATGTCAAAATCATTCTCTTATTTCCCAACTTGACTCCCACTCATTAACCTGAAGTGGTAAGGAAACCATGATATGTGGTGACTACTGCTGACAATTTCACATGATCAGATTATTAGGAGATCCATAATTATCATGACTGAACATACTCTTATCTTCTTGGGCTTTGACTTTGAGAGCATGAGTTTGCCAGTAGAGGTAATACTAAGCGGAGGAGGAAGATAGTGTATTGTGGGAGCACTGCATTCATGCAAGCAGGCTAGTTGTAGAGGTACTTGGCCTAGTAGTCTCAATGACTCATCTGGCTTTTAGTGATTATTAGAAACCCTCTTATCATAGTTTTTGCTAGGATCAGCATGTTTCAATTCTTCAGTAAAACAGTGTTAGAGCAGCATAGGTTATGCTAGTGGCAAAGGCTCATTCAGCTTTGTAACAACCCTATGGTGTGCTTTTGACAACACTGTACACTGCACTGTACTTTATGGCATAATGTAGCATAATAATAAAAGCAATTTCTCTTTCTGCCAGGATGTTTGACGTTGGCGGCCAGCGTTCAGAACGTAAGAAATGGATCCACTGCTTTGAAGGCGTAACAGCAATTATATTCTGCGTAGCTCTCAGTGATTATGACCTTGTTCTTGCTGAGGACGAAGAAATGGTAGGTTGCCATAGAGTTAAATGTTGGTTACATGTTGCATTACGTAAACTGTGGTGGAAATTGACTTTAAGCTTTATGTAGTTTGTTTAGGACAACTTAATTTAAATGACTTGTGTTTTGAAAATTACTAAGGCATAGAAGCAAACATTTCTTGTATGTCTCCTCAAATTTCCTGCAGTGAGCGCTGGCAGCAGCACTAATTGGCAGGCTGTGTTTAATAAAATCTTCCTTGCTCCCACCCCCCACCACTGAATCTGAAAACTACAGTAGTTCTTAGCTGAGAAGGAAATAAAGCATCTGGATGAATTTTTGTGAAACATTATGTAATTGTGATAACTGAAAAGTCTTTTTGTGACCCATTTTTTGCCAAAGTTTAGGAATTCTGATACTTGCCCAAATGATTACTAGTACTTTCTTATCTGAGCATCAGCTTTGACTAAATCACATTATTTGCACTAGTAGCTTTGTTTTCATTAGTGATTATGCAAAGTTGCTGGGGTATTACCTTTTCAACGAGATGTTTTCCTCCTCCCAGAATCGTATGCATGAGAGTATGAAACTCTTTGACAGCATTTGTAACAACAAGTGGTTCACAGACACATCAATCATTCTTTTCCTAAACAAGAAAGATCTGTTTGAGGAAAAGATAAGGAGGAGTCCACTAACAATTTGCTACCCGGAATACCCAGGTAAGATAAAAAAATAATGGGGGAATTAGGATGAAAACAGCTTGTTGCTTTTGGTTTAATGTGTATTTGTGACCTCAGTACATCATATTTTTCTTTGTCCCATCATCTATCCAACCTTTTAAAAAATACAGATCCCTGTCTGATAATGTTCCTGCTAGATGAAAACAGATATGTTAGCATTAGTTTGGCTCTGTTTACTTATTGTCATGCTGGCTTGAATACTTCATGTTCTCTCTTAAAGCCCAAGGTTGACTTCTCTGATGGAAGGAGACACCTAGACATTTCCCCCCAAATTGAGTCCTTTCACTATGTGTGATATGAAAGTGGTGGTTTCTCTCAGCATTAAAATTAGATTTTTATAATCCTAGTTCTGAAACTGATGCCCTATCACCAGCAATTTATTATGGCCTTCATTGTTCTGTTGCCCAAACTTTCAAAATTTGTAGCGCAGTGTAGTCTTCCCTCACTGCTTTGTTGTGTCCTATTTCCACAGAATTTCTTCCTATGAATAAGCAAGTCATGATAGTCCCAACAGCTGCAAATTACTGCTTCATGACTGTTTGCTATTTTCCTCATAGAGCGGTCCTAAAATTGTGTCTTGGCTTTGTAGCCAACTATTATGCTTCTGTTACCACATGGTTCTGCCTCTAGCTGTAATGATAAAGTCTAGACCAATCAGAAATGATCAGACTGTGTGAGATATATGGATAGGCCTTTTAGTCAAACACTCTTAAAAGATGAATCATGCTTCTTACAGGGAATAAATAAGCAGTCAAAACCCAAGCCACAGCTTTAGGTGCAAAGTACTGTCATTCATGACACCTGTTTATGTTCTCTTGCAATTGAAACTGGTAGTTCTTAAGCCTCTTGGGTTTTTTAAAGTATTAGAGCTTTTAATTTTTTTTTTAAAAAGCATTGCTTTAAAAACAAAAAGAGGGCGGAGCTAATAGCTAGTTTAAAAACAAGTGTAGGATAATTTATTACAGAAGCCAAGAAAGAAATAGGTTTTCAAGAACAATGAGAGTTCTGTGGCACCCGAGTACCACATATTTTTTTTTCATAAACACAGTTTTAAAACATGGATAGGAGGGGCTCATACCTCAGTTGCAGAGTGTATATTTTGCATGCATGAGGTCTGAGGACCAGTCCCTGGCATTTGTAGCTAAAGAGATACCTGATAGCCAAACTGAGCTGAAGGAAAGCTGTTACCAGACAAAGGAAATGGTATTGGATTAGATAAATTAGATAGTCTGCTCACTATAAGCAGCTTCATATATTCATACATTGGAGGCTGCAATCTTGTACTCAATCTGATTCAATTTAGTACTTTGCTAATGGCACCCAGTGACTGCAGCACTATTTGCACTAAAGAAGCAAAGAAGTAAATGGTAAAGATTTCTGATCACAAAAGATTCGCATATGCCCTGTTTGGGGAAATGGAACTGTGATTGTGTTTCTTTAAAATGAACTACTTTTTTGTGATTGCTTCATCTAAGAGGTGTAGACCCAGTTTCCTAGGGCTAGATGCATTTCTTTAGCCTAAAATGATGGCAAAGTGTGATGACTGGAAACAGTTACTTTTCTTTTCAAAGACTTGTAAAGTCAATTGCAAGTCCTTAAAATGGTGTTAGTTAGTAGAAGTTGTCATTTTCCCCCTCCAGGTTCTAATACATATGAAGAGGCAGCTGCATACATTCAGTGCCAGTTTGAAGACCTGAACCGAAGAAAAGACACCAAGGAAATTTACACCCATTTCACCTGTGCCACTGACACAAAGAATGTGCAATTTGTTTTTGATGCTGTTACAGATGTTATAATTAAAAACAACCTGAAAGAATGTGGACTCTACTAAAAAGAGAGCGTAACAGTGAAATGTAAGTTTATGAACTTTGTAGTCTCTTCTGAGCTTTAGCATTGCATAAACAGCTGCCTGGCTATAACATGAACTTCACCTAATGAAATAAAATTATTTCCATTTCAGGATGTTGCGTTTTAAGAACTGGACTGTTTATTTGCTGCCTTGTGGGACAGCTGCAAGCATGAACAGGACCGGGGAATGAAAACAGCATGCAAAAATCCTTGCATTCTTTAGCACAATCTTCTGTACTAGGGACCTTTTTATTGATATGGGATGCGGAAGTTAAAATTCCAAAAATGGAACTACTGTTAAGTGTGATTTTTTTTAAATCATCCAGGCATCATATGGATTGCATAGTCTCAAATGTGTACAGCTGTTACGAAGTTGAGATCCCAGACCTTCAATATGTAGCTTTCTTTCTTTAATAAGCCACCGCTGCTCTGTTTTTAAGGTTTTTCCATCAAAACTATATATTTACTAAATTTTATTTCCTTATTTGCAAACAGACTTGTTTTAAAAACAAACAAAAAACACTTAACTATGCACATGATTGTGACCAGATCACGCAGAAAGTATTCCTCTTAGCAGGAACCTTTTGTTTTTAAAACTTGGTATGGTCAGAACTTGATATACAGTAACTGCAACTACTTAAAAGGGCCTTAGGATTCTTATGGCTAAAGCAATGGCTTCTTCTAATGTATAATGTTATGAGTCTGCTACATACACTGTAAGGTGCTCCCACCCCCGAAAGAGAGATTTCCTGTAGCAGGGTAACAAGTCTTGTCAGACTTAATGGCTGGGGGAGGGGGTTAGCCTGGTTTATGCTGATTACCAAATCACTGAGTGTGCTACTAATGTAGCAGATGGAAATCTTCTTACATGAAATGCCTGAATTGGCTTCTAGGTAGAAAGGTGAGTTGCAAAATTACAAACTGCAGGGGGTGGGGAGAGAGTGCTGCTACAAAGCTACTTAATCAACCACTTAATTGTCTGTGTGTGTGTTTGGTCTTAAACCAGTGGGGAGTTTTGTAGACAGTGCAATTTGTTCTGCATTTACCAGGGCCTTTTCTCATAGGAGATTTCAAAAATGTATCAACCGCATGCTTTTACTTTGTAAATGTGGTGCCAAGTTCCTGTTTGCCATTGTTTTTACTGTAGTGATGTTATTAACCCGAGTCAGTACATTTATTTGCTGAAACCATTACATTGAGACTCTTTTCCAATTTGTCATGTACAGTTTCAACCTGATGTAGTTATTGGCAATATTAAAATGGTGAGTTAAAAATCTTAATGTTCCTCACTTTATTGGAGCCATTTCTAGAAATGATCTAGGGATCTTTGTCAGTCTCTCTTAATAGCATTTCCAGGTTCTGCAAATAAAGATTTTAGTTAGCTGGATTAGCTTTTTCGTAGTGCTGAACCTTCATATAAATAACCGAAACTTTCCTGTCTTGTTTCTTGAATTATATGGTGTCAGGTATTTTCTGTGTGTTGACACAGATAAGGCTGAGAATTGTGGCAAGTTATTTCTACCATTAAGTCATATCAGCAAGATACAGCAATAATTTTCTAAAGCATTTACTTGACTGTTTGTTACCAAGAATGATGATTCTTAACAGGAAAGAGTGGTAAAATTCTCACTACATGGTAGAATATTGCAGATCACTAGCTTAATATGTTTCTCTGTGCACACACTATCGTAAAATACTCTTGGTGAATTAATGTTTAGCTTGCATCAACTCTATTCACTTTTCACAAAAGGGAAACAGAGTCGATGTCACTTGCCCAAGGCCATTCTGTGAGGGCCGATTTCATACATGCATATTTCACCTGCAGGGATGAATTGCAAACTAAATGCGTAAAACACTTCAACTGGAAAGAACTGCTTGAGATTGAATGTACCTCCTGACTTGAGGTTTGCTGTTTGATAAATGTGCATGTGCAAGACATCCTTTGGTCTTTCACTCACTGGATGTAATGCTAAGCCAGGGGACCTAAGGCCCATGGGCCACAAGCGGCCCATGGGGGTCGTTTAACTGGCCCATGGACCCCCGCTGCCCGCTTGATCGGCTCCCATGAGCCGCGCTAAACCGGCGCGGAGCAGAGCGAGGACCGCCTTCTGCGACCAATGGGAAGCTGAAGCTCCTGCAGTCAATGGGAAGCTGCGCACGCCTCCTCTGCACCAGAAGGAGCACCGGAAATAGCGTTTGTGCATGCATGTGCATGCACTCTGACCCACCGTGGCATCTGTGGGACTGTGAACTGGCCCAAGCCACAAAAACTTTGCCGACCCCTGTGCTAAGCCACTAACTATGGTTAAAGGAATCATCCTGCGGATGCATTGTGTGCTATTCTACACTCTTCACTTCTCCCAGGTTTAGGCACTAGCTGCTTTGTGATTTGTTTCCTCTCTTGGCAAGGAGACAAATGAAGTGTGAACACTTTGTGTTATTTCTGAAGGTGGCCTTTGGGTATGTGAGTCTCTGTCTCAGGTGAAATTTGAATCCATGTCTTCCAGGTACAATATTAAACCACCTAAACATACAATCCTTATAATATCTGCCCTGGCAGAATGTTTGAAAAAGTATTGGGTGACTTTTGAAAACACAACTAAACCTGTAGAGGAATTTGTTACTTTACAAAATAGGTAACACTGTATCCACATTTTTAATGCACGTTTCTTTATTTTCGAATGTTCTACATTCAGTTGTAGCTGCCTAAGCCATTCTCTGAAGTAAATATTGATAACAAAGAGAATCCTATCTACAGTAACATACGACTTATTTACAAATGATCAAGAACGATACAGTGCTAAATAGCAGAGTGAAAATCCTGACGTCACCATTTCCAGTTTGTATGTTTTCTTTCTATTTCCTATGTTGTGGAGAAGTTTTCTGACTCTGTGGTGTCAATAGGGTGCTTGTACACATTGCTGTGACCTCTTTCCATCGGGGACCAGAGAGACAGCAAGAGCAATTGTCTCACAGCAAGCAGTAAAGCAATGGGTTGGGATAAGTACTGCTGTACTCAGTGGGGTGAGTTGGTGTAGAGAAAGAAAATCAGTCTTAACTTCACCAGGCCTTCTAATATGGGGAAAGCTGGATACTAGAAAGAAAATGAATTATTTACTTAAGGCTGAAGGGACAAATTGCACCAGTTCCAAAGAACTGAAACTGATCTATTTGGAAGGTTTGAAAAATGTTACTTAACTTTCTTGGTTAATTTGCACACTGATAATTAGATTTCATGTGTAATCTAGAAATTGTTGGACTTGCACATTCAACCCTTTAGGATTTTCATTGAGAATCACCGTTCAGACCATTTATAGATACGGAAGTTCTGCTGAAGAATCCACAAAAGCACTGATTGTGTCGTTCCCACAGAAGGTTGATGCTTTTTAAAGATCTCAGTTGTATGCACACACAAACGTCCAGTGTATCGCATGATTCATTGTTTGCAGACAAGATTCTGTTGACTCTCTTTCAAGTTGTCGTCAGGGTTTACAGATTGCCGAGAATTTCAGAAAGGAGGAAAACTACCAAAGAAAATGGCTTAGAGATGGGAGGCTCTTAGCTTTTGTTCCTTCATGCCCTTTTGGTGGCATGTTCTTGGAAGTATACAGTTTGTGCCATGGGTAGGTTATAGAAAAATGTGGACTCTTTGAGTGGCTTTTATTTACTCCGTTGGCTCTGCTCAAGCAGAACAGTGAAGCTAACTGCAAGTCCTTTTTCCTAATTGACGAAGAAGGTGAGAGAGCATTTAGAGAAATTAGATACAATGCAACATGACATTTAGATCCTGCAGCACCACAAAAGACTTCTACACAAATACATAAATGCATGAGACAAATTATAATGTCAGGTTGCTAATGATTTTATTTCTCATTTAGGCTGATGTACATTATAAATACTCGGATGTAGTTGCTACACTTTGTAGTGGGGGAGCAGTCTGATTCATCTGCATGGAAATTGGCTCAGAATTTATGGTTAGTTCTCCCTATTCAGAAACATTTTCCAAATTCTTGCAATGAACAGTAAATTCTTACTAAAAATGAATTAACATCAAAGTCAAAACTTGCTGCACTTTTGGGGAAGCTAAGGATAACTGCTAAAATAAGTGGTTTTTGTTTTTTTTGTTGAAGGAACATTGGGGAGCTTGGGCTGCTGGAGTAAACTCAAATGCAAGGTTAAGTGTGGTTTTAAATTTACAGGAGCAGCTCTGTGAATTAAGTGAGTGCTAAAGATACCCATTCACCAGTCTCTTCCATAGGAGGACTACTATTGTTGATTATGTTCCTTAGAATGGAAATTACCTTCTTAAAAAGCTGGAGTCTTAGAAGAGGCCACAGTCCTTGAGGTTCTCTTTGATGATGACATCCGTGACTGCGTCAAATACAAATTTGACGTTCTGCGTGTCTGTGGCACAAGTCATGTGACTGTAAATTTCTTTCACATCTTTTCTCATGTTCAGATCGAGGAACTGAAGCTTGATGTAGTTGCCTGCATCTTCAAAGGTATTGGGACCTGTGTGCGTAAGAGAAACAAGGAAGAGGCTATAAATGTTGCTGAAAGAGGCATAGCTTATTGGAGAGTTTCTCATTCAGAGAAGGGCTTTTGATCAAATGCAGTCTCCTGCCAGAGGAGGGGATGCTTGTTGAGTCCTCCTTTCCTATAGCAGAGGAGGAAGTGAGTCATAGATGGCACATGATGTTTCACCCATGTTTAGTGTGTTTCTACATCATATGTGAAGCAGTTCTTGGCTCTTGATGACTGGCTACTGTAAGGAGGAAACTGTCGACCAACTCACCATCATAATCTGGGAAACAAATGCTGAGATGTACTTTCTTGATCTTTTCCTCAAAGAGGTCCTTCTTGTTCAGGAAGAGAATAATGGAGGTGGCAGCAAAGAACTTGTGATTGCATATACTGTTGAACAGATGCAAGGATTCGTGCATGCGGTTCTAAAGGGGAAGACCACACAGTTCAAGCAAGCTCAAAGACTTTGTGTAAAACATCTGTTTATTCTATCCGTAGGGTATGCTTCTAGACACAATACTTGACCATTACCCCCAAATGCTTCTCAATTACTTCCAAAACATTCCCCTTATAGCCCCCCTGAGGATGAGCAGGGAGTTACAGGGGAAGAAGTCCTGTGGTCTGATCAGATAATCCATTCCATTCCTGCAGCTTGGGATGCAACTCTAAATGTAAAAGTTGCGTAGAACAATGTTGAAAGACAGAATTTTAAAATGTCCATTTATTGTGAAGTCAAATGGGAGGTGACCAAGCAAAAGTAGCAACGTTTGTACATGTGTCATGGCATTTTCTGCACAGGTTTGTTCTTGTTCTTAAACTGAAATTGGAGCAAGTCTATACTGGAGCTGCTTGGCTCAGTGGTTGATGCATCTATGTACTTGCCTCTCTTGGTTAATCTAATTGTAATAGATGGATTTTTCCTAAATGCCCTCGGCTTTGGGGTTTAAAAACACACCCACATTATAAAATACTGCTGTTGCTGTGGCATTGATCTACTGTCTTACCAGTATTGGCCTACTCTTCTTAGCCAAAGTTCTAACTCCTGTGTTGTTTTTCTCTCTCAGCGATATAAATAAGTTAGAAAGCACTGCATCTATAAGGTTTTGATCCTTTTAATTACAGAGTATGGAACAGGCTGCAAAACAAGCTTGGATTCCCTCCTTTCAGTGGACAGTTGCTGCAGACATGCTGCTTTTTTCCTTTTGTGCTTGGCGACTAAATTTGCTTATGGTGGGGTAAATCATCTATCGCTTCCTTCTCTTATTTTAGTTAGTCTTGATGGAAAGCCTATGATCAACTGGGGGCAGGGGGGAGGGCTGTATAGCTGATGCACTTTTTTTGGCACAACTTCTATGTCTTCCTTTTGGTAAGATTTCCAGCAGCCCAGTTCTACTGGCGAAAGTAATAGAATTTCCTTTTCCCTTAGAAGGATTCAGAGAAATACAGTTCAACAGCATTTGACCTATAGGTCTTGCAGCAATAGGGAAGTGTTTGTGATGTATACTTCTCCTTTCAGAATCGTTGGGGTTTTCAGGAGGAATTCTTAGTAAAACTAGGGGTAAAATTCTTACCCTTCCTGTGCCTTGAAAAGCCTGCCCTGCCTTTGATGTCACCATTGATGTAAATTGGAAGCTTTTACCAATCCTTAAAGTGCACAGGAAGGATTGGAATCAACTGGTTCTAGGTTCATAGAATCATAGAATCATAGAGTTGGAAGAGACCACAAGGGCCATCGAGTCCAACCCCCTGCCAAGCAGGAAACACCATCAGAGCACTCCTGACATATGGTTGTCAAGCCTCTGCTTAAAGACCTCCAGGATGTATGCTCACAGAGACATACTTATTTTCAGGCAGGGGTTAAGCCAATGCTTCCTGGATTTGCATCAGAGCAGCACAATTTGGAAACAAACTACTAGTTCCCCCAAGGCCCTAATTTTCCTCCCTGCTCTACTCAAAAACAACTTTTGGCAGGCTCTTTATGTAAGTAAGGGTATGATCCTGGCGCTATTTTTTATTCTGTGGGACAGGGGAGCTGTTGTGGTGGTTGTTGGATTTCAAAGCGGATGCAGGCATGTTTGTGGAGCGATAATTAATCTCATAAGAGTTTGAGTGAGAAAACATACCACTTCATCATCTTCTACCAGCACCATGTCATAAGCACTGAGAGCTCCACAGAAGATGATACAGGTCACCCCTTCGAAGCAGTGGATCCACTTTTTGCGCTCAGACCGCTGCCCACCTACATCAAACATCCTGCAGAAAGAAGAGTCATGATTATGATATTTATTTTCAAAGGTAACCATTTGAAACAGCATGCTAGAAGGGAGGAGTCATTCCTCAGCATTGTAGCTTTAAATGAACATATGATTGGAACTCACAACAGGTGAATATTTTACCGTTCATCAGGCCAGAGGCATAATGCAACAATTCAGACAAAAACATGAAGATAATACCAGAAATGTAAAACTGACACAGATTGGCAAAATATTTATTTAGAAAAATGTATATCCCTTTTGATCTCCAGGGAAATAGCTAACAAGCAACCATTGAAACAGTAAATGTCCAAAGAGAAATCAGAAGGCTAAAAGTAGCAAAACAGAATATGTAGAATAGCTCCACCAACAAAAATCAAGCTGAGGTCAATTAAAAGGGGAAATAACTCCTATGGTTGCTGCAGAGAGACAGTAAATATAAAAATCATAGAAGCCACAGACCATTTTGAGAACTGAGGGCACTCAGTGATGGGGCCACGCAGGCTTCCTTGGGAAGGGCATCCCGTAAGAGTAAGGGGACACAACTAAGAAGGCCCTGCTACACTTCTGTGCTGTAGTGGTGCAGTGAGTAGGACTTCACACATGAGAATAAAGCACAGTGTACTCTGTAAACAGGCATATACAGGAGGAGACAATCTTTAAGATAAACAGAGTTTATCCATGTTGCCATTTGGTAGATGGAACATGGAATGTGCTGTGATTGAATAAAGAGCAAGGAGGGCTACCTAGAAGGGTTTTCTTTCTCACCTGAAGTTGAGGTCTTTGACACCAAACTTTGTCTCTATGATACCTGTGGTCTTAACTCGTGATCGCAATACATCCTGTTCGTTGGGGAGGTAGCCGGGAGCACATATCCTATCCAGTTGGTTCAGGTAGCTGCAGAAGGAAATGGAGATGTAATGCTGTAATGTCTACAGCACATGTGGGGGCTTTGTAATAAATTGTTCATCCTCACAAATTGGGGAGGTAAATCACTATTTGTATTCCCCATTTTTCAGATGGGAAGCTGAGGCCGAGTGACTCTTCCCCAAAGCCATCTGGAGTCTTCATGGCTTAGCAAGGTGTTGAACCCAGATCTTGCAGGATCGGACCACTACATCCTTTTGGCTGAACGTAATTACCCTTGACTTGTCTAGATCCAAGTGGTTGGAAGTGTTAGGTGATGTGTATATTATACTCATATGCACAGAAAACCATATGTGAACAGCTGGGAACTGGGTTCAAAATGTTCTGCTTCTACAAAAATGGAGAGTAACAGGTTAAAGAGGACTCGGGCAGCAATACTGTCTCTGCTAATGCAGTGGCTTAGAACACATGCAAACATTTACCAGGGCTCTCTGCTTCTCTAAGGTACTGCAAGAATTGTGCAATTGTTGTGGGTTACTAATTTGCAGTTTATTAGGCGGTTGTATTTGGTTGGATCTGTTTAAATTTGCAGCTGTTTGCTTTTGCCAGCCCTTCGGTCATGGCTAGGATAGACCTCTGTTTGTTTCAAACTTCCGCCAACAAAGCTAGCAAAAACAGAAAGGGATGGCTCCTGGTCAATTGCTCCACAAGGAAATTGGCAGCCATTATATTTACTGTGGGCACAGCCAGCGCTTTTGGTTCCCCAGGCCCTAAACTGCCCTAAGAAGTGTACAGCAGAAAGCAAATAGGCAGTGCACATCTAACCTGCCCTAAGCTTCCAGCTGCATTGTTAGAAGGCTTGGTTGTGGTGGCACAATTGCAGAGCACCCTGGAGCAGTAGTGATGTGGCACTGGAGGTCTGCAGACTAGGGACCATTTGTCATGCTCCTGTTCTTTTTCACTTCAAGCAAAGAGCATCTTAACACACATGTTGGGTGGGGTCACCTCTCTTATCCATACTCGCCAATTGCATGGGAGCCTCTTTCCTGTGAGTTGATCCCACACTCCTGGGAAGTATGAACAGCCCAGCCAAATGGTGGATTTCAACCCTGTCGAGTGCCAGTGAGGTGCAAAATACTTAAATGACTAGTCTTACCCATGTTGCTGCATTCACACCTGCTCTCCAGTGATGTGGGATCTCTCTGCAGGGAAGTGACTCCCGTGCTGCTTAGCATCTATGGGAAGGGGACTACCGGCTTGGAGATCGTGGGTTGCATACAGGGTTCCTGTTGCATTCCCACATTAGACTTCCGCTTGCACAACGGAGCTTACTCTTCCATCTCCATCCCCACCCTCTCCATCCTCAAGATCTGCTCTGGAGGATTGGGGGTCCTTCCAAAGCATGGGGAGAGAGGAGGAGGGAAAAGTCTAGTTGTACAAGTAGAGCTCTTGTGCAACATTGAATGGAACGCTATGGTAAGGCACAAGGAAAGAAGTGATCTGCAGAAGCTTGCTGCATTTCAAAAGATGGAGAAGCCTGACAGGGCAAGTTCATTTGCTTTGTGTACTACATATGTTTGGGGCTGATGGGATTTGTAGTCAAAAAATATCTGGAGGGCACTAGCTAAAGCTGAAATGTACTATATAAATGCATGGCAGTCTCTCTCTCTCTGAAGTCTCCCTGCCACAACCCCTTGTGCTGGCAATATTGCCTCTCCCCTCCCCAATATGCTTCCACAGGGACCAACTTACTAGGAGGCAGAGTCATTGAGCTGGTACTCAGCGGCTCGCTCAAAGCAGGCCTGAACACCTGCATCCTTCCAGAGTTTGGTTATACAGTCCACTAGCTCTGGAGGCATGGTTCCTTCTTCGATGGAGTCAGCCAAGTTGAACAGCTGTCGCCCCTCATCCTGTAAAGATACAAAGCCTGTAAGGAGACTGTGGTTTCCTTGGTGACAAGGGTATGGCAGAACCTCATAGTCAAGTGTTTGTATTTTTCACCCTCACAACCTGTTTTTAGCCGCACAGTTTGGGCACTTCATAATTTCCTCCTTTCTGACTTTGCAAAGGTCTTCTTATTGGGCATGCATCAAATCAGAGGACAACAGTGCATTAAAAAAAAGGAGGAACAGTTGTTTCCCAGGGCCATTATTGACAAGTGAAGAAAAAGTCCAAATTGCAACAAATCAACTTTGGTCTGGAGATTTAAAAAACAACAAAAAACCTCCTATGGTTGGTCGATGGTTTCTCAAGTTGAGCATTTCTTGTGAAGTATTTTGAGAAGGTGCAAATACAGTAAGGATCTGCTGCGGATGATTTAAGCTGTAACATGTAGGGGGAAAGCTGGTCTGTGCTTCCACATTACAGTATTACTCACATGGATGCAGATGTATGTGCTACCATCTTGGCACCTTCTGTGTAGTGATCTGCTCCAACATGGCATCTTTCCAGAAACATCATGCGTTGGGTGGTATCCCAGCACACTCGCACTCTTACCTTTTTCAGTAAGTACTTTGATTCTCACCATTAATGGTGTTAGGTAGGAGAAGGTAAAGTGTAACTGTGGCCACAGCCTAGGTACCACTGGAGGTCTTATTCTGACACCATAATTCTAGGAGCGAAGGAAGCTGCCTTATAGACCAGCTGTTCATCTCTCTCCGAATTGACTGCACTGACTGGCAGTGCCCTCACCTGTATCTCATACAAGAGAATCTTTCCCAACCCATTCCAGAGATGCTGGGGACCTTCTGCATGCAAACCAGATGCTCTACTGCTGAGTTACAGCCCTTCTATGAATCAGCTCCAGTGAATCTATGGCTACTGCTCTTGAAAAGTGGTCTTTAGCCACCAGGTGGCATCATCCCATAGCTGCTTCGACTTGAGGCTGAAGCCCAAATCTATCTCTTTTTGATATCTTATGAAGTGTGCGGCCCAGTGCATTGAGATCACAGTTACACTAACTCTTACTGTTCTGGTGCTTGGATATTCCACCTGTCCTTTCCTACCTATTTTTTATTCAGAACATCCCATGGAAATAAAGATAGGAAACGTATCTAGCGGCAATGGCATTCCTTTTGTATGATTATACATATTGACCTTGAACACAAATAAACAAACTTTAATAGCAGGTCCCTTTTTAGCACATCAGCCACATTGTAGCTGCAAATGCCTTGGCCCTCGCCTTTCCCAGAGATCCTCATTCGCTCAACGAAAACATGCTGCTGTCATGCACAAGGATACTGACCGCTCGGCTAGAATCCGCATAATCAATCCCCAGGGTGGTCATGGCTCTGATGATGGCCAAGATGGACTGCAAGATGTTGCCATAAATAACTGCTTTGAACTCCAAACATTCTTCTTCCGTGTAACCATCTTGATGGATAATCCTGGGTAAGAATGGGGGGGGGGGGGGAATAGTCGCCATAGATGAAATAACCACTCTGGATCTTCTTGAGAAGTTCTATCCATTTTATAGAGATGCATAATAAATGGCATCTATTTGCATTGGGGGAAGAAAGTTTTTTAAAAGGACCATAATCTAAGACATCACAGAGTAAAGCCTGCCCCAAACCACGTTGGCTGAGATGACCATGTCTGGGTGAAGAACACATTTTGCCCCATGCCTGATTGTACGCCATGGGGCAGCAGTTTTGACATTTTCCCATAACAATAAATGGCTCCCATTAATTGTGCAGCAAAAATGAGAATACTGTCTATCCCATTGAAAGGCCTTGAGTTTTATTTGTATGTTACTTGAATGTGAAGGCTGTTAAGTCCTAGATACATGGACAGATATGATGTATAAGGTCATCACCTATAAAGGACTTGTAGGAAAATGTTGCCAAGATGCCTCATGATATATAATTAGCTGCCCTTCCACTGAAGGCCTGTGTATTAAATGATGGCCGTTAAGTTTGTAGGTCACTTTTCTATTGTTGGAATTCATGAGTAGGGTAGGTGGGTGGGTGGGTGTGGGTGTAGTCACATTGGTTACTGCTACAGTTTAAGATGCCTCTTCCTGTATGGTTTGCACTTTCACTCTGGTGTTAAATCTAAGTTCCCAGAAAGTTTTGAGTATCCCAGGGAATACTAAAGGCTACTAAAGGAAGAGTAACAGAACTGCATTCATCTTTTGCTGTTTGTTTGTCAGTTCATAAGCCACAGGGCTTAGAAATCTGACATTATGGACTTTGTCAACAGCCTTTATTGCAGGCTTATTATTATGAGGATTACTAAAACCATGTGCAGGGAAATTAATGTAAATTAGTCAATGAATCCGCTATAGCAGGAACTGGGGATCTGGTGCCCTCCAGATGTTGTGGACTACAATTCCCATTAGTCCCAGTCAGCATGGCCAATGGTCAGGGATGACGGGAGTTGTAGTCCAGCAACATCTAGAGGGCAACAGGTTCCCCATCTCTGTGCTATAGCATATAAAGCATTATTTCTTCCTTATCCTGCTCAGGATCAGCTTGTGAAGCAAGCAGTTATTCCATGTTGCCCTAGCTTGCTTTTAACTAAATGCTATTTTTATTTGTGTTTTAAGCCTTCCATAATCTGTTTAAGTTATTTGTCCCAGCTCAGTCCGCTTGCCAACAACAGCCTCTAAATGTGCTACTCTGGGTTGGTGTGGGATAGCAGCGCAGGAGGAAAGGGCTGAAGGACGCCCCTGTTTTTAGGACTCTTGGTCCCCAGTCTAGAAGGCAATACTCACTTCATCTGTTTGACAATTGTACTCTTGCCCGACTCTCCAGCACCTGGAAGAAGTAAAAGGAAACAGATTAATGGCAGAATATGGGGAAAGATACACACGCAGATCACTATGCAAAAAGACAGGGGTCATTTTGTCTTGGCACTTAACTATTTTATATTTTCTTACTGGAATGTCTTTCCATTGCCAAGTTCCCCAGTTCAGACGTTAGGTCACCAGGCTTACTCATGCAAATAAATGCCCATGGCCTATTCATATGGGTGACATAAGATCAGAGGGGACATGTGGCTTCGTGTTTGTGGAGGAACATCAGTGATCACTACCTCCTCCTCTGATGCACATATGGATGGACTATTCACGTGGACAGTTAGTTGCTTGAGCAAGACAGCTGCACACCTTCTTAAGCAACACCTAGGGTAAATGATACGGCAGTATACAGGAGCTTTAGAAACTGCAGGTGACATTAGATAGGTCAAATTGGCACACTTCATTTGTGCTTATATCCAGCTGGCTTTCTGAAAGGTGGTGTTTTGCAATTTTGTGCACCTAATTCAGATTTTTAACTTGAGATTTTGAAAGCGATGTAAGGGATGTAAGGTGGGCATGATGGTTGGGGGGGGGGAGAGGAAATTATGCATTGTGGGGAACAGGAGCATAGGCTAGCAAACTCAACAGCCCAAAGAGCTTGAGACATGCTGCAAGAGGCGTTGTTGCTCACTATTACCCTGCATTTTGGCAATACCACACACCCCATTCTTTGTGAAGTAACTGAGGTTCAACCCAGCATTGAAGTCCAGTCCCAGATATCTGGGAGGGCAAAGGCTTCCTTAGTAATATAAGCAGGGTGGTGTGTTCATTGTTTGATGTGTCTTGAGATACATCCCAAAGAGGAGCCTTGGCCTATTAAAAGACATCCCACCCTGAATACTGAAGCATTCCTAATTCAAGTTGAAGACCTGTCTACAACTTTATTTATAACTGCAGTAAAGCCTGTTGCTGTTGGACCTGACTCCTTCATATATTATTTCTACATCAACCATTAATATGTACCAGTAATATTTTTTCTCTCCCTATGAAATTATTCTGAAAGACTACTTTATTGACTGAGCCTAATCCACACATGCAGGAGAATGATGTGGCAAACGGTTTCAGAAGATATGGTGTTAGTCTTGCTTCCATTCCCCCTCTCCTCCCTCCCTGTCTTTCCTTCCTAGCATTACAGCGTAGCACAACAAAGTTTAAAATACTATCCTCCATAGAATTCCTTTGCAGAGTTTCAACATGCTCTCAATTAAGATTCCACAGGTAGGGACTATGAACAGAAGACAAGTTAGCTCACATTTTTCTCTCCCTCCTAAACTTCAATATATTTTAGAATATTTGCTAAGGAATAAGAATATACCTGTTTCAGTTTTCCTTCAATCCCTGACCCCCTCCATTCTCTTCTGTAGTTACAGTCTAATGTTCTAAGGTAGAAACGGTTTTGTTGCTTCAGATTATAGGTGGGGATTCAATGATTTAATGTTCTCCTGTGTTAAAAACACCCACACAATCCCTGCTAACTGAAAACTAGCACAGTAAGGAACAGATTGGCTTTGAATCCCTCAGACTAATTTCCTAGTCTTTTTATTTGCAGGGAGTTGAAACAAAAATATGTGAAACTATTATAAAATGCAACCCGCCCCTCAGCAGCCTTTCTGTTTTTGCAGTTAAATGTTACAGATCTGTACCATATATGAGTTGAAACTAACACTTGAAGAAGCTACATTTCTCTCTCTCTAAAATGGTGTATACACTACAGTGGTACCTCGGGTTACATATGCTTCAGGTTACAGACTCCGCTAACCCAGAAATATTACCTCGGGTTAAGAACTTTGCTTCAGGATGAGAACAGAAATCGTGCTCTGGCGGTGTGGCGGCAGCAGGAGGCCCCATTAGCTAAAGTGGTGCTTCAGGTTAAGAACAGTTTCAGGTTAAGAACGGAGCTCCGGAACGAAATAAGTACTTAACCCGAGGTACCACTGTAATTACAACAGATTAGAAGAGCAAGGAGTTACCGGGAACATGTAACGTGTCCCTGCTGAAAATGTAATGTGTAAAGCCTCTTGATGCAAACTGCTAAGCACAAAATCACTGCTCCAACTGCTAACTAGAAAATTCCTTCATAGGCCAATGAAAGTTGCTGATGTTTGCCAGTCTGACCAGTCGTGTCTATTTCATTGATGAGAAAAGAGAGCGGGAGCAGTTCATTATTTGTATGGGGTTTTTTTAGAGCTTGAAATAAGTGCAAGAAAATTTCCCATCAGACTTTAGAGTACATCTCTTTGGAAATGTGGCTGTGCAGGTCTGGGTGGCAACTCTCATGGAGAAATCCACCAAACAACTGGAACTTAGAGATACCATTCCGAAAGAGATAATTTTATTGATAAATTGTTTTTGTTGCATTCAATATGGAAATTGAAAGAAATGCACTTTACACTCTCTGGCTATACAAGGACATCTTTAGAGAGACCTATTGGCATGAAAAGGGGCGCCAATGACATGGGATGTTTGTTGCAAATCTTCCACTAGGGAATATACTCTTGGACACAGATACTTCAGACACTTTCCATGTTTATCTTGAGGCTTTTGTTTTGTTTTGTTTTAGAGAGAGAAGATGCCCTGTCTACTTGTGTCTTGCTGCAGTTATGCTGGAGTAAACATTTTTTTTCTTAAAAAAAACAAAACAAAAACTTTAAAAATCTAAACTAGTTCGGATCTGAGCAACATTGTGTGCTTCTTGGAGTATCTACTAAAGATGCTGGTGTTGATTTTTTGAAGAGATCTTGCATGGAAGAAGACACAGCCTTGCTAATAAAGTGTTAAATATGTTTCAGTTATTGCTGGAACAGAAAGCATTATGCGAGCCTCTCAGGGGATGCATGTTAAAGGAACAGTGCAGACAGTTGGAGGAATCTGGTCCCCACCCCACCCCCCACCCCCGTGCAACTATGTCAGTCTCTATAAGTAGAAAGCCTTTGGTAATGCAGCATTCCTTGCAAAAGGGTATGGATTGTGCCATTTCCAGGATGTCATGCAAGAAAGCAAAAGAGGAAATGCTGGGAGTGTTCCTACGACACGCATTAAGAATAAAGAGGCAAAGTAATTACTAAGGAAGTTACCAAGGGAATGGATTTGGATAGAGGCCAAATCATTCTGCTGGGCCTCCCCATGCTGGGCTTAGCGACACAGCAGATCCTTCTGTATCCACCTATTATTATTATTATTATTATTATTATTATTATTATTATTACAGTATTGATTATATTTATATACCGCCCATACCCACAGGACTCAGGGCAGTTCACAGGATAAAATCACAATATAAAAACACAAAATGCATAATCAAAATAAAAACAAGAACAACCCAATAACCCCCCGCAAATAATCAGAGAGGGAAAATAGAATTTTAAAAGCACATACACAATATTTGTAATGAAAAATATAAAAATAAGCACCCATCAGGTATCATCAAGGAGTAGATTAAAAGTTCAATTTAACTGCCTTTCAAATCAAAACATTTTAGCTATTGGTCCCCCCCCCCAACTGCAACCATTCATAGAAGCTCTTTGATCCAGTGGAGGCTGGATTTAATATTTTGGCTGGCTGCTTTAATATTTTGATTTTTCATTTCTGAAATGCCTCAGGTTTCCTCCCAGTACTGTGCATGAACTGTTTAGGAGACAAAACTTCAGTCTAATAAGGATTTGTGGTCTTGGTGCTTGCAGTGTACACTGTTCCTATTATTTAGATGGCAAAGTGGCCTGGCAGGAAGATTCTTTCTTATCCTCACCTGGCTATTCTTGGTTATTTCTCACTGATATCTCTCTTTTTGTCCATCTCCCCCCCCTCTCCCCCCCCTCTCACACACACACACAGAGAAAGCTAGTATGCTAAATGCACTCAATAATTTGATTGTATGATTGTCACGGCAGCTCTTGGATTCTGCTTGTGAAATCACTAGTAGTAAGAAACACAACTCCATCCTAGGGTGCCATTTCAGATTCCAAAATCGAGTAGTTGTGGAATTATATCTAACTCAAGGAGATGGTGGACTGCCTACAGATGATATGAGGCCACAGACAAATTGTGGTTCCTCACAGGCTGGCATTCAGCCTTAAGCACCCAGGTCAAGAGATGAGGCCATCTCAGTATCTCTTTCTGTCTCTCTCTCTCTCCTAAACATTTCTATTGCTGTCTGTTAACCCAGCACAAGTAGAAGGTTAAATACTGAAGCCAACAATGACTAGGTAAACTAAGACCAGCCTTTGAAATTACTAGGTAGGCCAGGCCTATGCTGAATATCACCCCTGGCAAGTGCGTAGGAGCAGTTCACAGCATGGTTCCAAGGTTTGCTCCTGGATCTAGTTCCAAAAAAAGCTGCCCAGTAAACTTGTAGATGGGGGTGCTCCCACGGAATATGTGGCCTGGAATCAGGGAGGGACACCATCTCCACTGCTGCTCCTCAACTGGCACCCCTACTTTTATATTTTATTTGCAGGTTCAGCACTTTACTGATGTGCTAATTAGGCTAACCCCGGTCAGCAAACCAGAGTACAGATATCCCCCTTCAGCAATGGAGGCTGGTCTAATAGGGCGAATGGGGAATAGCCCCTCCACCTCAGTCTGCCCCAGAAGCCAGCCCCTACTTGCCTGTCTTGTTCAGTGCAACCAATCAGGCCGTGGCTCTGCCTGTCATTGGTTCTGGCTCCACCTACTGTTGGCACATCTGCCTTCCGCCCTACCAGTCCTAATGAGGATCAGCTACCATTGCCCTCTGGGCAAGGCCACCATCACTTCTGTTACATGGGAGCTGATGTTGCATGGGAGCTAGCATTACTGCCATATTGAATTAATGATGCATGAATTTATTGTCAGCTGGAAATACCCCATGTACATTACTACCCCTAGGGCCAAATCAGACTGTGTATTGGAGTTGAATCCCAACAACTTCTGGAAGGTTCCTCACCCTTCTGTACTAGAACTAAACACAAAAAATCAGTCCTTCAAGATAGTTGTCTAGACAACTTTTTCATTTAAGGGAAGTACCTGGGTTTTGCTAAGCAGGGCACACTTGTGAACCACATTCCTATACCTCCTTTCCTGTGAATAAACCCCATTGAAATCAATAGGATTTACTTCTGCATAGGATTACACTATAAATGCCCCTCTCCACGTTTGTATCAAACCATACCTCCACCTACAGGTATTCCAATTCTAGTGACGGCCAACAGCCCTAAGTTGAGACAACCTGGAGACAATGTGGGCTATTTTTAAAAAGGCAACAATATAGTCCCAATTATGTTTTAAAATTTGCTTAGTTACAGAGGCCTTCTCACCGCTGCAAAGTAGATACATAATAGTAACTTCCACTGGGACTGATTCATATTTTACCTCACATCAGTAGATATTTGCGTTTTAGATGTGCTGGCTTAGAAGTGTGTGTTCTTTAGGTGCTCACTTTTTCAGGAGTAGGGAAGCTTTTTCAGCCTGAGGGCAGCATTGCCTTATGGGCAGCCCTCAGTGGTGGGTGGAGCCAGAGGCCAAAGTGGGTGGAGCAACAGATCAGTTGCTTGAACAGTAGTCAAGAGGTTGCTACACATACACACCTCCACCTCCATCCTGGCAATTGAGTACTATCATACTTCAGGGACACATTCCAGCTAGTCAAAAGCACAAGGAAGGGTGCAGAGAAAGGCTGGAAAGGAGGTATGGGTCTGATGGGAATTCCTAGGGCCAGATAAAGGGCCTGAGGTTCCCCACCCAGCTCTACTTCTCAACAGTTATCTTCTTCGCTTGCCCTTCAGTCTTCTTCAGCAGCCACAGTATGTTTCCTCATCTCATCACCTTAAGCTGCTTATTCCAAAACAGGAAGCTGCTTAGAATTAGGACTTAATCACCCTGATCCTAACCTCCCTGCTGTCACCTGAAGGAACCCATGTTGCACAGTGGCAGGCAAGCACAGGCTATCTGCACATTTGATATATGCTACTTCAGCTATTTGATCTATGCTCTTCTTTTTTTTTCTTCCTGTGGAAGGTTTATTGCAAGAAGCCATTTTGTTGGAGCAAGCACATGGGATCCTGCTTCTTTCCCATGCAGGAGGAGTTTCCATGCAACCCACTGTTCCTAATAGCAGTGGTTTCTAATTTCTCAAACTTTGACTTGGCTGAGCTAAAAGGCGGGAGTGGCAACATCTTTTCCTGCTGCATGTAGAATGCCAGAGGTGCTTTTATCTTGATCTTTGAATTCTCAGGGGCTGGGTGGGTGAACAGGCTTTCTGGCCTGGGTGTGACATCTGTGTTCCTAAATCCTCTAGGCTTTTGTGTCTGGAGAAGCCTGTGCTTTTCAGACCACTATTGAATGAGCTGGCACAAGGTGTTCCCTTTCCTTTGCCCAGTAATAAACTGTGCACTGCTGTTCGTTTCTGCATCTCAGCTGCACCTACGGTCACCCACCACGGGACTCCAAAAATTCACTGAGCTCGCACAACTTTACAAGATGTCCAGCTACTTTCTTTAACTATGCACTTTCTTGTCTCAAACTTCTTTTGTGCCACCTTCTGTAAAATCTCCATTAGTCACTTTCTTCCCACTAATTCACATTCTAGATTAGTTCATGGCAGAGAGCAACATCTGGTAGCCCACAGATTCCCCATCCCTGGGTTATGGAAACAGCTCACAGCTATGAGCCACACAGGCAGGGCATCATTCAGATGAGTTTATATGTGCAGCAATCAGGAGCTTGGGAAGATGTACACTCCTAGGAGCACTGCACATCCTTGTTATACTTGGAAAGTCATCAGCCACAAAAACCACAGATAAGAACATAAGAGCCCTGATGGATTATACCAAAGAGCTAACTGAGTTCGGCATCCTGCTTCTCACAGCAGCCAACCGGATGCCTATTGTAAGCCGACAGAAGAAGGTGAGGGTAATATTCCAGTTCTGCTGTGGCTCCCTAGCAACTGCTACTCAGATGGCCTGCTGCTTTTGATCCTGTAGGTAGTATGCAGCCATATTGATGAGCAACCATTGATTGCCTTATCTTTCATGAACTTCTCTAATTCTCTTCCAAAGCTGTCCAGGTTGGTGGCTATCACCACATCTTGTGCTAGCAAATACTGCAGTTTATGTGGTGTGCAAAATACTTGCTTCTATCTGTCCTGTATCTCTTGACATTCAGTGTCACTCTCGTATTATGAGAGAAGGTGCAAAACCTTTCCTCTAGCCATTTTCTCTGCACAATGCATAATTTTATACTCCCATACTTGTCTCCCCTCCACCTCATGCACCAAACTAAATACCGTATTTTTCGCTCTATAACACGCACTCGACCATAACATGCACGTAGTTTTTAGAGGAGGAAAATCCGTAGGCATGCCACCCGTAGGCATTCCCTCCATAACACGCACAGACATTTCTCCTTACTTTTTAGGAGGAAAAAAGTGAGTGTTATGGTGCAAAAAATACGGTAATTGTCAGGAGCCAGTCTATGACAATAACCAGCTTTGAGGGGCACATGAAGCATCACTGAAGGTGTCTGAAGATATCAAGTGGGAATGTTCAGCATTGCATGGAATTACAACTTGGGGGGGGGGGGGAGAGGATCCACTCTTGCCTCTCAGTAAAGCTGTCTAGAATCAAAGTCAATCTATTTTGATGCTGGCCTTCTGCCGGTCTCTTTCATGTTTCGTGACAAGAGGTTCAGGGGATAGACACTGAAACCACATAGGGACAAACCTCCGTTGCTGGTCTGAACACCAACCCCAAAGCACAAAGGGTACCTGGAATCAATCAATACTCTTTCAGCAAAAGGATAATACCTAAGTCAACATCAATATAAACAGACAGAATGCTTTCATTCTGAGCCAGTGTGGTGTAGTGGTTAAGAGCGGTAGTCTCGTAATCTGGGGAACCGGGTTCGCGTCTCTGCTCTTCCACATGCAGCTGCTGGGTGACCTTGGGCCAGTCACACTTCTTTGAAGTCTCTCAGCCCCACTCACCTCACAGAGTGTTTGTTGTGGGGGAGGAAGGGAAAGGAGAATGTTAGCCGCTTTGAGACTCCTGAAGGGGAGTGAAAGGCGGGATATCAAATCCAAACTCTTATTCTTCTTTCAATTTCTATAGCTATTATCAAGTAAAGGCTGAATTTTGTAACATGAATTCATTTCTAAGTCCTATAAGAAAGCAAACCTGGATTGACACCAATGCCTTTCCTTCAGCACCACAGACCCAAGGATCTGAAAAGCCTTTGCTGTTCATTCAAAGAAAACTTGACTGCAAATAACTATCACATTATAACCTCATCTCTCGAGCCTCACAACTGTCCTTATGGGCTGGTGATGAAAATAAGGTTAGGATGGCTTAAAGGGCAAGTTCAGGGTGTATTATTTTGGCAGAGCCAATTGAGAATACCTAATGTCCTTTAGATAGGGTGTTTATATATCCACCTTTGAGAGGATAGGGACCTATGTCAGGCTCCATTCCTCTTCTTTTTGAAAAGGCCGTGAAAAGGCTGACAGATCAATTTGCCACCTCTTCTTGTGAAGGGAGATTGAATGCAAGAGACATGGTTTTGCACATTCAAAAATAACATGGGCCATAGCTTTCCTTGTTCTCCTCCAGCCATTGACTCTCCTTGGAAGCACTTAATCTCTTCTGACAACTGTGGTGCCTGAGACTGCTTTGCTGGAGAGGGGTGTTTGTGACATCTTGTTCTAGCCAATGGGCTGAGAGATCTTGAGTTCCGCCTGATCGGCCGACTTAGGAGGTCATCAAGCTAATGAGGAACCATCTGGTGCTACTTAGGAAAACATACTTTCTATTTTTATTTTTTGAATTCTGTTTCTCAGTGTGTGCTGAAACAAGCTATTTCTCTGCCATATTTCAAGGTCCTTGGCTATTTGGGCAGTAGTGATCTGTTGCTTGGCAGCAACGTCAACCATAGTTTTTGTCATCGTCTGGGAAAAGCCTAATTTGGAAAATGGCATACAGAGGGTGGCTGCCTTCATTCCATGTGCGTCATGGTTAAATCAGAACTGAAAGGCACTTTCCCATTTTTTATTATTTTTACCACCAGCACCCTACTGAAATGAAACACTTTCCTCTCCCATCCACAGCTGTTGGTATAGAATAGCTAGGTTTTCCCTTTGGAATTCTTCATTCGGAAACGTGTGATAGTATAGGAAGCCCAGGAGAGAGCTGCCTTCTCATTTTGCTCGCCAGTGGTGTGTTCCCCTTGCAGCCCACCCCCTACAAGATCTCATTACAGCACACCTACCGAGCAGTAGCAGCTTGACTGTCTTTGCCTCTTTATCTGCATCCTCCTGTAGCTTCTTTTCCAGTTCTTTGGACCTCTTGGCAAGTTCCTTATCCTCTGCACTTGCTCCACTCCCCATCTCACCGTCTCCTTCTTCCTCTCCTTCCTCCTCCTCCTCCGTTGGTTCCTGAAGCCCCTCTAGCTCTTCGGTTTGTTCCAGCTCTTCAGATTGGTTGACTCACCCTTTTCCGGGTGGAGGAGACGAAAAAGACCAAAATAAAAGTATCTTACGCGGAATCCTCCAGGGTGATGAAGAAGGTATTCCACGGAGCTGCCTTAGCTCCGCAGCTGCAGGCGGCAAGGCAGCTGGTCCAAGACTGCTAAGAAGGTAGCATCAGAGTTCTTCACCTTGCTCTGTGCTCTTTTCCCCTCCCCCCACTCCCTGCTAAGTCTTCGTGGGTAACCCAATTTTGTTACGGTGGATTTGAGGGCTTTTTATCTCGCCATGTGACCTGGGAAATCCAATTATAAAAGCCCAAGATGGCAAAGATTAATGACTGGCAAAGCAGAACATTGAACCCAAGCTGTGGCGCCGTGTGGTATAGGGGAAGATGCTTATGCAACACGAGGATGTAACATAGCAGCTCCCCCAGTGAGAAGAGGCTACGACGTTTGGGGATTTTTAGTTTAGAAAAATAGGTGAGTGAGGAGCAGGCGACAGGAAGGATAATGTATAAAGTAATACTTGGTACAGAGAAAATGGATGTGGATGAGCATTCCTCCCTCTCATATAATATTGGAACCTGAGGCCATCCAATTAAGTTGAATGTGAGGAGATTCAGGACAGATAAAAGGACATCATTAAAACTATGGAGTTCGCCCCCCCCACAACGTGTAAGGATGACCACCAACTTCAATGGGATATGGCATGAAAAATAAGGCTATCAATGGCTGTGGGTCATGATAGCTCTGTATTCTACTTTCAATATTGGAGGTGCATGTTTCTCAATAGCTGCTGCCAAGGAACACAAGTGGGAGTGAGCTATTCCACTCCTGCTGCTTCTGAGCTTCCTTTTCACATCTGGTTGGCCACTGTGTGAAGCAGAAGGCCTGCCTTCGATGGGCCTTTGTTCTGATCGAACAGGGCTCCTCTTAGGATTGGATGCTAACAGCTCTCTCTACCTACGTACTAGGCAAGGATTCCTAATTCCCAAAGGAGGCCTCATAGTCAGCTCCTCCCCTTGGAGGCCTGTTGGGGGATTAATTAATAAACTAATAGTTATTATTCATTGAATTTATATTCCAAATGCTCAGAGCTGATCATCACCGTCAGTTTATTTGTATGCCATTTTCTCACAAAATTGTGCCCAAAGTGGTTCATAACATATTGGGTGAACAAATATAGCCATTCTCTCTCTCTCTCTCTCTCTCTCTCTCTCTCTCTCTCTCTCTCTCACACACACACACACACACACACATACACAATTAGAAATATAACACTAATAAATAATTACCAAAAAATCAATCCACACAAGTTTGTATAAAATAATACAAATGAACTAACCTAATTTAACAGCTTAAAACTAACCAGAAATTTAAAAAGTAGTATACAAAGCACCCACACACTCCAGATGGATCTTTTCCCAATAGTTTGGACCCAATCTGATGGGGAAGGTGGCTTAAGAATTTGTTGAGGCCCAAATGTACAAGCTAGTCTCATTTTGGCAGCTGCAACCCAGTAAACTTAATAACATTTATCCCCAACAGGTGCCGCCTAGGGATTGACCATGGAGATGGCATCGCTGAAATGCATGTGTAATTAGATGCAGCTATTTCTGTTCCTTTACTGCTCTTCTCCCCCACACAGTCAGGAAGAGTACAGAATTCTGACACTAGTATTCTCTCGCTCACCAAGGAAAAGGTGGCAGAGCTTCCTCCCTCCCAATAGGCTGGGAATAGCAGGAGGACCATGCCTATGCAACAACATCTTCAAGGAATGCTTTGGTGCTTTTCACATGAACTGCCCCATAGGCCTGGCTTTGCCATCATCAGAGCTTGTGAAAATGTGAGGTGACCCCCCCCCACACACACAGTGGCACAAAGGCCAAAATAGATGTGCTGCTCAGCATATTAGGGGAAGATGGGGAGCTTCTGGGTTTTGTTTGCTTTTCTGTTTGCATAGACGAAAGGAAACGAACACACGTCTCAGTCCTAGAAGCAACCATCAGCCATTGAAACGGGGTGGGGTATATCCCTTGTGCACAGTTGTGTTTCTGGGCATTAGGGCTGGGATAAATGAAGAACAAAATGCACTCCTCTCTTTCCTTTTTCCTCTGTGCAGCCCTGGCTCTTCTGAGGAATAAGATAATTCACTGAGGTGGGGAACGAGTGAGTTTAATCCTTAAGTGCTGGCAAGCAGAATTGCACCCGCTAATCATGCTTCTCTCTATCCTGCTACTTAAGCTCTTTAAACTGCTGGCTTTGCTCACAAAATCCTCCCCCCTCCTGCAGCAAACTCCTACATCTTGGGAGGTTTGCAGTTCTAGAAGGATCAGGAGATCTCTGTGCGCACTCTCTCTGTGTGTGTGCTGGGCCGATGCCTGCTGGAGGAGGCCTTCTTAATGCTCCCAGTCTGATAACCCCACTGACAGGTGTTCTCCCCAGCCACTTTCCCCACAGCCCTGTACTCCTGCCCCCCTTCTGTTACATACCCTCTTAACATTTCTTAGATGAAAATAGGGACATTCTGTCCTACGTCAGGAAGCCTCATTCTCACTGAACACATTGTCTGTCTGTCGTTCTGTCTGTCAGTCATTGAATCTTATTTTCAATTAATTGGATGCATGCCCTGGAAGGTGATTTGGCTGAGCACTTACAAATGCACAGCTGATGTCCACTTATTTCATAGAACCTTTGTGTTAATGGAGTCTGAGTATATGGTGCCAATTGACTAGTACGGTATAACTGAATACTAGCAGCCTCATACCCAGCATTACTCAGGAATTCTAAGAAACCAAAAGTTCATTGCAGTTTTGAAATCAGTACTTAAAACCCACGGTTTTGAAAGGTTCATGCTGCCATCTCGATTCAAAACACCATCCAATTGTATCCGGGATATAAATTTTGTTGTTGTTGTTGTCGTTGTTGTCCAAACACAGACAAAAGCCTGTTCCTTGATCTCAGTTCAGGAATAATCGTGCAAAATCTGGTTACACTATCTTAAGAGGTGCACAACAAATAACTTTCTAAAATGCTGTAGATAATAAAACGTTTGCTTTTAACCTTAAGTAGTTATAGGAAGAAGGGCATGTTTATAAGATAGATCAGAGAGGCTAGGGAATGGAGCCACATGAGCCATAAGCTTTAGGATTACTATATTGGAAAAAGTGAGGGATTTCTTCCACATTAAGCCAGGCTTCCCCAACCTGGTGCCCTTCATATGTTTTTGGCTGCAAATCGCAGAGCATGCTGCCCGGGACTGATGGGAGTTATAGTCCAAAACAGATGGGTGCCCACCTGTATCTAAAGGCATATTGTGTTGCTTCAGCAACACACAGATCTTCCTTTCTGAATCAGGAAAAAGATAGTAATATGATGTGTATCCCATCTGGGATTCTACAGTTTCATTATAGCTCCTGTATATTCCAGTCGCCATTCAGTTATTGTTATATTACCTGCTCCCCTGGTTTTGCTGTAGAGTCAGTCTGTCACCAAGCCTTGAGAACAGCCACATGTTGGTGAGCATGTGGAATTCCCTTTGCTCAGAGCTGGCGTTCTAAAAATACCCCGTTCTCGGTCCAAGGATTAAAGTGATTTCACAAAGCAATTGCCTGAAACAGGTTTCTAATCCTGACACTGAAATTTGTTTGTCTTAATTTATGGACCTTGCTTAGCCTCCTGTGATTTCTGTGAGGGGCGGAGACCGAAATAGGTGAGGAGAAAATAACTAGTAGCAGTAAACACACGAAGGCAGATGGAGCATTAGAGTGGAGTTGTGTGGTTGTGAAGCCTCCTAAATATGTGGATGAAAAATTAAAATTAATAAATATCTTAACTGTGAATAATAATAATAATAATAATAATAATAATAATAATAATACTTTATTATTTATACCCCGCCCATCTGGCTGGGTTTCTCCAGCCACTCTGCATGGCTCCCAGCAGAGTACAGTGTTACCTCAGGTTAAGTACTTAATTCATTCCGGAGGTCCGTACTTAACCTGAAACTGTTCTTAACCTGAAGCACCACTTTAGCTAATGGGGCCTCCTGCTGCTGCCGCGCCGCCAGAGCACGATTTCTGTTCTTATCCTGAAGCAAAGTTCTTAACTTGAAGCACTATTTCTAAGTTAGTGGAGTCTGTAACCTGAAGCGTATGTAAACTGAGGTACCACTGTAATAATAATAATAATAGTAATAATAATAATAATAATAATAAAACGATAAAACATCAAACATTAAAACAGCTTCCCTAAACAGGGTTGCCTTCATATATCTTCTAAAAGTCAGATAGTTCTTTATTTCCTTGACATCTGATGGGAGGGTGTTCCACAGGGTGGGCACCACCACTGAGAAGGCCCTCTGCCTGGTTCCCTGTAACCTCACATCTCGCAGTGACAGAACTGCCAGGAGGCCCTCAGAGCTGGACCTCAGTGTCCGGGCTGAACAATGGGGTGGAGACGCTCCTTCAGGTATACTGGGTGGAGGCCGTTTACTGCTTTAAAGGTCAGCACCAGCACTTTGAATTGTGCCTGGAAATGTACTGGGAGCCAATGTAGGTCTTTCAGGACCGGTGTTATGTAGTCTCGGCAGCCACTCCCAGTCACTAGTCTAGCTGCTGCATTCTGGATTAGTTGTAGTTTAAAGGTCACCTTCAAAGTCTGTATCAACAGTCCTCTATTTTGAAGGGCAGTCAAGAGGACAGCCCTCTATTTGAAGGTGTCCCAAGTCTGGTTTAAAGAGAAGGAATGAAAAGGGAGAGCAGAAATTGCCCATCAACAGTTAGCATCTCCTGGTCATCAGACGAAACAGGCACAGGGTGTCTTCCCCATTACGACAAGAAGTATTGTATTTTTATTTAAATTATAGTAATTATTTTTAAATTTGCACATATACTTAAACATTACCATATGCAAATATTATACAGATTGGGGTCTTCTTTTTTTAAAGGATGCATATCTTCTTCTTTTTGGTGGTGCAGAACTCAAATTGTCCTTGAAATGTTTATCAGCCAGGTCGTAGCTCAAGTTGATGGGAGAGACCTCTTTCATTGGCTATTTGCCCTAATACCTAAAAATGGAACCTCACTAATTGGAGGGAAGACTGCTGCGTGCCGGGTGTCTCAGAAGATGATGCTGTGAATAGTAATATTTGCATCTGCAAATGCATTTCTGTATCTTAATTGTCAAGATTCGGTCAAAAGGGTTCCACACCATATAATGATAAAGAGTCTTTCCTTAAGATCTGCTGAATTCAGTTGGACTTACTCAGTGGCGGACTTTGGGCTCTCAAATGTCAACAGTGCCCTGTGCAACACTAACATTTGGTACCCCCCCACTCTTCGTACTCCATTCTACATAACTGTTGCATTGGTCCCTGTGGCCAGCATGGCCGGACTGGTCAGGCTACCCTAAAACTGCCTCTGACCTACTCCAATGTGATGTGCACTGGATTGCCAACTTATTCAACAGTTTTGTACCTTATCCTTTACAAATGTTTCCTGAGTTTAAGAAGTTTGTGGGAGGAGCGAATACATTTTATTTTATTCTCTTTGTTTTCTAAATTACTCCTCCTTTGGGCTGGGAACTCGAGCAGAGGCATACCTAGTCTCCCTTGTACCTTTGCCTAGGAGCTACATAGCAACCTCACCACATTTGCTGCAGATGTTTATATACATACACACAGAGGGAGAGGGATCTTCCACAACATTATTGCTCAATATAAACTTTCCAGTCATGAGGAGACAAACCACTAAGGGGACTGTACATCACATTTTACATCCACAAATATACTTCAGGCAAGGTCTTTCATGAACCTCAACAGTAAGGAGCCATCCCATTCCAAAACAACAGTTCTCTTCATCTCCACCTAACCCATATCCTCCTCTTCCTCCTCTTTAAGGAGATTGGGAATCCTTTCCTCCATCCCTCTCCAAAGCATCCTTTTCTAGAGGATTATTTTCCAGTCCCTGTGCTTCCATGCAAATACGCAGCCACACAGTGTCCCTTCCTGCGTCTTCGTATGGCAGCTCTGCCCAGGGGTGCCAACTTGAATAAAATACTTATCAATTACAAGACACACGCACACCATTTGATTGATTACATAATTGATTACAAGACGCGGCACATAAGTCCATGAGTAGTGAATGGGTGCGTTGTAAGATTTTATCACTCTACAAATGCAATGCTCCAGTTAATCATGTCTTCCTAGGTAGATGTTTCAAGGAAATACCCTCTAGCCCCGACTGGTGGTTAACCTTATGCAAGAGAACCTAGGAATTGCTAGCTATCTGCAGGGATGAGTCTGTATTCCTCATTTTCCAATGAAAGGTAGGGTGCATAAAGGTGAAAGATGCAGAAGCAGGAAATGAACAAATCTCTTCTTTCTTAATAGCAGCCAAAGTTTTAATTGCACAGAACTTTTGAAAGGCAGAAGCCCCAGCAATGAAAGAAGGGAGGATATTGGAAGTAGCTGTAGATCAAACTAGCAAAGCTAATTTTCTGGATTTAAAAAAGGTGGTAGAATCAAGGAGGTTTTGAGACAAATTATTTTGAAAATATATAAATCATTATAACGGCAATATAGGTTGAGGGAATTGTAACTGGACAAAATTAATAAACACCTCAGGGGTCCCTTTACCTTTACCTTTTTAAGAACTGATATTACATTTGTGGATGTAAAATGTGATGTACAGCACTTAAAAGCTACTTGACAGAAATGTCTTGTCCTGGGCATGAAATTGAGAATGTGAGCATATTGAAAATATATGACTGGTAATATTTTGAATTTATATTGAAATAAATGAAAACACAAAAAGGTGGCAGCCTGCCAAAGAAGCATTTGAGCTCTTGGCTGGTCTGGTTTGCTGACCAGGACAGGGTTAATCCTCCCCCTCTCATTTGAAGGCAAGCAGAACTGGCTGCACCTGTGATGCAACCCAGCAGATATTTTGCAACCTCCTGACCATGAAACTGATGCTAAATTAATTTTCCTTTAGCTTTGTACCTTACTGTCCAGATCTGATAAGATTTGCTGGAGCCAATCAGAACCAGTGTTGAGAACAACATTCTGAACAATAGGATCTTCGCTAGAACAGAGAAAGTGTGCTAGTGCCTTTTAAGTTCACCTGTAGCTTGAAAAACAGAAAGATTTGTGCTTCTCCTATCTGACATGCTCTCTTGAGGACTATGAGTCCTGGTGTTCTTAAGTGCATAAGGAGAAGGGTGCGATAAAGCACAATAATAACAACTGGAAACATCTAGTGAGAGAACCAGTGCTGGTTGTAGGAGTTAGAGGGTACCATTTTTTAAAAAAACAGGCATTCATTTTATAGATTTATTTTAATTTATTAAATTTCTGTACCACCCTTCATCCGAGGATCACAGAGAGATTCACAACATAAAAATACATAACAAGCAAAAACAATTTCCCACCCACACTTTAAAAGGCCATGGATTGTTTAATTAGCCAAAGACCTGGGAGAAGAGGAATATTTCTGCCTGGCATCTAAATATTGAAACACAGGTTTATATATAAATATATTGGGTTCGATTCAACACTAGCAGAAGCCAGCACTAGCAGAAGCCAGCATAACAACTCCTGCTAGTATAATGGGACTCCTCTTCTTCCTCTCCGCCCCCCACCCGTGCCCTCTCCAAACCTGCTTGGGTCAGCAGAACCTCCAAAATGACAAGCAGGGGAGGAGGGAGCTCATTCTATCTGGCAAACATAAATGCTTGGGCTGACAGAACAACTGCCTTAGCATGGTGCTGAATTCCAACGGTAAATTTCCAGATTAGTGCCAAAATACATAGGTCCTAGTTCACACATGTACATGGGACAAGAGTGGTTAAGCCACGCACAGCAGTTTTTGTATACTACAGAGGTAGGAAAACTTTTTGGTCTGATGGGCCAGATATTTATCTATCCCAACTCAGCAGGCCAACTCTGACAGGTGGGTTGCCCCACGAACCTGTTAAAGTTGGCCCTTGGTTGTGAAGGTGGTAGGGGGTAGAGATACTGCCCAAGTTTTGTGCTTTCCGCAGTGGAATCTCTGCCTTCCCCTCACCGAATGTTGCGTTTGACATCAGGTGTAGAACAGGTAGGTGTGGTTTCAGGAAAAGGGCATGTATGGGGCCAAATGGGGATCCTTAATGGGCCAAGTCTGACCCGCAGGCCAGAGGTACCTCACCATGTGTAAACCTGCATGGGAAATATCCTTTCGGATGACATTTTTCTGGCCTTTTAAACTGAAAAATAACCTTCAAAGCAAAGTGGTTTATTTATGTTTGCAGCTATGTTGGTCCATTAGAGTTTAAAAAAATAGGAAAGTAGGACACATTAACTTGCTTAGGACCAATCAAAAGATTATAAAATAGTCAGGAAGCTCTGTAGGACTCTTTCTGAGGCTGGATGATTAAAATTAGCAAAAAAAAAAAAAAAAAAAAAAAAAAAGAAGCAGGCATAATGGAAAACACCTAAGGTGAGCCATTATGCAATTCGAAAAATGTAGAAAATGTTATTTCAGAATGAAAATAGAAACTTTTATTTCATGACTCATGAGACTGGTATGCTGTGTTACAAGTCTTTCTAGGGCTTACAAAAAATGAGGTCTGCAGAAAGTCAGCTGACGAGGGGCACATCATATGTGGAAATTGTTCAGTTTGGTTGTGTATTTTTAAAAATGTGTTATTGTTTATGACAACTTATGTTGTAGTCATGCATTTTTTTCATGTTGTAAGCCGCCTTGAACACGGTTTGAACTGTGGAAAGGTGGCATACAAATAAATTATGTATGTATGTAGGACAAATATATTAGAGTGGCATTCAACCAAATTTTACTCCGAGTATCTGAGGGACAGTAGATCCACTGAAATTCATGAACAAAATTATTCATTTCAATATATCTACTCTGCATAAAACTTACGTTGACTACTATCCTTAAACTCCAGATTGTATGTTGTACAGTATAACTTTTGATAATATTCACTGTGACATGCATGATTTAGGGAGCGCTGCAGAGCAATTCACATGCTGTGTGAATGCCTGCACAAGATGTGGAGAACACTGGGTTATGAGGCCAAGGATTACTAGGAAACAAAGATACAAATTCTTTTTTCCCCTATGAAAGAAAGAAAATGCCCACATGAGTAAACATGCAAGTTTTATGAAAACTAAAAGTGCAAAACATTTTTAAATGAAACCAGATGCTATTGTGTTTATTACATTTTAATGCCAAAGCTGTATCTGTGATTTCATTACTTGGTCACTCTCCCATGGAATCTTTATTCTCCTTGATATCATTGAATAAATATTAATTATTGTCTAAATACAGGGGATTTATTTATAAGTATGATTATGATTGCAGCTTGATTCTGCCTTTGTTTGGGGTTGTACATGTCCTCTAAATCCCTCCCCACTCCCTTCTTTCATTCGGTACTCTGGGGCAAGAGGACAGTAATCCAGGTGATATGTTAAGCAAGACATGTTGTTCTGGATTAATTCAGAATGAAAAGGAGCTGTTATTCAAGATGAATGATGTCCCTATGACTAAAAGGGAAGGGCACCAACACGTAATTTATCACAACACTAACTCCACTTTTTTTTAAATGCCAGGAAACTTTGCTGTTGAGAAGCCCTGCCGGGGAGGACTGCACACTTCACTTTCCGGAGGGACAGCGGTTTGTTGCAGCAAAAACAACAGAGTCTCGTGGCACTTTAAAAGATCAACGAACTTATTCTGGCATTAGCTCAGAAGCCACCTCATCAGATGTGTGAAGTGTTACCCAGAGTCACAGGTTGTATATACAAATGGTGAAGGGATTCTGAACTGCGAGGTCAGACGAAAATGAAATGCGGCAAGTACAGAAGGGAATCTAACACTGGCGATTGGGTAAACCGTTGTTGATGATAAATCAGGCATCCTGGCACTGGATGAGCTAATGAATAAATAAAGTGTGTGTGCACGTGACTGAACTTTATCCTGACTCAAGTCACAGTTGTTATCGCAGAACCTCTCAAAGAACTGCAATTCGGCGCTTTCAGGTCGCAGTTTCCCTTCTCAATTCCTTCGTTCAAGAGGTCAGTTTCAAGAAGCACACACCATGCATTGTGTTAAGTTGTGGGTGAACATGTCAGACAACACAGCGATTCTTCAAACAGCTCTTGTTTATTCACAGGCCAGAACAGAACTGAAGGGTTCAGCCAGCTTGCTTATATAGAGCTCCACTAGAACACAACAGTAACCATTTTCTGTAACTATCCAATCACTGAACCTCACTTTCAAACCCTTATTTGCATATGTGGACCTGAGTGAAAACTATCCGCAGTAACCCCCTGCTGGCCCAGGGTGAGAACTTCAGTGCATAACACCTTGAAAGGACAGCACTTCCCCCAAAGAACTCCGGGAACTGTAGTTGGCCAAGGGTGGCCGGGAGATGTAGCGCTTTGAGGGAGAAACTACAGTTCCCAGGATTCTTTGTGCGTGTGTGTGTTGGGGGGGGGATGTGGCACATTTCGCGCCCTTTCTTGACATGCGGCTGACTTCTAGTTACACCGCCGCGAGATGGCGGCACTTCCACAAGCCGGATGAAACTCCTTTGTTCGGCGCCGCCGCCGCCGGCCACGGGGCGGGGCTTGGGCCGCCCTACCTGTGCGCCACGATTTGATTTTGCAATGCCGGCATGCCCAGTGGGTGTAGCATCTTCACTTCTGCTCTTATATAATGCGGCTGCTTCTCCTCGGGGCCAGTGACAGCAGCACCTTCCCCGCCAGCACTCGGCCGCCCTGAAGCCCTCAGCCGGGCCAAAGTAGTTCCTCGGGCGGACCTCTCAGAAAGAAGCCGAGCACTTGCTCCGGGGTGGGACTTTGGGCCAGGAAGTGCTCGTGAAACGCCCCCGCTCCCAGGGGCTGCCAGGGGCCGGCTTCCTCTCCAGCTGCGGGGCGGCGGCGGCTCGGCAAAAGGAGACTCCCCCCTCCGTTTCCCGGTACCTGCCGCCCGACGCCTCCGCAGGGGCCGCGATGGCTTCAGGTAGGACGACACCTTCGCCGTGGCAAACCGAGGGCTTTTCCGCGCCGCCCTCAAAGGACCTCGGGTCCGCGAACTGCTGCCCCGCAGACCCTCCTCCTTCCTTACCGCGCAGCCCGAAACTTCATCGGGCCATGCCTGAAAGAAAGCGGGAGCGGAGGGTGAAGGCGGCCGGAGCCAGAGGAGCTCCGGGGGGCGCCCGTGCCCCACCAGTTACCCAGCCCAGTAACGCGGGCGGCTGGGTGTGGGAGGAGGTTCAGATCTCCAGGGCGGAGCCGGTTCCAGGCGAAAGAGCTGGAAAGTTTTGTGTGTGTAAAAAGCGGATGTAGCGAGCCGAAGTCTTTCCTAGCAGATCTCTTGCGCAAGGGCAGACGTTTAAAGGCGCCTTGGAAGCAGGGTCGCTTGGCCAGAGTTTGGGGTGAAGGCGACGGCTACCGTCCGTTGCGCTCGCGGGGGAATAATCGTAGTTACCCGGGAACTCGCTTCAAGTTCAAGGGCTGCTCCGCCGCCATTTCCCTCCTGTAGCCGACTTCCCTTCCCTTCCCCCAAGCCGGCCTCTCTCGAGTGCAGCCAGGTTAGCTGCTGGGCTCCACAGAAAAATGCAAGATGTCCCCTCGAGCCAAGTTTCCCCCGCTGACCCCCTAAGTGGCACTTGCGCAACGGGCTGGTTATGCAAACTCGCCCCCCCACCCCCACCCCCGGGCAGGGAAACCGGCTGCGATTGGCGCTCCTCGCATGCCGCTTCCATGCCTGCAGCGGATCAGGGCCGGGGAGCTCTGCCGAGGATGCCGCGCCTCGGCTGCAGCAAGCGCCGCCTCCGCCCGCCGAGCTCGGTGCGGAGGGCGGCGCTCAGCATCTTCGCAGGAGCCGCCGAGCCCGGCAGGCCTCGGAGGGGGAGGAGCCAAGCGTTTCGGAATCTGGTCCATTGTGCCAAGTTGGCCTGTGTTTAAATGCGAAGGGGGGCTGTCTGCGCTCCCTGCCCTGCCACCGCCGTTTGCTTGGGCCGACGGCGTGGTCGAGGCTGCTTCTTGAGGCAGACAGCTTCCGGTAGAAGCGAACTCCTGGAAAAGGGGTCTGGCTGGTTGCCTGTTGCGGAGGGAGAGGACCCGAGAGCCTATTATAGTGCACAAGCTAGCTCGAGAGACACTTGCATGTCAAATCCGTTGATTTCCATCAGTATCTTTCAATACATTTCTGTGGTCTTGTGGGATCCAGTCGCCTCGGTTTAACCCGATTGTGTTGCCGACTTTACATTTCATTTAACCCTTTGGCGTTTTCTTCGAAACCCAGGAAGAAGGCCGCAATTGCTTTTGCCCCTTGGGAACAGCAAGCCCGGTAGTGTCTAGAATCCCGTTTCTGCCATCGGGCTGATAAGATCAGGATCAAGAAGGGGCGTATGTTCGAAATCGCGTTAACACACCTCACTTTTAACAATCGGATGACTAACCGATGGTGATATCGCCCCCTCTGTAATGCAAACTGTACTTCCAGGTAGGAGGGTGCTAGTGAGGAATGGAACCCGGGGTGGTAGTTATTCTGGATTAATTATTTCTCGTGGGGCGTGATCTCGTGCGTGTGGCCTTCACGGTGCAAGGAGCCCAAACGCCCCGCACTAGAGGCGGGGTTTGTGAGCCTGAGACTGAAGCAAGGTGGGGGGAGGGCAGCGGTCTGGGCTGCCTGCAAGGAAACCAGCCGATCCAGGGATCCCCTGGTGCCTGTTCCCTCGGAAGCAAATCCCCCCGATTCCAATGAGACCGACCCCCAAGTAACAGCGGACAGGGATCGCAGGCCTTGCCTTTCATTCAGCACCCCCACTGACGAATCGGGGAGCAGACAAGGTGCGCTCTAGCGCAGGATCCGACCTCGATCCTCGGCTTAGGAAGGCGCGGGGGGGGGGTCTTTGTCCACCCCTGGTCTGGGAGGACCACACTCCATCCATCAGCGGCAAGAGGCGTGGCCTAGCTTAGTCCCCGCCTCTTTCTTGAGTACGGCAGCAGCGCCGGTTCCGAGACTTCGGTGGAGCTTCCAGGAGGCAGCAAAAATGTCATCTGGCGCTGGGCCCCCCAAGAGCGGATCCCCGCTGAGGAAGCGGGCCAGTCTTCAGGCTCCCATCACAGGAGGTGAGCAGGGCGTGGTACTGTCTCCTTAGCCACTAGATGCTGCTATCAAAAGAGAGAGAAGCTGGGAAAATAGCAGTCCTGGAATGGAAACGACCCCTTTTCCTTCCGAGTCCAGCCCCCATTCCTTCACTCTATACTGTTTTTCGGTTATGTGTTTTTTCATCTTTAAGCAGACGATTGCTCCTTTAGGCTGTTTGTTGACCATGATAGGGAGACAAGAGCATCATCCTGTGCTTTTTTTGCTCAGAAACAAGTCCCGCTAAGCATGCATAGGATTGTGTGAGAATTCAGGGACCAGAGAGGCATGAAGAGTACACGCGTTTTGAGGCATAAAATGGCAAATCTTTCAAAGAGCTTCAGCATCCATGTGCCACCCTTCCTGTGTGTTGTGGAGCCCCGTTCTATTGAGTGGAGCAGAAATTTGGATATCCAAATGCTTGGTTGTTGGATTAGGGAGGAGGAACATCTTTGACTATCTGTACAGTGGAGACTAGAGGTGTTAGAATGCTGGATTTAAAGCTGTTGTTGATTAGGATAATATACTCTGTGTTTGTTTGTTTGTTGGGTTTGGGTGTTTTGTTTTTGTTATTCTGTATACAAGCCTTTGGAAGGCAGCAATACTTGGGATTCCTTCTGATTATGTCTTAGATTTTTTATTACAACTGACATGCTAGCTGGGGGAAAGGCATTTAGATCTGCCCCCTTCCCACCAGATGTGCCAGCTAAGGGGAGGATGTTTAGATTGCCCACAAAAAACATAGTAAGAACTGTGAATTTCCTGTGTAATACAGCACATCTGAAAGATATCTTGCCTCACCTTTTCTAGTTCCTTAGATTCAGGCTTACTTTTAATCACAGCTTGCCAGAAATTTGGTGTGGTGTGGTGTGGTGAATGCAAAATAGTAATGCTCAATTTTCTTCTGAGCATGTGCAGAGAGCATGCCATTTCTAGTGAGCCACCTCCAGCCAGCTGGAACATGGAGTATGGCTAGGTATGTGTAAACCCTGGATCCCCTTTTCTGAGAAGTTCAGCACTGTCTGTACTTTTCCTTTCTTGGCTTCTACCTTGTTGCTTAATTTGAGGTAAGTGGGCCAGTATCTGCAGTGCTTTACAGGTTATTTGTGAGAACTGGAAAGAAGGAGAGAAGGTATATTCCCAAGTTTGACAGTTTTACTTTGAGTATTTTACCTCTTGGGTTAGATATGTCTTTTGTAGGAAGCATGGGAGTCTTTGCGCATAAAAAGCACACCCTCCTTCATGTGGGAGTACATCTGCAGTGTGTGGGTATGTAGGAACTGCAACTGCAGGATAGGGTACGTGGCATTCGCTCCTACTGAAGCAGGCTGCTGCTCCATATGGCTGTCTTTCTTGTATCCTTATGAGCTCCTGGGCTCTCTTCATTTGGAGCTATGAGTGCCCAGGAGCTGATATAGAACATACATATAGTGTAGCTGTCCAATATGTGCATACAGATTGCTGTTGATGGGTTAGATAAGCTTGTGATGTGCATATGCATGGAGGTATATATTTTTGAGAATGGGAATCATGTTAATGATAAGGTGCCTGAATTGAATGGCTGCTTGTTGATAAAAGAAATATTTACACATTGTTTCCCTCCTTTTGTTTGTTTGTTTTATATTCCTAAAATGTCTACCATCTAGATTGCCTAGGCCTGGAAACATTGGACACTTTGGAATTATTGCAGGCATTTCATAGTCTTTCCTTTATTTAGACTGGAGACGAGGGTCGTGAATGGGGTTTTCGCCTCAAAAAACTATACAGTAATGCTTTCCTTAAAACACAGGATTCCTAGTAGCCCGAGTCTTAATTCTTCCTGAACTGCATTCTGAGGACTCTTTTTTCTTTTACTGGCCCTTGACTGAGCATTTGTGGCCACTAACATAATAATTAATAATGCTGTTCTAGGCTTTTCCTTTTATTCCCCACTTGCTTCTCACCATGAGGTTTTGGGTACCCAAGCACATAATGAAAATAGCAAGAGCTTCCATTGGGGAGCACTTGCTTTGCATGTAGAAAGTCCCAGGTTCAATCCCCAGCATCCCCTGTTAAAGCTGGGAAAGACTGTTAGTCTGAAACCCTGGGGAGCTGCCAGTCAGTGTTGACAGTATTGAGCTAGATGGACCAATGTTCTGACTTGGTGTAAGGCAGTTTCCGATGTTCCTTGGGTTTGCCTTCTATCCCTTCCTGTAGTAAATGGACAGGATTCTCTTATCCCGATTCTATAGAATTCCTCTGGAATGTTAAGAAGACAGACTAGCCTGGAGAGCTATCCATCCCAGTGTTGCAGCTGAGGTGGCTTCATCCATTCTCCATCAGACGCTGCTGCTATTGCTACTGAAAGGAGGACAGATCTAGGATTTGTTTTTAAGAAAATCTTTGTAGCTTGCCTTTGCTGTATATTAATTAAGAAAACTCCCGATATATCATACACCAGCACATGAGGGAGTAAGCTTTGGTGTCTTCCTTTCACTGCTTATGTGATGGTGACATTAACAATCTGAGTTATCCCACATATAAATGTAAGAAGAGGGTGCTCATCTAGTCCAGCATCCTGTTCTCACAGCGGCCAACCAGATGCTTATGGGAAGCCAACAAGCAGGACCTGAGTGTAACAGCACTCTCCCCTATTGTCAGTTCCCACAACTGGTATTCTGAGGCATGTTGCCTCTGCTAGCAGAAGTGGAACATACCCCTGATGGCTAGTAGCCATTGATAGCCTTCTCCTCCATGAAGTTGTCTAACCATTTTTTGAAAAACATCTGTAGTCAGAAGTGTGTTGGGACTGGCTTCTGTCACATCGTTCTCTGTACGGTGCAGATAGTTTTTAAGGTAAAGGGACCCCTGACCATTAGGTCCAGTCGTGGCTGACTCTGGGGTTGCGGCGCTCATCTCGCTTTATTGGCCGAGGGAGCCGGTGTACAGCTTCCGGGTCATGTGGCCAGCATGACTAAGCCGCTTCTGGCAAACCAGAGCAGTGCACGGAGCGGTACCTATTTATCTACTTGCACTTTGTTGTGCTTTCGAACTGCTAGGTTGGCAGGAGCAGGGGCCAAGCAACGGGAGCTCACGCCATTGCGGGGATTCGAACCGCCAACCTTCTGATCGGCAAGCCCTAGGCTCTGTGGTTTAACCCACAGCGCCACCCGCGTCCCTGCCGATAGTTTTTAAGCTGACACAAAACACTTCATTACATTACACCAGACTGTCTGAGTGCAAATCAAATGATTTTGCCGGTGCTCTTCAGAGTGAGATAGTCATTGCATCTTTTTCTGCCCTACCTTTGTTTCAAGGGGTGTGGGGGGGGGCAGAATCTCTAGGCCCTTTGAGCATTTGTGGAAGTAAGCTCTGAAAGAAACAGCATGCTTCTTCCTATGTTCTCTAGTACTTGAGAGAATATCATTATTACCACATTGCAACTGGAAGTAAAATACTTCTGCACAGCCAAGACCATTGTTAAGTGACAGCGAGGCGTGCCTGGCTGCTTAGGGTGTCACATTTTAAAAACAGCTCGCAAAATGCCAGACGTGATTTCAGTTATTTTCTCATCTGTAATGGTACCCTTACAATTCCAGTTTCGCCCCCTCCTCATAGGAGGAATAATGGCAGGGCTGTGTATGGTGTTGTGCACGTCTATAAAATTGTCACACAAGCACAAGATCTGATAGAAGGTGCAAATCCTGATTTGCTGATGACCTTAGTTTTCACTTTAATTTTTTTAAAAGCCTGTTTTTTTAGCCTAGGCCTGGAGACATTCCAGATGTTGCTGGACTACAGCTCCTGTCATCCCTGGGTCTGACAGCTGTCAAGGCCAAATGGAATGGTGGGAGATGGAGTCTAGCAACATCTGGAGCGTCACAGGGTCCCTATTCCTGCTTCAGGATTTCCAGTTTCAAGGAGTTGGTACTTTAGTGCCCTAAACAGCTTTGCATCATTTCCTCCTTATTTTGTTTCAATACCCTTCATTTCTCACAGCATTTGTCCCCCCATCAGTCTTCAGAAACATCATTTTGGGATTCAGACCACAGTGTTCAAACTGAGCAAAACGGTTCACATTTCCATATATTTTAATTGCAGCAGTTGGCTTTCCTAGGTTATTTTAGTGTAGAATTTGGAATCTTTTAAAAAAAACCAACAGAAGTGCATACAGCCCTTGGACGTAACTGTGTAGTAAAGTCTGTACAGCACAACTGCTGTCCCTGTCCCCATGCTCAATCTTTTTTATCCATCAGTGAAACTTAATTGCATTCACTTTGGAGCAATTTGGGAATTGTCCTGTCCTTGACTTGTCCAGGATCACATAGAAACAGGGCATGGCAAAGGTTTGCATTCAAATCTGCTGAGTCTTTCACTCTAACCACTGCAGTCAGCTTTCCTTTGTTAAATGACCCACCTTTGTCCCCTAAAGCTGTGAGGTAGTGGAGCCCTGTGCATGTACGGGACAGATGGTTTTGTTGTTGCTGTTCTCTTGTTTTCCTTACTGTAATAATATTTGTTCTTTGGGAGGAAAGCATGAAATACAAGGAAAATAAACTTACTACTGTTGTTGTTTTTTGAGATACATGTTATTTTGAAAAGTATAGGGAATATTGGAGAAACAGGATGGAAGGGTTATAGCTGCCCACAAATATATATAGCGAGAGAGAAAAAGAGAGAGCGTGTACTTATAACCAGCAAAATTAGAGCTTGATAGAGATCTCCTAGCCACTATTTACCTTTAAGTCTATGTATCTGAGGCAACAGGGAAATGTTAAATAACAAACTGATCATGCCTCTTGCCTTAGTTTCCTTTGGGCAGGCAGAATATTTTGAGAATCTCATTTTTTTTTTTTTAAAAAAATTTCAAATAATATTGACTAGTCCTCTTGGGAGAAAATCCTGAGAACATAATCATATTTACTCTTGTGGTCCTCATGGGAGTAAAATTCCTAGAACAGGATGATCATACTGTGTGACCTAAAAACATTTCTCAAAAGCAAATATTACAGTCACATAACAACCAGGGGATGCTTCTTTAGCTATGAATCCTGGTGGTAATAACCTCAGGCTAAACAGTGGAGAAGAGGACTGACGTGCAGAAGGTGAGAATCTTCCCCAGGCTTCAAATGAGAAGTGACTGCTAGAAAAGATGAGAAATAAGGTAATGGGGATGCAAGAGGAGATGCCTTGGCATATTGAGGTCCAAGGGCAGACCAAGGAAGGATTTGGGTGTTCCAAGCATGGGATTGTGAGTGGTGGTATAGCAGTCAAAGGCAGGAAATGGAGGGAAATGTGTGTTTTAAAAGAACATTTCATGCCATGTGGAGGGATCTGGGAAGTGTGGGATCCTCTTTCAGCTTATTTATGTGTGTGAGAGAGAGCATTTCAAAATTACTCTATTGCTAAATCTGCAGTAAAAGGATGGCAATGCTGCTTTTGTTTTCTTTAGAAATCTTACAGCGCAGTTCTGTTGTGCAGCAACGTTAAGTTGAATTCTAACCTTTTGTGAGTGAATTTCCTGATGTTTCCTCCACCCGTTTTTGTCTTTTTAAAATTTATTTAAAACTGTTTTAAGCTGCCTTTCCATAACTCACAAGCAGCTCACAGCGAATATTAAAATATAGTAAAAATGAGCAAAACATTATAATAGTGAAGAACAGGGGTTGTATAGAAAAATAACAGTGAACTATCTATTGAAATTAAAAACTAGGTATTGCCTTGGCACCAGTGCTTTTTCAAATAGAAAAACAGGTGCTGGTAGTCACCATGAAGTTGTTACAGTAAGTGCCACACTTTTAACATTTGGGGGATAGGTGCTGGTTCTGCATACCATTGAGTACCCCAGAAAAAGCACTGCTTTGCACCCTTCCTAAAAGCCAGTAAAGAAGAGCGTTTTCTGCTGCAATGGAGTAACATGTGTAAAGCCCTTGACCTCTTGCTTTTAACCACAGTACAGAAAATGGGGACTACTTAGAAGCAAAGCCACATGGAGCAAGCCTATAGTTGTTCATTGTTTAGCAGGGTATTTTAGTTATTGTTGAGTCACTACTGGTCAGTTGAGTTTGTGCTCTCTATTTTTAGTTCTGTAGCAGTTAAAAAGTGTCCCCCCCCCCCCGTCCAACTAATTCAGGTAAAAATAAATAAATGAAACTCGAGTAATAAACCTATAAATAGTCATGGATACACAATAGCCTGTGGTCTAAGCCAGATGTTGAAGAGCTGCTGTTTGGAAGAAGAATTCTCTCTAGGGTGTGGTGACAAAAACCACTGAACCAGCCTTGCAAATAAGCCCACAAAAGTTACTAGCCTGCAAAATGTTTCGAGCTTGCAGGTGGGAATGATGGAAAGCTCCCCTTCTTCTCCAGGAGCCCACTACATTCCTATGCTAAGTGTGGCAGAATATAGTGCAACTCCAGTGTGTGCCTCTTGTTAACTCTCCCTCTGTTACTCTCAGCAGATGTACAAAGCAAAGCACAGTTTTCAAAGGGCGATTTCCCAGTGAAATGTTGGAAACTCCTGCAGAATGTAAACCTTGTGTCAGTTGTGTGATCTGAGAAAATTGTCTTGAGCAGAAGATTTTAAGAGGGAGGCAAAGAATGCCAGATCCTTTTGATTAAAATCAGAATTATATTTCCAGAGGTCTAGGCTGCCTGCCCTCTTTTTGTATGCATGACTGCAACCCTCTTTAGGCTGCTGCCATAGGGTTTAGCTATCTAGCCCAGGGGTCAGCAACCTTTTTCAGCCATGGGCCGGTCCACCGTCCCTCAGACCATGTAGTGCACTGGACTATATTTGGGGGTGGGGGAAATGAACAAATTCCTATGCCCCAAAAATAACCCAGAGATGCATTTTAAATAAAGGTACACATTCTACTCATGTAAAAACATTCTGATTCCCAGACCATTCTGCGGGCCGGATTTAGAAGGCGATTGGGCCACATCCGGCCCCCAGGCCTTAGGTTGCCTACCCCTGATCTAGCCTAACCACCTGCTTGATGCAGGAAGTCCAAAGCTATAGTATTTCCAACAGAAGAGAAAACCTAGACTTACTGAAATAGGGTTACTAGGGAGTAGCATCCATATAAAATAGTGAGCCTTACTTCTAAGTAAATATTTACAGTGGTACCTCGGGTTACAGACGCTTCAGGTTACATACACTTCAGGTTACAGACTCCGCTAACCCAGAAATAGTACCTCAGGTTAAGAACTTTGCTTCAGGATGAGAACAGAAATCGTGTTCTGGTGGCGTGACGGCAGCGGGAAGCCCCATTAGCTGAAGTGGTGCTTCAGGTTAAGAACAGTTTCAGGTTAAGAACGGACCTCCAGAACAAATTAAGTACTTAACCTGAGGTACCACTGTATAGGCTTACACTGTTATTGTCTTTTATCCTGTGTGGGATGTTTTTATTTTCTCCCTGGTTGGTATAAAATTATTTCCATGACAACAGGCTAAAACTTTGCAGGCAGAGTTGAGGATTGAAGCTGGGTCTCCTGTCCTAAGGCCACTCACAAGTCCACCTGATAGACCAGCAGGATCTTAGCTTTTTCTCTCCTCCACCATCTTTATTTACACCTAGATAATGACAGCCATATGCATTCGCTGGATTTGTGCTGTTCTAGTGCACAGAAGTGTTTTGCGAATCTCACTGAATACTCAGTACAGTACAGTGTTTTCTATAGTATTTTGATTTTTGTTCTCCTTGGATGATAAGAACTAATTGTTTACATTTTGTTTACATTCTGTCTTAGATCTTGCTTAACTTTCAGTCATATTGCACATATGCTTCTTATTTGCCGGCTGTGACTTTGTTGTCAAATCAAAACCAAGTAATAATTCCAAATTTTACTAAGCAACAACAACAACAACTGTGGAAAAGGCATCATTTATGCAGCTTCCATCATTTCTCCGGGGATTTATTTTGTCATCTGCACAATGCAAGTAATCCAGAAACAGGCGACTAATGTTTGACAGAGGGAGTTAAATGCCTCTTCCTCCTCCTCCTCCTCCTCCTCTTCCTCCTCCTCCTCCTCCTCCTCCCTGGCCCACAGACTTATTATTCAGTGTATTTCTGTTGCTTCCAAGCATCTGGCTCTAAGGCTGTTTTTGTCAAGCTGCTGAAATTCATCCAACAGCCATTCCCACTCCAGTACAAATACTAAGACTGAGTATAAGGTCTGTGTAAATATATCCCCATGCTTCATATTTCTCTTATCTGCCTCATTTGCTTGCAACCCCAATAACTGATATATATTATTTATTATTGAAAATACAGGTGTTTCTCACCTGTGGACATAACAATATTGATAGGAAAAAGGTATTAGCCATTCTATTTTGAAAGGGATTGATGCCAGTCTTTAGGTGTCAATCTCCTCAAAGGCTTGGCTGCTGATCTGTAGTTCTCCACACACACCCCATATTCATTTGAAAGAAAGCTATATACCTACAAAAATAAGTAAAGGTAAAGGTACCCCTGCGCGTACGGGCCAGTCGTGTCTGACTCTAGGGTTGTGCGCCCATCTCACTTAAGAGGCCGGGGGCCAGCGCTGTCTGGAGACACTTCCGGGTCACGTGGCCAGCGTGACGAAGCTGCTCTGGCGAGCCAGCACCAGCGCAGCACACGGAAACGCCGTTTACCTTCCCGCTATAAAGCGGTACCTATTTATCTACTTGCACTTAGGGGTGCTTTCGAACTGCTAGGTGGGCAGGAGCTGGGACTGAAAGACGGGAGCTCACCCCACCGCGGGGATTCAAACTGCCGACCATGCGATCGGCAAGCCCTAGGCATTGAGGTTTTACCCACAGCGCCACCCGCGTCCACCCACTACAAAAATAGTTTTATTTTATTTAGGAAAGCAATACAAAACTGCTTAATTAAGGAAAATATTTAAGCTGTGTATAATAAAATAATTGTCAACAATACACCGATAAGAGCAGCATTTTTGTTTTTATTTTAGAAACAAGTGCATACACAACACTATATCTGGGTAGGCTTGCTGAAACAAAGAAACTAGCTGGTGTGTGAAATGGTGTAGTGAGGGTGCCTACCTAATGTCAATAGGCAGGGAGTTCCACAGGTGCTGCCACAGTGAAAGGCTGACTCCTCCCAGATGTGGAAATAATGAAGTTTACCTCCATGGGTTTCAAAACCCAGTTTTGAGCAGTTCAGCCTGGAGCTTGCCTCTGGGGATTTGGGGCTTGGCTGCTCTAGTGCCATCCCTGAAAACACATTTCACATAAGGGCTTTGTGAGCAAGTACTGCATTGGGTTGGATTTGGCTCTCTCAACAAGAGGTGTGGGATCCTTGGCCAGATGGTTGAGAACTGGAGAAAGTCTGTGTAAGCAACATTGGGGCACTGCTGCTGCTGCCGCTGCCGCCACTGCCTTGCTCAGAAAGAGAGTGATCACTGGGCAGGCTTCCAAAACCTGCTGCCAGTCTGTCTTCAAAGGATCGAGACTGAGGAATGACATGCCCATCACTGTCACCCCTGAGGCCCTTCATCTCCGTGACAGCAGACTCTGAGCACAGGCACCTCCATTACGTCCTGCGGGATCAGGAAAGGACAGCTGCTTCTCATAGGCCATTTATTGTTCTTAATTAACCAGCGGCTGCAGCTCTTGGAGACAAAGCTTATAGGCGGCTTCTGCCAAGACAACCTCCATCCCCGTCACCACGGAGCTGCCGTCCAGTCTGCAGCACAGCTTCGATTCTTCCACTTCCTCTCCTTACCTTGGAACCAAACGAGATCTGGCTTGGCGTTGTCTTAACACACCTGGGTGATGCCAGCAATGGAGTTTGTGCCGTAAGGGCTAGAATGTGCCATTTGGGAAGTAACGATTCCTGTCTGTGAGCCAGATAGAGACAATCTGCTACAGATGGCAGAAAAGTAATATTTTCCAGACTGGTGCAGGAGAAATCCCTCAGATTCTAGCCAGAGTGGGGTTTAATGTTTGAGAGGGACAGATAATCACACCTTGCAAACTGACTGCTGGAATTTGTGTGTATGTTTACCAGACTCCTCATAGCCTTTAGTGGGAAAAAGGTGGGGGGAGCACAAGACACACCCCTGTTTGCCCCCCCACCCATGAAATATGATATATTCTGTTTTAAAATCATACAGAGACAATGTGAAACAAAAACAGAGAGGGGCAATAATAACAACAACGTTGAGCTTAACCAAATAAGAATCTCAATGTATTCCCTACAAAGTATGTGGCTTGGAGTGTTCTTGTGCCTTATTATACCAGTACATAATGAAAACACACTCTTAAAGTTGAGTTAGCTTTTGTTCGATTTCCCCCTTTTCTTACAGCATGAACGACCAGTATGTGGTGCTCTGTGCTTTTGTGTGTGGGTAGATCTCTGCCATTGCTTACTTTCAGAGAGAGATGGGGGCGGGCGCTGGGATACACGTCTGCAGCTGTGGCTGGCACGTTAGGGGTTAACTCCTCCTTACTTTGAGGCCAGGAGTTAGCTCTGCTGCGTGGCCACTGGTGGCGGAGGGTGGCTTCTCTTTGCCTGTCTGGCTCTGCCTGCCTCTTGGAAGAGACTGTCATATTTTTTTTGTCTCCTCCCTCTCCCCCCATGTAGCTACGGTTGGTACAGCCCAAGCCGGCTCTGGAGCTGGAATCCTGTGGGACTGCAGCTCTCAGAGAGGAGGCTGCGAAACACCGGCAAGAGCAGCGGCAGCAGGCACCTCTGTCTGCTTCGTCCTCGTTGCCTTCTTGTGGGCACTCTGCCTCCCCCAAGGGTACCTTGGAGGCTTTTTGGTCCACGCTCAGGGGGCAGAAGGTGATGGGATGCTCCTTGCCTAGCCTGCCAGCATCTTGGTTTCCAGGTGGAGAAAAGGCAGAGGCTTAGTGAGGCCCTTAAGACTGCCAGATCTGTAAGTGTTTGGAAATGTCTTTTCCTTTCTCCCCTCTGGGGCTGGATGGTTTTGAGTTGCAGCTGCTCGTATTAATCAGGAGTTCTGAGATGCTTGAAGGATAAAGTGAAGCCTGCCTGTTCTATTTAATGGGCTGGAGTTGCAATGCTGTGCTGTTAAGGGGCATGCGATTTAAAAGCCTTTGACGTGAGATGGGCATGTGGCACTCAACGTAAAAGAGAGGGGTGATTTGCTCAGGCTGCCGCAGAAGGCAAATCCCTGAAAGTTAGAGCAGGAACACTGGCAAGGTATTCCTGTATTGATTGAGGCTTGAGGTTTCTTTTTTTCCGGGGAGTGGGAGGTGTTTTGTGTCTCTGTGTGTAAACCTCTGGCAATTCTCTGAAGCTGGGCTAGCTGACAGCTCATCACTGAAGGGGACCTCCACTGGCTATCCTGGTGCAGATGCTGAAATGTCTGTCTTGGGGAGGGGGGGAAGTGGGTAATGATGACAGCTTCTTTTGCAGTTGTGTTTATCCCTATCATGTTCTCAGATGCATTGCAAGAGTTTGGATTCCTTGTGATGAGAAGTTGTTGCGATGATACCCACAAAAAATGCAGGACTTCTATCCCTTGCACTCTGTTTTAGTATTTTGGTGGTGCAAGGCTTCTTGTGAGAAAGGGAGTTTAAAAACAAACAAACCCACACGTACTTTAATTAATTGAATGTGTATAAATCTGATAGCCATTAGTCACAACCACCTGCATGTACTATGTACAATAAAATTAAAAATGGGGGGGGCGGGGAACTATGATTCTTATTAGTACTCTTTAAAGCATATTTCTGTGATCTTCTAGTACTTGTGAAAATACAGCTGTTTGGAAGAGGCTCCACTATTTCATTGAAATACGTTCTATAAAAACTGCCTAATTTTTCACCCCAAGGAACTAGTCACATGGCAATTTATCTGTGCTACCTTGTCTCATGTTGCCGGAACAGGCATTTCAGTGATCAACAGAGGACTACTGAGAGAGAGTCTAGCTTTCTAGTTTCTCAGGGCAAGCCTTTAAGCCACTATTAAACTAACCATAATTGCATCCCCAGTGTTCGTGGGAAACCCCCAAGGGGTAAATTGCATAAAAGAAAAATGAATATCTGGTCCTTGGAGTCGGATTGATGGAGCACCTAGTGACCTCTCGCCAACGAGATGTCACAATAAAGTGTCTCCATTACATACATGTGAATGAAGCCGTCGCTATATATTACGGTATCGGCATATGTCTGAATTAGCCACATTGCTGCTGCTCTGTGTGTGGTGGGCTCAGGATTTCCAAAAGAGTGGCATAACAATATGGGCATGTGACCGACTCAGCATCCGCAGCTATAGTCTTGGTGGAGGAGCTTCAGCATTTGGCCAGAGCTTGACTTAAGGGAAGACCATTGCAGATTCAGAACCAAGCATGATGATGTGACTAAGTGTGGGAAGCCATGTCCTGTCTTTACTTCCCCTAGGTATCTGAGTGTAGGAGGAGCAGGCTACACTGCTGACCCCACTAAACTTTTGCTGCAACGTCACAAGGGGATTTTTGCCATGGAGGGTTTGGGCCTGGAAGTCATGCTCCCCCGTTGGTTCTGGCAGGTGTTGGGAGGCTGCCCAACAAAAGCTGGGGCTCCAGACTGCTGCACATCCAAAAGCTGCTAGTGGCAGTGGAAGAAAGGTTGAGGAAATCTGTGTTGCCATCCGTGGTGTTGCCCAGCCAGCAATTGGAGCTACAGGAGCAGCTGTTCTTGGCTGCCCCCCTCATGAGCTGAAGACACATGCTGGCTTTGATGGGGCTGCCAAGGCTTAGCCCTGCAATTGGCCTGGCGGTTCCCCAGCTCTTGCTGTTTTTTTCCTAATGAATTGATTGTTTGCACTGTGCACAGGGAGCCCATTAGGGAGACATGTGAGGGTCATTAGCAAGGCACAGTGGAGCTTGACTATTCAGGCAGTGCCTGGATTGGGAGTGGGAGAGGGGCAGTGGGCGGGGGGGGGGGGACCCAAGCAAACACTTCTTCCTTCTGCATAAGCCACTGTGATGGAGCAGGTAGTCAGCCTCTGGGGCATCAGGCAGGCAAAAACACTCTGAATCAGGTTTGACAGTTGATGGCAATGCTCTCCTCCTTGTCCTAGAACAGGGCTTGATGCTTCTGCTTTGTGGTGTGTACCTTGGTGACCCGCTGAGGGCCAGATGCAAAGCAGGCATTGCAAGCTTTCGTCGTGGGGTGGTGGTGGTGGTGGGGGAGACCTTTGTGTAGTTATGGAGTTCTCATGTGTCTTCAGTGAGCTCAGGATATGAATGAACTCGAAGGGACTGGTTTCTCTTGTGTCACCCTTTCGTCGGGTAGTTGTGACACTTGTGAAACTTGCTCAGCATCTACTAAGATAAGTGGCCCCTCCCCCACAAACTGGAATGTGTTGTGCAGAGGTTTCTGGGAATAGGCTGCTAAGGACAGCAGGGCCAATTTTTCCTTTTCTGTGACAAGTTTCGTTCTGAAGGAATGAGCACTGAAAATCTGAGTGCACAAAATGCATATTGCCAGCTACTGCAGTGCAGCTGCTTTTGGGGCGGAATCAGCATCTGTTTTAAGTGCCCCCACGACAAGAATTCTGGTTATTGTAGATGTAACAGCTAAGAACACTAGATGGGGAAAAGCTAATAATCATATCATTTCAGAAATGACGTTTCCAGGTATATAATTATGAAATGCTTTATTAGACCCTGGTGGGTAGGAACACACGTGTCTCATTGCCGGATGAGGCCCTGGAGATCCTGCCTGTTCTTTTGAACACTCTTAAGGCAGCAACAGCAGGGTCATAAACAGCTCCTCTGGCTCTTTTTGGCCTGTTACTTTTATCTGCCCTTACCCCTTTCCCACACTGCTACATGAAGATGGATGCAGGATCTGGAGGAGGAATGGACTGGGAAATGCGGTAGCTCCTTGCGTTCCTGTTGCCGTGGGATGTTTAGACCCAGGCAGGATCTCTAGATTGTGATCGGGCAACCTTTTGGGAAGGGCCATAGCTAGATAGTAGGGTACATACTCTGCGTTGCAGATCATCCCAAATTCAATCCCTGGTATTTCCAGGTGGAGCTGGACAACGTCGTCCCCTCTGAAAGTCTGGAGAGTTAATCATTGTAGAGTAGGCAACACTGAGCTCGACAAACCCGTGGTCTGACTCTGTATAAAGTAGCTTCTGTGGCAATTTGACCTGGAGATTTTCTCTAAAGTAATAATCCTCCATCTTGTATTTATTCTTGAGCGATTTATAGGGGCAACAGTGAGTGACAGATTGCTCACCAGTCAAGCACCTCCAGTGCCATCAGACATCTTCCAACCATCCTCACTTGTTGGCCTATCACCCTTCGCCTAAAGTAATTTCAACTTTTTCATGGACAGAAACAAACTTACTTGAACGCACTGTTGATACTAAATACGATTTAGAAGAAGATATTCTGTCTCTTGACAAGAAAAGGAAATCAGTACTTGCAGGCCAGCTGAGTGGGGTTGAAAAGTGACTCTAGATAGACAATAGCTGGTTTGGATGGGAAAACAAATGGAATTCCTTGTGTAGTGGGTGATGTCAGTAATTATAGACAGGACTTGTACGATTCAACCAAGGGAATGCCAGATCCTGTGATTTAGTGTGGGCTGTGCAAGTGAGCCATGAATTTTCATGAATGTGTGTACTTATGATATCCTCTTCAAAGAATGGAATGTGATGTATCGCATGACAGAGAGAGTGGAAAAGAAGTAAGGACATGAGGCATTACAGTGATAAAAAAATGTTTGCAGGGATGGTGGATTGATTGATTAATTTCAACACTTTTATCCTATTCATCCAAAAGCTCAGGGTGGCATACATGGGTCCCCCCACCTCATTATCCACACAACAACCCTGTGACTTCAATCTGGCTGAGAGAGAATAACTAGCCCCGGGTCACTCGGAACTTCATGATGGTTGAAATGGGATCTGAGCCTGGGTCTCCCCAGTCCTAATTCAGCAATGTCACTTGGAGCAGTATGGCTTGGAAAATGGTACCTAGAAATGGATCCTTTTGGCTCCTCAGCCAAATCCTTTTGTGTGGCTATGAATACCTGAAACTTTTAAATAGAAAAGGTTCTGACAAAGCCATGTAGTGTTTACTTGTGACATAGTTGACCACACAAGTTATGTAGATTTCCTGTCTATTGACAGCATGCAAGAGTGTCAGTTTATGTAATTGCCAGTAGCTGTTGGTGATAGTCCAGTTCCGCTAGAGGTGTCATGTTCCTTTGTACCTTTGAACCTCCCTTGCCCCCCGCCCCAGTCTGTTGCTTATTATTCTCTACTTAGTAGGTGAAACGTCTTGCTTAGAGCTGCTTTTCAAATCGACCCAATGAAAATGTAACCATGGTTAGGTGATCAAAGCTGTGCTGCAGGTTTGCATCTCCTTTCTTGTCCATCATCACCTTCCTTACTTTCACCCTCAAAAATTAACTTCACTCACCTGGTTAGATTTGACTCTGGCACAGCAGCATTAACATCTGCAGCAGCACAAACAGGGATGGAAGCTTGTTTGCAAACCATGGCTAGTGCCAGTCAAGATGTCTACATGAGCCACGGAAAGGAAAGAATTCATATGAGTTAGAAGATTGCTAGTTTGGCACCTACATTGGGTTATTACGGAGGGAAATGAGCTCTTGTTTGTCGACTGTGTCCACATGGTGACTACTATAATGTGTGGAGGGTGCAGACATGTGTGAAAAATTGGTGGCATGGACTTGGAGACCTTATGGTTTAAAGGCACCACAGAGACATGCAGAGGAGCAAAGAAAACCCATATTTTCTGTAGTGTGTGAAGCATCCTTGGGAGACATTAAAAACAGATCTATGAGCAACCTTGTCACAAGTTAGAACTAAACAACAAGATATGTAATGGACCAATGTAGTGTATTCTACAACACATACTGAGCACACAGCAGTTGGGACTCTGATCTGCTTTAAAAATGTCTCAAGTAACTACATTCTTTCGCTCCCTTTCCCTTGAGGAGTCTATTTTGTTTACCTTGCTTTATTTTTAGGAATTTTGAGGTCAAGACATGTCGATTCTAGCAGAAGGGAACAAAGTAATTGCCTATGACTCTGTATTATTTCACAACTTGCTTTGCCCCAGAGTCTGCAGAGGTAGGAAGTTGGGTCACCCCTGGATTCCTGTGTGGCTTCAGAGAGGCCACTCCATGGTAGATCTTGGCCAACAGTCAGCAAAAGTGCTGTGGTTGGGCTGTTTGTATTGATTTCTCTATCTGTTCCCCTTGTGCTCTGCATGGGGAGCTAGGAGTGGTTGTGCTCTTGCTGCAGCGGCAGGGAGGAAAGGTCTGGTCTGCAAGCATTTGCTCTCATTAGAACGTTAAGGCCTGAGAGCTGAAAGCCAGTCACCCCTATAAAATGGACTTTGAGCAGTTTCTCCTGTGAGGCTCAGCGTAGGGTCTGGCTGATCGGTCCATGGTGTTTGCCTTCAGCCTCTGCAGGCGCAAACAAGAGAGAATGTGTCTCTGCCAGGTTCCTTTTAACAGAACAAAGGATGTGTTATTCCCCTTAATAGTCTCTCTGGAAGCCAACTTAAGGTACTCGTCTCCAGGCTGGAAGCTGATTATTATTTCTACATCAGACAAGTGGTAGGGCAAGCCTTACCAACTAGTTTAAACTTTTAGAAGGGATGGGATACCCTTTTTTGTTTTTGTTTTTAGTGCTTCTCAACCTCAAAGTGGATGCTTAGAGTCTTGAAGCTGGTGAGAAATGGGATCCTTTTAACTGGGCATGATGGTGAGGAGACTTCACTTTTTACAGCAGGGATGGGGACTGTGTGGTCCTCCATGGACTCCAGCTCTCATCAGCCATAGCCAGCATGCCCATTGGTGAGGAGTGGTGAGAGTTGTAGTCCAACAACATCCTCAGGGCCGCAGTTTCTGCATCCTTGTTCTTCAAGAAAAGCAATAGCATCTGTTCATTTTTAGCTAGCATAGTCAGTTCCTGGCCCTGCCAGAAATTCCTTGTTAAACATGGCAGTAAGTATTTTCATCTCTGGGCTGGAGTCCTCCATCTGCAACGTGGTTTGTGGTTGTCACAAATGCTAGGAAGAATGGCATTGAAAAAGCCCAATAAAAGGTGATGCCAGTTGATAAGGGATTCTTCCCCATTTGAAAGGAGATCTGGTCCACAGCTCAGTGGCATTTCCGGTATTTTGAGGTCGCTGGATCACTTTGAGAACTGACGTTTGAGACATGGTGGGGTCCAGATGAATAGCATATGCTGGTTGCCTATCCAGAGTCCGACTTTAAATCCCTGCTGGGCCAGGAACATACAGTCGCTTCCCTTGAGGAAGTCTCGCCTTCAATCCTGCATCTGTTCAATGGGAGTAGGAGTGTCTTATTTTGCATGGCTGTTGTGAGCTTGAATAAAGCAACAATTGTGCATATTATGTAATCTGCCAAAATTAATATGTGACTACATATTCAGGAAATGAATGGCCAGGCATGGAAGGAGATGTCTGGGAACTCTTCTCATAATGCCAATATAACGGTGGATTCCAGACCCAACCCTTGTCCCTGGTAGCAGAGCAGCTGAAAATGGCAAACAGAGGCGGGTGGAGCATAAGATAGTTCTTGGGCATTTGCAAGGTCTAGGGCCCTGTGACACAGACTGACAGCTGGTAATTTGAGTGTGGGCTTCGAGCGACTCTTGGGGGTGGATGGTGAACCAATGGATCAAATAGTGCTTGTGCCATTTCCTTTTATTTTAAATGGTGGGCTCTTGTTGGAACTGGTAAATATAGCTCAGGAGCTGATGAACCTGGGCTATGTTAACAGAGACCAGAAAACAGCATAAAATTGGGCATATTTCACAGAGGATTTCCTGCTTTTTTCCAATAGCTGCCATTCATTGGACATGGTAAGGGATGGGTTACGAGCGGCAATCAGAGTTGCTCTGTTTCTGTTATTTTTCTTTTGTTGCATCTGGTGACTAATCCAGAGAAGGTCACACCATGATAAACACATCTGTCTTTAAGGTGCCACAAGACTAGTTCTGTTTCTAATGTCAATTTTCAGTAGCATCTTTGCTCTGTTGATGCCCAGGGCCAGTCTGAGTTCTAGCAGCTTCATACTTTTCAGTGTGCACAGATGTGAAAAAGGGAAGGATTGCCAGAAAGTGAACTTGGCAGTTTAGTTTTCCTTTGAAGGATGGTGAGGTTTAGCAGAGGTAGTGTGTGCCATTTCTGTGTGCACCAATTGCTCTAACATCTTAGCTTGAATACATTCCTGAGCCACTTCCTGAAGCAAAAGGATGGAAAGACTGTAGAATTAGTACATTGGCTTATATATGATGTGGGTGGCACTGTGGTTTAAACCACTGAGCCTCTTGGGCTTACCGATTGGAAGGTTGCCGGTTCAAATCCTTGCGACGGGGTAAGCTCCCGTTGTTCTGTCCCAGCTCCTGCCTAGCAGTTCAAAAGCACGCCAGTGCAAGTAGATAAATAGGTACCGCTGCGGCGGGAAGGTAAACGGCATTTCCGTGCGCTCTGGCTTCCATCACGGTGTTCCATTGCGCCAGAAATGGTTTAGTCATGCTGGCCACATGACCTGGAAAGCTGTCTGTGGACAAACGCCAGCTCCCTTGGCCTGAAAGCGAGATGAGCGCCACAACCCCAGAGTCGCCTTTGACTGGACTTAACCACCCAGGGGTCCTTTACCTTTTATAGTGTCATCATCTTAGCACCCCTTTTCCCTGGCCTTGACACCTGAGATGTATATTTTCAGGACCCACTCTATTTGTGTGTGTGGTTGCATTTTTTATTGTAAGTTTTTAAAACTTCTGATGTAATTTTAATCAATGTAGCCCACCCCTGGGACTTTAGGGTGAAGGCAGGGTAATAAAGTTGTTTGTTTGCTAATTACAGTACCAGCAGCCACAACCTGCTTCCTTCAAATGCATGATGTGGAGTGAGAAGGGAGTGATGGTAAAGCCAAGTGTTTTAGCAGTTTCTCAAAGGAAATGATGGTGGTGGGGTGTCTGCTAATCTGCAGAAACCTTTTGCAGATGTTTCTTGGAAAGCAGGACTGTCCTACGGCAGTTCTCCGTTTTGATCCAGGCAGAATTACCAGCCGCTGCCGACTGGGACTGATGGAAATCTTAGTCCAGAACATCTAGAGGGCACCAGGTTGGGGAGAACTGATAAAGGCTGTGTTTGATTAAATTTCTCCTCTTCCCTTGAATTGTTCTGATCAGGGCCGTGGCTTTCTCTCATCTCCCTGACTGCTGTCTCATATTTCCCACAGAGATCCACGGAGGGCCGCGGTCCCGCCAGTTGCAGCCTGCGCGTTCCCTCCCGGGGCCTCCCCACTGCCTGAAGCATTTTCCTGTTGACCTGCGCACCTCCATGGATGGCAAGTACAAAGAGATAGCCGAGGTAATGTTACTTCTTCATTGCTGTTGCTTTCCTCTTTTATAACCTTGGAACCAGGCCCGTGAGGACACCACCTCAGAGTTATACCCACTCGCCCTGAGTTCCTCTTTTCCTTTGATTGCTTTTTTATGAAACAAGCTCAACTCTGTAACCCCGAACTCTGACAAATGCATGTGACCCCTCTTGCATTTGCAAAGGTTGTGGGGAGGGGGGAGAGATAATCCATGCAGCCTTTCACTGTTGGAGGTAAGGAGTGGGTTGCTTTCAACTCCTGGAAATGGAAGGTGAGAGGGAAGTGATCTTTGCCAGTTCCTCTTGTAATCTCCTGTGCCCCTGGGAATTGTGCTTGGTGGTGGTGGGTGGAGGGGCTGTGGGGATAAATCACCCTCCCCTTCTGTTTGTAGAAGCTTCTGCTGGTTTGACGCTTTGGCTGAAGTACAGTTTTGCTTTCCTAGGATCACCTCTGTATCCAACCCGGTGTTTGGGAGTTATTTCTCATTGAGTGTGCTTGTTGTGAGGTTTTGTTGGGGTGTTTCCCAGAGGGCCAGGTTGCCACATTGTGCCAGTTAGTGCCACCCTGCAGTAGAGGCATAAAGTGTTGTTACGTGGTCTCCACTGCCATAATGATTCCACCGTCTCCCAATTTTAATTGTGGTGTAAAGGAAAGGTGGACCTAGCGTTGCTTGCAGCCCACACTGGTTGTTTTCGTCCACTGTTTGGGGATGCCAGATTCTAAGGTAGGCAAATCTTGTGCAGTTCTGGGACTGTGCTACTTCCAAGTCCAGGCGTGGCATGCTCACAGGAAATGTGCATTAGCCTAAATCCAGCCTCAAAGCCTGGCAAAGTCTGTCCCATGTGCACTTAATGGTTTCTGGAGTAGCTGGAATCTCTGTGAGTGATGAACTGTCCTGCTAATCACAGCATTACAAGAGAAAGGAGGCGCAAGAAAAAGGAGAAGCTCTTGTTATGTTCCTCTTATTGCGTGATCCAGTTCCAGGCTTCCTGTTTCAGGCAATCAGAACAATTTTTTCAACCTCAGTAATAGGTGAGCAATCTCTTGCTGGAGTGTGAACTGAGCCATTGTCAGGGAGAGCGATTACAGGAGTACTTTGGCCAGACTTTTTGTCTGGATGGGCTCTTGGGTGCATTCTCTCCCAGTTGGAAAGACTGAAAAGGTCCATAATTTCAACTGGGGAATTTGCGGGTCACCGGCAAGCGGTCCCAACTTGCCTCGCCAGTAATTCTGATGCTGATACCCTTTAACCTATGTAACAGATGTTTCCATTGTAATTGCTGGCACAGAAATTTGGCTTTTTGCCTTTAGCTATCTAAAGAGTGAACTTACCACAGGCAAGCTTTCAAGAATCGGGTACCCGAGTGAATTAATTGAAAATGCATTTTGATCGACCTACTGGCAGGCTAAGTAATTGAATTGCTTGTCTGATTTATTGGGGGAAATCCTTGCAGAGCAAGCCTGACTCAGCACTTCCCAGCTCATGTCTCTTTGTAACGCAGCTCGCTTTCTTGCTGCTTGTGCTTCAGGGCTCTTTAGTTGCAGTATGGAAATGTCCATAGCAAGATCTTGTCCTTTTTTCGTGATTCATGAGAGCTGTCTGTCTCCTTCCTTCATACCTTGCTCTTGAACATGGGGGGGGGGGGACTTTCTGGGGGGGGGGGCTGAGGGTCACATTGCCCTAGTAGAAAAGCTGTGGAGCCATATACCTGAACCAGGTGGGGCCAGATTCACACAAAATCCTAAACCCTTGATGCACACACAATTTCTCTTTCTCTCTCATAACACCACGCATATCATGGAAGCAGAGGCATATTTTTAATTATTACTAGCTCTCTTCAAGTTATACCTTCCATTTCCTTCATAGACTTAAAAAAAAAAATACATTGAACTTCCTATACAGTGGTACCTCGGGTTACAGACACTTCAGCTTACAGACTCTGCTAACCCAGAAATAGTACCTTGGGTTAAGAACTTTACTTCAGGATGAGAACAAAAATCGCGCGGCGACAGCGGGAGGCTCCATTAGCTAAAGTGGTACCTCAGGTTAAGAACAGTTTCAGGTTAAGAACGGACCTCCAGAACGAATTAAGTTCTTAACCCGAGGGGCCACTGTATTTGTACTGCCTATCCAAAAGGCTCAGTAATTCTAGTGTGATAATGCAAATATGTTCAATTCACAGCTGAATTGCAAGTCCTTCCCCAAAATTGAGATCCAGCAATTGCAAAATGTGTGGACTACTTTTTGCATTTCTGCAAAGAATACAAGTTTGCTGTGACCTTGCAGAGGAAGGAGCCACGGTTACACATCCTCTTTCGATTTCTGCTGAGCAGCTGATGGTTGGCAGGGCACCCGGAGGGCTGTATAAAATCTGGCCAGACCACGGGTATCTCACCCCAGGTCTAGGACATTAAAAGGTGCATTCATTTTCAAGGCTGGAAATGTCATTTCAATCTACCTTTGCCACACTGAAGATGTTAGGTCTGCCTTCACTCTTTCTGGTCCCAGACTGATAGAAGTGTCATAGAGCCTGTTGGTGGAGCTCACGTCACGTGCTGATTTTAATGGGTCCACGGTACAGACTTATTAAAATCACAATACCTGAAGTACATAAATGTCGTATGCACATTGTAGAAAAGCATTGTGGCGTGATGTAGATTAACCCCACCTCACAGGCTTGAATATACACTTCGAATGTTATGGCTTTAGTGGATTCACAGTACAGGTCTGTAAAGTGTATATCTTACAACGTAAATGTGAGGCATGGTCCTAAGCAGAGAGACACTGGATGTGAGCACTGGTGGTGGTATGGAAGTGTTTGAAGCTGCCTGCTCTAGCTTCCACCTGACCTTTGTAGGAAGAAATTAGGGCCTGCTTGATGGCTCAGCAGCTGTCGTTTCCTGATGTTGACACATCCGTGTGTCAGAAACATGCTGGAGAAGGCAGCAGAGAAGACGGGGACCTTGAGATATATTAATCATTAATGCACCTTTTGATGACCTGGGCAATGGGAAACCAGCAGCAGTGAAGTTCATCTAACAGTCATCACTCAGGCAATTGTAAGTCACTGCGTTGGTGACCCCATTGTCGATTCCTGCCCTGAAAAAGCAGGCATTGTGGCATGGATCCCACCCACAATACTTTCGTGGATGCTGGCAGAGTATTCCCATCTCAACAGACAGACTCCAGGGAGTCCCTCTTAATGGACTCTCCATGTTGGTGTCAGAGGTTTATTATGTGGGAGGCTTAACTACTCCTCCCTGCCCCACCCTCGGTCGACTGCACTGTTGTGCTGCTGTGCCCACAGGAGCTGTTCTGCCGTTCGTTGGCTGAGAGTGATATGCGCAGTGCCCCCTATGAATTCCCAGAAGACAGCCCCATTGAACAGCTGGAGGAGAGGCGCCAGCGGCTGGAGCGGCAAATCAGCCAGGATGTGAAGTAAGTTGCTGTGATGCTTCTTGGTCTTCTTTTGGCTCCTTTGTTTGGTATTTCCAAGAGTAGGAAGGTGCATTTCAGAGAAGTTCATGAACAAAGACAACTGGATGAATATGAGCAGTTGAGAACTGAGAAAGGTGGCAAGAAGCCAAATGGGGAACCCTTAGTTGCAACCTAGAATAGATTGCAATAACTCGGGGAATAGGCTTGTTGGAGAAGACATAGGTGGTCCAAAGAGGTGCACATCGGACGTTGGCTAGGATGCCTGCCATTGACATGGTTGTGTGTGTGCATATACATAACTGTATGTGTGTGCGTTTGTAGCTGGCAGTTTTACACAACGCTTGTCCTGCTTACGGTCTGTCTTGGGTGCCCAGAGGCTTTTCACTGGTGGGATTGCTTTGTGGTTATCTACGTTACCAGCAGGCAAATAAAGGCCTCTATATTTCTTCCAGCTCTATCTGCCCAGAGGTGGCTAGATTCATTTAGAAACCAGGACTGGAGAGAGGACAAATATGGCCCGGTACAGATGTTGTGACCTAACCATGCCTAGGCTATTGGAAGTGTGCTGTAGGAGCATTTGCTCCCTCTTCTCCATGCACACACTGCTTCCCTTCTCCGCTTCCTGGGTTGTGGTAACCATGCTTTGGCATAATGTCTGGATTGATCAAATTATGGTTACCACTGGCCATAGTTTGCCTCCGCACCAGAACCAGAAACTCACATTGAGCTATACTTTCTGGTTCAGGTGGGGGTGGTTTGCCTGATCTTCATGGCAAACTGGTTGCCATGGATGAGGAGGGACTTACTATTCAAATCAGTAGCACTTTCCTGATGGCCAAACCATGGTTTGGTTTTGATGTCTGTCCTAGGCCTTTTGAATCCATTCTCTTCTGTCTCCCATAGCTGGTGAATATTGCTGTACAGTGTCTGCCATTTCTGGTGTTGGTTTCTGTATTAATGCTAGTGTTTTCTTTTTTTCTTCTCCTCCTCTTCTCCTTTTCTTCCTCCACATTTCCTCATCTCTCTCTGTTTGTGTGTGTCTCTCTCTCTTCCCCCCTCTCTCTTTCTGTCTCTCTGTTTGTTCCTGTCTTGGCCTTGGCCTCCACTTCCCATTTATCCTCAGACTAGAACCTGACATTTTACTCAGAGCCAAACAGGACTTCCTGAAAATTGACAGTGCTGCTGACTTACAGTGAGTGCCTGGCATTAATTCTCTCTGCCCTTGACTCAGGGGTGGGAGCGGGAGCACCCTGCAGGCTGCATCCTCATCCTCTCCCCACCTTGGCAGGCACAAAGGAAGTGACACTCTTGCAAGAGTTCTATCCACCTGCATGTGGCACATTCCCACTCTCAATCATGCCACTGCTGCGTGTGTGGTCAATTAATTAGGTGCAGATACTGCTAAGTCAAACTAAGACATGTGCAGGCATTTGGGACTGCCTTGTGCAGGCTTAAAATGGGGAGGAGGCAGAGGCATGCATACACAACCCTTGCACCTTCCCTCAAAATCCCAGTGCATGCCAGCTCCTGTTCAGACCTTCCTACAATCAGTGCAAAGCTCTAAAGTGGGGGGATTCTATGTGGAACATGCTTAGAAATCCCCCATCAGACCTTGTACAACATGGGATAGTCCGAAGTGGGACCAGGAGGCACAAGGAAGTTGGGGTTGGGTGGGGCTTGCATTTGTATCCCTCGCCTCTCCATCTTAAGTCCACATTATTTTGCCCCCAATGTACAAGTAGGGCTCTGATCTTACCAGCAGTGACTGAGAGACATGCCATATAGCCTGGGAGCAGGCTTGGAACTGAACTTCAGAGTGGAAAGATGGTGTAAATCAGGGGTGGCCAACTCCCAAGAGACTGCGATCTACTCACGGAGTTAAAAGCTGTCAGTGATCTACCCCATTTTGGGGGGTTCAGGTCAAAGTTAATGGGCTTTTTTTAGGGAGGAAAGCCCTGCTGAACTTCTTTGGGGGGAGCCAATGATCTACCAGTGGTCTACCACAGGCATCCAGTGATCTACCGGTAGACCACGATCTACCTGTTGGACTTGCCTGGTGTAAATGGATGAAGTGAATCTCCCCTCGCCTCCTGGAGGAGAATGAAAGTTCGGTGTTTTAGAATGGAGAAATCCTTGCGGAGGAAAGGCCAAAGCTAGCCACTGTTTTGGTGCATGTGTCAAGTTTGGCGATCCCTTCTGAGAAGTAGATGCTGTTCAGCTTGAGAAGCTGGGAAGCCCTATGGCAACTAGGGCAGGCAGAAGCGCCTTTGATCCCGAGCTCACCATGGCTCTCGACACAGCTGAGCGGGGGATTCCTCCCTTTCCACTGCTGGTCACTTTCACTTGTTCCTTTGCTCTGAGCTCCATTTCCCTCCTGTCTTTTTATTATAACGGTGATGATTCTTTTCATGGCAGGCGCAGTGGGTGGATCCACCCTCTTGTCTCTGTGTTTTATATTTCTTCCCCACTTCCCCTCTTTTCATGGTGCTGGCTGAGCAGCTCAGATCCCTAGTAAGCCCAGCAAGGTCCTTGTCAGGGCGTCCCTTGAAGACCAGCTTCTTCAGGCCCTTGCTGGATCTCTGCTTCTGGTTCTGTACATCTTCTGCCAGATGACTGACTTCATGCAGTGCAGAAAGGGGCAAGCTGTGCAGAATGAAAGAGCCCTCCCCTGAGGAGCAGGAACCACCTTCCTGATACGTGGGCACCCTGTTTGACTGTCCAAGGTTCTGAAGCTGTCAGGTGTCCATGACTGTCTCCACCCCTTTCCGTAGTTCAGGGCTGCTCTCCCTGTGGTTGGCGGGGAGGTTGTCCCTGTCTTGAACGTGTCTTGTGTGTGGTACGTCCTGCTTTGATGTCTTGAAGGGCCTCTTTCGAAAAGGGGACTCCAGTGAGCACGGCAGGATACCGGCAGAGCCAAATCTGTCATTTACTGTTGCTCCCTCAACTCTCCCCTTTCTTTCCTCTCCCCCCAGATTGTTTAAGGAGCAGGGAGAGGACCTGGTGGACCAGTATCCCAAAGAACGGGATGTGCTTCTGGAAAGGGAGTTCCAGAGGGTCACCATCTCCGGAGAAGAGACGTGCGGGGTAAGACTGACGGATTCAGAAACTAGCCATCCATTTGCACCCAACCACGCACACCCACCCACAATCTCCCGCAAAGGCTCTGCCACAGGGGTTCCCAGACGGTGGTCTACAAGCTTCATGCGAGTGATCCATGCTGTGTTTGTAAAAAAATGCGATTAAAAACCATGCAGCATCCAGCACAGTGCTTTACAACTTTTCAGCAGACGGGGAAATCATTCCGTGGTCTGACAATGTGTTCCGCAATGTTTAGGGGGAGCGGGCGGGTTGGGAACCACTGCTCTACAACATGCTGCTTTCTGACAGCAATCAGATAGCCTTCAGGCAGGAAATGACTCCAGTTTTGCCCTGGAAGGGCCTTAGCTCAGTGCTAGAGCACATTGTGCTTTGCATGCAGAAGGGTCCAGGTTCAATCCCTGGCATCTCCACTTTAAAGGATCAGGTAGCAGGGAATGTGAAAGGCCTCTGTCTCCCTGAGCCCCTGGAGAGCAGCTGTTGGTAAAAATATGCAACCCATCTAATAAACCAGCTGGACAAATAGAATTTACTGACAGGCTCTGTATTTTGTATTTTTGGTGCTTTGTAGTTTGATGTTTTGAATGTTTGCTGTGAGTCACTTTGGGCACAGCCATTGTGGAAAATTGTTTATTATTAATTTATTTCAAGTATTAAAATAATTTTCTAACTTTGATTTTTTTCAACACCCATGTTGTAAGTGTTACAAAATTGCAGATGGGAGTCTGGGGCTAAGAAGGGGAGCTCGCCTAACTTCACCCAGTGGTTCCATTTGGATACTTTGCTAAACTTCAGCTTAGTGTGCTGTGAATGAGCCTATGTGAGCTTCTGGCTCATATGCTCCCCCTTTCCCCCTCCTTCTGGAATTCAGACGCTTTTACATCTGTTTTTGCTTAATCTCGTGTTTCAGTGTTCGCTGTGGATAAAGTTAATGATGGTTTGTTTGAAACAAGCCAACTACAAACCATAGTCAACATTAACCCCGGTTTATGGTTTGAATGACACTAAACTATGATTAACTGAACTGTCTGTTAGGAACCTCTGGAGTGATTTGATTTAGCACGAAGAAGCTGCAGCACCTGTCTTGCACTTTCATTGTGTTTATTTATGGATACTGAAGTTCTGCATGCAAACTGGCTTTTGATCGATATCTTGCGAAGCAGTTAGAGTTACCTAACTCAGTCCCTGTGTTTTTCCATTTTATGCACTGAATCTCTGAAGACTTCCTTCTGGCTGCTGTTTTGATTTTCTGGCCTTCGTTATATAGTTTGAATGGATCAATTAGCATTTTGTGGCTATTTGAAATTTGCACTTGATAGATTTGCCTTATTGGAGACATTATTATTATTGATATGTTATATATTCTTGTCTAGCGGTTCACGCCGTCTGTTTCCTAGCCTGCCCATCATGATTCCTTGATAAGTGCTGTTCCCAGTTCAGCTAACTGTTTTTCTTTGGCTCTCCCCCCCCCCCCCAGGTGCCTTTCACAGACCTGCTGGATGCTGCCAAGAGTGTGGTGAAGGCCTTGTTCATTCGGGAGAAGTATATGGGGCATTCTTTGCAAAGCTTCTGCAAGACCACAGCCCGCTTCCTACAAGACCTTTCAGAAAGGCCTTTGGCCCCCAGGATGTATGAGGAGATCCCCGAGACCCCTGGGGCTGGAGGTGAGGTCTGAATCTGGGCCTGTGTGTGAGAGGGCATTCCTTTCAGCAAAGTAATTCCAGTAATGGAGGTGCCTAAAGTGGCAGACAGGAAGAGGAACATGGATAAGGTTTAGATTGGTCCCTGGCTACTTACAAGGTGGTCATGGTATTGATGATGCCCTTGCGAGGCCAGCAGGTAGTGGAAGCCAGGGCATGGTCCAGAGGCAGCTCCCCTCCTCTCCCACACCCAAGGAGAGCTGTGAGGCCAAGTCGTACATTGCCTCCAGCTTTGGGGTAGGCAAGACTGGGTAGCTGCAAGATCTATTGGGGCATCTCTTCATGTTTCCAAGGGCTCAACTACAAATAATTTTTAAGTGATCCCATGGAAAGATGCTAGAGCTATGGGGTGAGTGTAGGGCCATTTGCTGAGAAATGCTGAATTCTGCAATTGTTGGGTTCCAGTTGGGTGCATTTGGGTAATCCCCCCCCCCATTCATTTTATTCAGATTTTTTTAGTCTTTGGGGGGCAAGGAGCTTATGTGGGGTGTTGAAGTTCTAGCAAATGTTCAGTGGCAGCCACCCCTCTGGATTCCGAGAATTCAGTAGACTTTGCCCCCACGTTTCAAAATGTATTTTATGTCATGAGAACTAGAAATTTGCTTGCTCTCAAAAAAAAAAAAAAAAAGGACAGAGATTATGAGAAAAATGGAACTTTGTACCCATTAACTACCCATTAATTCTACAAGGTTCCTGTGCTCCCGTGGAGTCAGCCTTGGATGATTGGGAGAGATGGTGTGACTGGGACCCAGTGAGACTGTGCCGTCCCATATTGACTTGATCTGTCATGTTCTGTAGCTGAACAACCATCACCGAGCTTGCTTGTTTTGTGCCCCATGTGCTAGCTTTTCTTTCTCACCAACTCTTGCTAAACAAGCAAGCAAGCAGGCAGGCAGACAAACAATAACTGGATAAGGGAATGTGCCATCAACTTCAAGGAGAGAGATGGTTCTTGAGAATAATTAGTTTTATTTTTTGTATTTTGGTTTTCTGTTTAAAATAGTAGGTGAAATATCCGTAGTGATGAAGCAAAAGTATACCCTCTCATTTGCTCTTTCCCGTGTTGCAGATGCTTCAGGGCACTCACCATTTACAAACCAGCATCCTTATGAGAAGTGTGACCCTGAATCAATGCCTGGAGACCTTGGCTTTGGCCTGAAGATGGTCAATGGAGTAGTCCATGTGTACACTAAGCAGGACATCACCGACAAGTAAGGGGGAATGGGAGAAGGCATGGCAATTTCTTGCTGGGTACAGATGCCTTGGTATGCTAACAGTGCTTCTAGGAAAATATGTTCTTTAGTGACAGGTAAATTTTGGAGGTGAGCAGAGGTCATTCACGGTGATTTTATCCATGGCCCACACCTAAATGGCCAAGTTATTCCCTGTTTTCTCTGTAGCTGGGAATCTTGGATGCATTTAGCTCAAGTATCTATAGAAATGGCATATGCCTAATGAAAGTGAAAATTCATCTATAGACATCCTGAGCTTTTAGGAAGTCTAGCTCCATATTCTTATGCAGCATCTTGTGAAAACACTGTTCTCATGCAGATCATAATATATGCACACATGATGTCTGATAATGAACACGGTTGAAATCACTGAATCTTGTGCTTTCTTCCCTGTATCCATTTGCCCTTGGAAAGTATAGAAGGGAATATTTATACTACAGGAGCTGGGGAAGAAAGTGTGATTGACAACCGCCTACACAGCTTTGAGAGCACAGAAAGGCAGATCCACATTTTAATTGGGCCTGTTCGTTATTTGAACCAAACAGCACATGCTGTTTTCAAACTAGATTAAGCAAATCAGTAAAATGTATGAAAACTTTATTGTTATATTTTTTTCCTTCTTACATATTCAGAGTACTATACAATAAAACTGAATTTAAAAAACATCATATTCTAGCAAAATAGCTATTAACCAGTTTCAGACACCTAGGTAAATCCTTGCAAGCAACCAAGGTGAAGGAATGAACGCGATAATACAGCTAGACAGGACTTCCTGGACAAAAAGTTGAACCTTGCATGGGATAGTTTTGCATGAAATGGAAGTTCCTCAAGCTTGAACCCTAGTTGTGATTTTTGATTAAATACTGACATAGCAGGAAAACGGGCATAGATAAGGGAGGAAAATACAATATACATACAATAAAAGAGCACACATACAATAAAGAACACGAGTCTGTCCCAGAAACAATCTGTGTTTTTCTCAATGCATTTCCATAATAGTAACTGCTAATGCCTTACAGTTTCTTTTAAAGTGAAAGTTCACAGGAATCTTAATTTTCTACTTTGTATGGAAATATCAGTTAACCTGATTTAACAGAGTTGGTGTAGTAAGCAGCTGGATATTCTGGCAATTTCAATTTGAAGCAGTAGTAATAACTACCAAATTCTATATTTTGAGCATCTTGTTTGCCAGTTTTCTCTTGAGCTAACGCCTTTTTTAGTAGCTTCCTCCCCTTTAGTTCTAACTAATGATTTTAGAGAGAGATCTTCGTTTTGTGCTATTGGCAGTGCTGATCTTGGCTTTTCCTCTCATTTTACACATAGAACTATGCAAAATACACATCTGGACAACATAGCTCTCTTGATTCTTGTTTACTTGTGTCTGTGATCTTGTTTCATCTTTTGCCTCTTTTTTTTTTAAAGGACCACAGAACTAGACTTGCCTTACCCTGACCTGCAGGAGTTCATTGCTGACATGAATGTCCTAATGGCTCTGATCATCAATGGTCCAATGTAAGTGATGCCATTATTTTATTTCTTTCATCTTTACGTGCAGGAGCAAGCTCCTTCTTCCAAATGACAATTCAGTTAAATGTGGTTAGGCTCACATCCAAGCAGGGTGGATGTGAGCCTATCTGGTAACTATCATGGAAAACTAGCAGCAAACCCCTTTTTTCAATGAAAAGGCCTGAGTAAATTCATGAGGGGTAGTTCTGGTGATTGCTACTTGCCATGATAACCTGAAGTACAAACTTCATGGTCAAACTGAGACACTTTTGATTACGAGATGCCAGGAACTTACAGTAAGGATCAACATGGCTTGCTTTGGAATTTCTCTGCAGTATATGTCTGATCATTCTTGAGCTGGCTGGAACATGGACCTGACCTCGCATGGCAATGTATTCTGATGTTATGGAATTCCTTACAATTCGCTCCCTTATGTCTTTGGTAATTACCCACCCACCCAGACCACATTAGAAATGCTGGCTGTTACTTGACAAATGCACTAGGCCTGAGCCTTCTGCAAACATAGATTTAAACCCCGAATTAGGTTTTCATGATTTACAGTGCTGGCTACTATGTTGAGAAAGTGAAGGTCTGATTTTGGTGTGGTGAACTAAACCTCCTTTCTAATGTTTGGCCAGAAAATCCTTCTGCTACAGACGCTTGCAGTACCTGAGTTCCAAGTTCCAGATGCACGTCCTGCTCAATGAGATGAAAGAATTGGCAGCTCAGAAGAGGGTTCCGCACCGCGATTTCTACAATATCCGGAAGGTACTGACATTCTGTGTTTCAGGAGTATGTGCCTGTAGTTTTCATTACAAAGAACTGGACTCTGGGGAACCCCAGCAGTTACTGCAGAATGCTCAGTCGCTACAGCCCAAACTGCCTGGCCTCTGCAATGCCAAAGGAAGGAACAGCAAGTCTGATGGAGACGTGGGCCCCTCTCCATTGGTACCTCTTAATAAACAGGCACTCTCTTTCAAAGGCTTGTTTTTGCACCCTGATTCCTTAGATGGCCTGACAAATGGTTCCCTGCCCATTTGAGGGTCTTCCAGGCAACCATAGTGGCAAGAAGTGTCATGGTGGCTAAATAATAAGCATTTATATACAGATATATTTTTAAATTTTATTTCAGTCCTTAAAATGGGTGGGAAGCCTATGACCATCCAGATAGTTTGGACTCATGTTCCCTTCAATCCCAGCCAGTGTTGCCAGTGATGAGGGCTGATGGGAGTTGTAGTCCGGCAGCAGGTTCTCTTCCCGTGTTTTAAGGTTAGGGATTGGAGCTTAGAGATAATAGATTTCCCTAAAGCCAGCTGGTGGGTCAATGGCCAAGGTCAGACTTGAGCTCTGGGCTTCCTGGCCCACATTCTTAACCACTGATCTCTTGAGCAGGTGGACACGCATATCCATGCATCATCCTGCATGAACCAGAAGCATCTGTTGCGCTTCATCAAGCGGGCTATGAAGAAGCACCTGGAGGAGATTGTGCATGTGGAGAAGGGCAAGGAGCAAACTCTAAAGGAGGTCTTTGAGACCATGAATCTCACAGCTTATGATCTCAGCGTAGACACGCTTGATGTCCATGCGGTATGTCAAATAAGAGCCTTCACAACGTTATTACAGGCCTTATATAGTCATTTGCAGTTTGCCAAATGGGGACGAAGAGAATTGCAGTCTTTTGTCTTCATGGTAACTTAATTACAACAATCTTTGTTGCTGCCTTTTCTAATAGGATCGTAACACCTTCCATCGCTTTGACAAGTTCAATGCCAAATATAACCCCATAGGCGAGTCTGTGCTGCGGGAGATTTTCATCAAGACAGACAACAGAGTCTCTGGAAAATATTTTGCCCATATCATCAAGGTAAGCAGATCTGTCCTTAGTTGTGTACCCAGGAGCTTCTACTTATTGCCAGAGTGCTGAATAAGCTATCCAAACTCTGTATCCCTATTCTTGCGTTGTGTGTGGTTTTAAAACTTGGGAGGAGCATTCAAATTGAGTTAGGGCATCTAGTGAACCAGGAGATGGGACAGAGAAAGGGAACCATGCTGGGCAGTTGAAATTTCTTGACTACTAGCAGCCCACTTCATCCCTCCTGGTTTCTGAGTTTTTCCCAGATTAAGTATTGCTTTTTTGCAAACTTTGCCCTCAGACTTGAGGTCTTGAAACGTAGCTTTTGAAGGAGAGCATACATTCTTAGGCTGTCAAAATCTGTCTGGTGCCAGCTTCCATACTTGAGGAAGTAAGGGGAAGGCACAGTATGATTTCTTCTATTCATCTCAATTTGGGCTTGCAGGTTTCCCAGGAGAATAATGAAAGGCAGTCAAGATTCTAAGTTTCAAGATCTTCTTCACTCTGTCTGCTTTCTAGAATATTAGGAATAGCAATGCACCTGTCTGGGGATAAAAAATAGGGCAAAGAAAGCAGTCAATTTTGAGACAGTAGGGGCTGTCTCAAAGAGCACATGTGAAGCCCAAGCAATCAATTGCAGGCAGATAAATTATTCTACCCCGCATGCAAAGAAGGTATAAGGTGTCCAAGTGCTGGATTGCCTTTGTAATGCGTTTCATCCTGCAAAAACATGAGAGTGTTTCTGTAGCAAAGGAGGGTAGTCTTTGATGTCTTTGATGAGGCTCCTTTGCTGACAAGCCCTTTCTCTCTCTCTCCTGGCAGGAGGTGATGTCTGATCTGGAAGAGAGCAAGTATCAGAATGCGGAGCTGCGGCTCTCCATCTATGGCCGAGCCCGTGACGAGTGGGACAAGCTGGCCAAGTGGGCTGTGGCTCACAAAGTGCACTCCAACAACGTGCGCTGGCTGGTGCAGGTGCCTCGCCTCTTGTGAGTGACAATTCCCCCCCCCCCCCGTGTTATTCCAGGAAGGGGAGCCAACCTTTGGCAGGGGAAACAGCCTCCAAGCTACGGGTACTTCGCTGTGCTGCCTTATGTGGCTTGAATTGATCGCAGTATTTTCTCCTAGTCATATGGAGGAGAAACATAGCTACATTTTCTATTTTAGCAAAGTGTAGCAAGCTGCTGGGATTATTAGAAAGGGTTTTGCGAGGGCTAGAGGGGTAGAATCTGTTGTGCTGGCGGGATTGGGGGGTTTGAAGACCCCTGCAGCTGTTGTATTGAGAACTAGGCAATAGCTACCCCAGTAGTTAAGGTGGAATCTGAAATGGAAGAGTTGGGAAAGCTTGTTCCGTAAGCAGAATCTTGCTCCTGCGGCTCTTGTTTCTGCACCTTTCCCTCACCCGCAAAGCAATCTGGGTACCAAAACAACAGCAGAAAATCCCTGATCTCTCATAGGCACCTGCATGAGGTTCTTTTCCTCTGCTGTTTTGGCACCCAGATTGTGGAGTAGCCTCCTTATAAAGGGACACATCTTGCCCCTTTTATTTTGCATTTATAAAAGAATGGTGAAAACTGTGCTGCCTGAGCAGGTATTCTTTAGGCAAGGTCTCCAAAGCAGCAATCTTACATGCACTTACTTGCATGGAATTCAGTAGGACTGATTAAAACAAAACAAAACACCAGCTCATAAAATTAGCAGATTACTTACCAACGCCAGTAAATGAACAAGCTGCCACTAGCTGCCTGGCAACAGCAAATTTCTTGAATGAATAAATCAATAATGTCAGTTAACTGCTGTCATGCAGGTGGCAGTTTCTGCCTTTGTTCTCCCAGCTTATCAAAGTCCACTTTGCTTCCTGTTCTCTCCTCCTCTGTCTGCTTCCTCCCCTGCTCAGTTAGGTCTCTCCCTTCAGCTCCTTCCCTCTCTGCCGCCTTTCCCTTGGTTCCCAGCTTGCTCTCTCCTTGCAGCCCCCGCCAGGTCCTTCCTTAACACTGTGTAGCCACGGATGTGATTGGCCCGCAAACGTACCTTATATTGCAGCTGCTCTTATCATTGCTTTCCTGTTGCTTCTCTGATATGGTGTTAGTATATTCTGCTCCCTCCCACCCTCTTAATTTATGGTTTAAGACAAAGTAAACAAAGCTGCCAAGCTGCTTTAATGGAGAAAAGTGGGCTACGCATCATATAACTACGTCCATTTATTCCTTAGCTGGTGCCCATAATTTTCTTTTTGCTTGTTTGACTGATGGATAAAACTAAATTGACGAGGAACTCGGAGGACTTTGTTTTGATGGATCTGTGCTTGGGGCTTTAGCTGTGCTTGCTTGTAATCCTAGCTTAGCAGGAGAGCGCACTCGAAGCTTAGCTGCCCAGCTACACTATCAACACAGCTTGCAAGCCCTTCAGATAGGGTTGCACGTTCTAAGCTGAACACCTGTTCCGCTGGCTGGGGGAAGTGAATGAAAAGCCTCCCTGTCTGAATAGAGCAACAGAGTGAGTGCGCCAGCGATCTTTCAGGTGACAATGCAAAGAACAGGGCCTGGTGGGCACCTGAGGAGTGCAACATGCTGAGTTTCTTAAATTGTGCAGAGACTAGAGTAAGCTGGGATTTTCTAAAAAGAAAGCTATGAAAGGGAAGCAAGCCCAACATTCTTGGGGCTCAGTGGTAGAGCAACTGCTTTGCCATGTAGAAGGGCCAGGGTTAAATCTACAGTATCTCCAGGTAGAGCTGAGCGAAATCCCTGTGTGAAACCCTGGGGAGCTGCTGCCAGTCAGTGTAGACAGTACTGAGCTAGATGGACCAAGGGTCTGGCTTGGAATAAGGCAGCTTCAACCCCCAGCACCTCTAAATAAAATGATTAGGTAGCAGGCCACTCTCTGCTCTGGAGCACTGCAGCTGCTGATCAGAGGCTATAATAATGGGCTAGATGGGCAGCTAGTCTGATGTATTATAAAGAAGTTCCCTGTGTTCTTATGGATTAAAGATAACAGGAAGCCATGCAAATGCTGCTTTGGAAGTCGATGATGATACTTAGAATTTGTGTAGTGCTGTAGGGTGCCCAAAGTATTTCACATACATTATCTTGGTTATCCCTACAACCCTGTTTAGTAGAGTCTGTATTTTAAGTTGATATTAGGGCAGGAGAAAGTTCAGCATTTTGTAATGAGGTATTCTTGAAATACCGGGGGGGGGGGCGGGGCGGTCAGCAAACACTTGTTCCTAAAAAAATAGTTGTTTTGTTTTTCATTTTTATTTAAAAACATATATTAAGAGAATTTCAATTGGAAGTTTAATAAAAAGATATAATATAGATCACTAGCTGTAATCAGTTTCAATTCCATACATTAGTATTTACATAAATACATAATGTTATTATCCTAATACTTAATGTTATTGTCCTAAAAAAGAGTTGTTGTCCACAAGGAAGAAAAGAGAAGAAATCTGTTACAATATTTAACAAGCAGCCTGCCTCAGCAAAGAAAGGAGAAGATACATAGTATACCATCATGTTTTAACCAAAGCAATGAATTGGGGAGAGATACACTAATGCTTATGGTCATGCCCCCCCACTTTTTTTGCAAGGATATATTTTGGATCAAGTTTTTGCAAGCTTGTGTTTTGGATCACATTCTTAAGACCATTGCCTAACAGTCCCTGAAGCTGTTGGCAAACTCTGAGAATGTAGCTGTTAATTATACTGTTTCAGTCCTAGTTTGCTCAGCACTTGATTACAGGACAGATGTGTGTCCAGGCCACAACATGCTTCTTTATGTCCCAAACAGTCAAATTCTTTAGGTCAAATGTTACTATCTGAATATTCAAATGGCTCTGTTGTTTTAAATTTTCTGCTAACTCCAGTGATTTTAAATTCCTCTTCTAAGTAGCTTCCAGCGATGGCTTTGGATTTTTCTAAGTGGTTTACTGTAGTATCAAAACCATCTAGACTAGTTCCACAGTCATAAATTTATAGCCGTTTTTTCAAATGTCATTTCTTTTGATAATATGCCATTCTAATCAGTGGAGCTCAGAATTGTGATCCCATATTGCAAATGGGGGAGGTGTGGTGTGGTTTGGGACTAAGAGGGTGTGGCTCACCTAAGGCCACCTAACAGATTTATGGCAGAGGTGAGATTTGAACTAGGGTCACAATACTGCCTTAGGTCTTACTCTGGCCAAATGGCATGTGGAGTGGCTCACTCAGCCCCTGCAAGTGATAACCCTCTGGTGAACTGCAGAATATGGAGATTTCTGCAAAGGCCTGTGTCTTAAGCTTCTGTGAATGACAACTATGCCCTCCGTGTCTCTCTGCTTCCGACAGCGATGTGTACAAGACAAAGAAGCAGCTGGCCAACTTCCAGGAGATGCTGGAGAACATCTTCTTGCCCCTCTTCGAAGCTACGATCCACCCTGCCAGCCACCCGGAGCTGCACCTCTTCTTGGAGCACGTAAGTTCTGCCACCAAAAAAAGGCTGGCTGATCTGGTGTGGCTTCCTAAGGGGAAGACTGGCGAGGTCTCTAGATTTGGAACAGGCTAAAGGGATAGCTATATACCTTTGGATTATGTTTTTATATGTGGGGCTTGGGCACTCAGTCTTGGGGGACTGACTTTGGCTTGGTTGGAAATGGCTTTACGCCAGATCTTAAGCCATTTGAACCTTCAGTCTTAGCATTTCGGTCTTAGCTATGAAACAGACTTGCCTCTGCTTTCTCAGAGAAGGCTCTTGAGGATGAGCATCTCCTTAAGCACCTGTATAGCAGGTTTTCTGCATGGAGCGAGAGGATTCAGAAAAATCCTTAGTTTTCTGCATGGAGCAGAAAATCCTTAGATAAGTGGGACCATCTCATCCTCACTCTCTGTCTCTCTCTCTCCTTCCTTTCCCTCGGCTTCTTGATGGGCAGGTGGATGGATTTGACAGCGTGGATGACGAATCAAAGCCAGAGCACCACATCTTCAACTTAGACAGCCCCTTGCCTGGGAACTGGGTGGAGGAGGACAACCCACCCTATTCCTACTACCTTTACTACACATATGCTAACATGGTGGTTCTGAATCACCTGCGCAGGTAGGAGGCTCTCTTCTTCCCTCCCCCCCACCCCGCAGTATACATGGATGAGACTCCAGAATGCTAGCTCCACAGGCAAAAGTGGGGAACCTTTACAGCCCAAGGGCCACATTCCCTTTGGACAGCCACGTGTCTGTGGTGGGTGAGGCCAGAGGCAAAAGCGGGTTTTGCCTTTGTACAGTAGACTGGTTTCTGCCCCTGCATGCCCGTCTCTGTTCTCCATCCAGAGAAGCATCCATTCCTGCCTACGTCAAAGAGGCAGTGTGACCTGAGCAGAGCCCCCAGAGCCGGACAGAGAGGTCTAGAGGCCTGAGGTTCCCCAGTCCTGTTCCTTTAAGGCTCTTTGCGCAACCTCCTGAGCCAAGTCTCCTTGGGTGCCTGCTGACTGAGCACGCAGCACTGTGCCCTATTAGATAAGCAGGTTCACAGAGCCCTTGGAGGTGGCTGCTGGGTTTTGTGTTAGCTTCACACCTTCGATGTTGTTGCTTGGATCCCAGTTCCCATTCCACTTCTCATTCTAACGGCTCATCGCCTACTCCTCCTACAGAAAGACACTGCTGCCAGTAATGGATGAAATTCAAAGACTATTTAGTTAAATATGCTAAGATAACTTAATTGGAAAAACTTGCAAATACCAGATAGGCCTAGGATTGAAATATGTGATGTTAGAGAATAATATAGAATCATAGAATCATAGAGTTGGAAGAGACCACAAGGGCCATCGAGTCCAACCCCCTGCCAAGCAGGAAACACCATCAGAGCACTCCTGACATATGGTCGTCAAGCCTCTGCTTAAAGACCTCCAAAGAAGGAGACTCCACCACACTCCTTGGCAGCAAATTCCACTGTCGAACAGCTCTTACTGTCAGGAAGTTCTTCCTAATGTTTAGGTGGAATCTTCTTTCTTGTAGTTTGGATCCATTGCTCCGTGTCCGCTTCTCCGGAGCAGCAGAAAACAACCTTTCTCCCTCCTTAAAGTTAAAATGAAAAGAAAGAAAGATGTTAAGTGATTAAGTTAATTTTATGAGAAAATTGGTTTTGGAAAACTGTTACAATGAAAAACACTGAAATTCAGCTAGGGGGATTTGAGAAAGTCACTTAACAATGTTACTGAGATTGGATTAAGTACAGTTAAGGTGTTTGTTTGTTTGTTTGTTTGTTTGTTTGTTTAAAAATCTTGGAAAATCAATTTAAAAAATTTGGATAAAAAATAAAAGAAAGACACTGCTGCCAGTTAGCTACCAAGTTCAAGATGCCGGTCTTGGTGCATAAAGCCCTTTACAGCTTGGGAGCAGGATACCTGAAAGATCGCCTCAACCCTTATATACCCAGTCAATCAATTTGTTCTGCAGCTGAGGGCCTTCTGCAAGATGCCATTTTATCAGGAAGTCCGCTCAATATAGGAATCGGAACTTTCGTGTTGTTGCACCTACACTTTGGAATTCCCTCCCCATGTACACTGAACAGGTTCCATTTCCGTTGTCTTTTTAGGCATCTATTGAAGACCATCCTCCTTCAAAAAGCCTTTTAAGCTGAGATTGGTCCTAACCTGCATCTGTGTTAGAATAGTTTTGAAGATGCTTTTATTGTTTTATCACTTGTTGTTTGTCACCCTGGGCTCCCTGGGGAGGATATAAATGTAATAAATAGGCAGATAAAATGAAGGCACTATACAGTGACACTGAACTGTGTGTTTTGCCGCTGGTTCTCTAGGAAGAGAGGCTTTCACACCTTCGTGCTGCGCCCCCACTGTGGAGAGGCAGGGCCCATCCACCATCTGGTATCTGGTTTCATGCTGTCTGAGAACATATCACATGGCCTCCTGCTCCGCAAGGTGAGAGTAAGAAGGGGAGGGGGGCACACCTGGAAAACGAGAGCGTGTGTGCCCATGTGCAAACTCGGTGGCAGAGCACATGCAGAAGCTTCCAGGTTCAGTTCCTGGCATCTCATGAGCCTTCTGCACTTGTTGAAGGAGGCACATCCTGGGTATTGCTGCTCTTCACTTCTGAGCCAAGGATTTGACGAAGCTCAACACTCCCCAGATGTGCTGCCCAGCTCCTAAACCTGCATTTCTTCCATAGGCACCTGTGCTGCAGTACCTCTACTACCTGGCCCAGATTGGCATTGCCATGTCCCCACTCAGCAATAACAGCCTCTTCTTAAGCTACCATCGAAACCCTCTGCCAGAGTACCTCTCTCGGGGCCTCATGGTCTCCCTGTCCACAGATGACCCACTGCAGTTCCACTTCACTAAGGTGAGTGCGATGTCGCGGAGGCCAAGTGAGGCCATGACCCTGTGGCAGATGGCATCCATTTACCTGTCTCGTGTAACTTCTGACCTTGCAAAAAAAAAAAACCCACAAAAAACCACTACCCACTCCAAGCAAAATGCTTTTTTGACAAGCCTTTCCTTCTTGTAAAGTTTGTATGAATCTGTATTCCACTGGTTCTTTTCAAAGAATTCTAGAGTTGGAAGGTACCCCCAGTCCAACCCCCTTCAATGCAGAAATCACAATGAAAGCATCCCTGACAGATGGCCATCCAATTTCTGCTTTAAAGCCTCTGTTAAAGGAGAGAGTGCCACCTTCCAGGGCAGTGTGCTCTACTGTCGAACAGCAATTAGTGTCAGAATGTCCTTCCTAATTGGAATCTCCTTTCTTGTACCTTTAATCCATTGGTTGGGTTCTTTCCATTCCACTAAGCTTCTGTTATTCCCACTATAGCAATCTTCTCCTTTTAGCGGCAAGCATTCCAGTTCCTTCCCCCACCGCAACCCCCAACTTGGCTTGGAAGCTCTCACAGTATTATCACATTTCTTCCGTTTCCCCCTGAGGTCCTTTGGCTGCTTCTCCCATCCTGCTCTGTTCTTGTTGCCTAATTCTACTAACTTGGATGCTCAGAAACATTTTCACCCTCACCCTGAAGCAGATGCTTCCCAGCTCCTGTTGGCTTTTCCCTAGGAGCGTCAGTTTAAAATCTGCTTGGAATGTTTCTGATAAGTTACATCTTAGTTCACATAGAGCCTAGGCCTTTTTGCAGAGGTCTGGCATGCCCCAAGACATTCCCTAGTGCCTAAGAAGTGCCAAAGCTCTTCTCCAAATACCTCATCCATGCACTGAATCTCCTACACCCCCCTGCCAGCTCGCCTACATATGGAATGGGTAGCATTTCAGAGCAAGCTACCTTGGAGAAGCCCTACATTTCACCTTCCTACCTAGCCAGATGAATTGATAGCAGTCAGTTAAATGTCTTTTCTGCATGACAGACGCTTATAGAACTTGGATCTGAGGGCTGGGACCTTGTGGAAGACTTCAGAAGTAACTTTAGCAACTGTTCTTGGCTGGAGGGGGGGCGGGAATCATATTCTGTCTCCATTTTGGTCATATATGTACATTTCTTGGGTTCCACTTTGTAGGCAGATTTTCCTTTTAATTCCTTTTCTGCTTGCGCAAGCACAGAGTAAGTTCCTCTCAACAAGTCAGCACAAATGCTGCCACCTAGTGACTGTTCAGTTGTCTGGACAGATGCCTGTCCACTACAGCTGTCAGAGCAAGAATGTAGTAGTCAGCCTGTAGTGTTGAGCTTGATTCAGCCTGGAGGGATAGTAGCGGAAGGCCAGGCCAGGGTTACAACTGAACTTTATTTGCAGGAGATGTTGCTTCAGCTGTCTGCATCTTTTCAGCTATATTCGCCGCATGCCGTTGTCCTAATTTTCCTAGTACATGCTGTTCTCCTAATTGTCTAGTGCAGAGAAATTGTGGTAGGGTAGCCAGAATATGCCCCATGATCTCATAAATATCACACTCCTACCCATCCGATCCAGTGTGCACCAGAATCTCCAAACCCAGCTCAGTGGCATGTCTTAATGCTCTTTATATACAAACAGAGGGTGCAAGTAGGTTACTTTAGACTCTGGAGTTTATGTGGAGGTGCCCTTTTTTGAAGACAATGTGTATAACTTCGCTGCTTTCAAAATGTGGTCAGACAGCCCTGCTTCATTGGGAGACCCTCCTGCTTGTTCTTCTGAGTGGGACCCTAGACACCTGATGGGGCCACTGTATGTTCTCATCTGCAATATAGTCCATGATGCAGCCTGACTGACAAAACCATCTCTTACAGGAACCCCTGATGGAAGAGTACAGCATCGCCACACAGGTTTGGAAGCTCAGCTCCTGTGATATGTGTGAACTTGCACGCAACAGTGTGCTCATGAGTGGCTTCTCCCACAAGGTAACGCTACATCTTTTTTCCCCCTGAAAAGAGGTTGCCTTTGTTCCCTAAACTCTCAGAGAATACAGTACACAAGAATACCCCAGCAACTCCCTTCTGTATCGGTTCATGGCCGGATGTCTCCAGCTTTGGAAATTTAAGATCAGTTTAGAACTGCCTCCTGCCCAGCTGTGCCTTTACACAAACATGAACATGCTCCAGCTGAAGATCTTTGTATTTGTCATGTGACAACTGGGCTCTGTGAAAGGCAGTGGCTGGGATCAGGCCCAGAGGGTCTCTTCTCAGCCCAATTCCTTCCACTCTGTGGCCTTTTCTGCAGCATGACCGCTTCTGAAAGGGGAGAAATTGAGCTCAGAAGGAGTTGTGTCATGAGGTGAATATTCTGTAACCTCCCTGCTCCTCTCCGGACTTTGTGACCCTTTAAGTTTAAGTAATGAAGGATCTGTCCTCCTGGTTGTCAATAAGACCCTGGTGGATGGGAGAGGGAATTGATTTTGGATAATGCTGTCCCTGTGGCCTCTTGAGCTCAATTTCTCCCAACTCAATACCACTGCAGTCCTTTTATGTGAAAGAAGTCCCCCTCCTTACCAAAAGGATTCTTCTTCCAGTCCAGGCCAGCTGAGAGCCGCTCACATTTTCTGCCCCTGTGGGATTTGAAAAGGCAGGAATCAAAGAGTGGTTCTAATCTGTCTCCTCCTCTGCCCTTGTTAGGTTTTGAGATGTCTTCACAAAGATATCCTACTTTTGCAATATAAGGAATTGTTTCACCCTGGAGTGTTCCTGTTCAGGATTCCTGCCATTTTCAAGGGTGCTCCATTCCATCCATCCCCCCCCCGATTTTCAAGTTCTACCCATCCACCCAGTAGTCAGTCGCTATTCTGTGCTCATTGAGCATGTTCAGTCCTTAATCAGCTGTTTTTATTCTTGCATTACCCATTCGGGTTTGTACTTCTCCAAAACATTGACATTTCACCCCCAGGTCTGCTGATAACCTGTCTTTGGTATGTGGAAGGTGCCATTTTGGCCTCATAAGGAATGGCACTCAGAGGACAAGTTCTCTCTTAGGGTATAGAGAACCATAAATGTAGCTGCCTTTCTTTTCTTTTGCAAAAGTTGCATTTTAGCCTTGATGAGAAACTATAGAGATGTAGCCCATTATCCTAGCAGCCTAGAAGTAGGCTCAGTTTTGTTGCCAGCTCTTTACAGCTTCCACAGGGCTTTGTTTTCTAAGGTTTCTTTTCTTAAAGATTTCTTAAAGACAGACAAAGGTATTCTGGGATTTTATGCTTAGTGCTAGCCTTGATTAAAGTGCTCATGGGTTACCATGCAGTTGAATGGCACAGTGGAAAAGCATAAGTTGTCACTTGTCCTAACAATGGATGGGTCTCTTTCTTCTTTGCCCAGGTGAAGAGCCAGTGGCTTGGGCACAACTACCACAAGGAGGGTCCTGAGGGCAACGACATCCGGCGCACCAACGTGCCAGACATCCGGGTGGCCTATCGCTATGAGACACTTTCCCAGGAACTGACCCTCATCACGCAGGCTGTGCAGACGGAGGAACTGGAGACCATCCAGGAGGAAGACCTTCTGACTATGAGCTCCAGCCTGGATGCTCGCTGAAGAATGGCCGGCTCACAATCTCCCCTCCATCCCCTTCTTGGCCTGCCAAGGTGGGGCTGTCCTACAAGCATGAAGAGACCCTGACCAACCCACCCACCTCACCCCGGCCCCACGGACCGTTTTAATTTCCTGTTGTGTTTTTGTTTTTAAGCATCTTGTTATCTTCTGTTATCTCCTGGGAAGGCATTAATGGGTTGGGGGTTTTTTTGCGCTTGGTAACCTGCTGGGGCAATGGAGGCGGGGGTGTCAGAGAAATTCCTTTTGGGGGTCTCTAGAATGAGTTCTAGAAAGGGGGAAGAACATCCTGCAGATGTTGGCAGTGCTGTTTTTGAGCAGAGGCTGGACAGCAAAGAGTAAGGCTGTGGCAGAGACCTGCTGAGTGAACCTTAGAGGCGCCTGGCAACAGTTGCATGGAGGCCAAATGAAGCACCAGCATGGAAGCATGTGTCCCAGTTGTATTTGGAATGAGATGCTGTGAGTGTTTGTGTGGCTCTGCCAAGGGATAGAGCAGAGTGGTGGTGCCTTCTGCTACGTTGGATTTTTGTTTGTCCTCTGTTTGGCTGCTGGCAGCTGGAGTTTCTGATTGGCCAATAAAGCATCCTCTCTATCTCTATTTCTCTTTGGTTAGGCAGCCCTGCCTTTTATTATCAGAGCAGCATGTTGGCGCAGCTCTCCCATGCTGCAGCCTCCAGTGCACAGCGTGGCAACGTGGTGAGAGTCTTTTCTGTCTCAAGCCCTTAAACTCTGGTGTCTTTTGCTTGGGGAAAGCGCCAGTTCTCAACGCCCCTGCCTTGGGAGGCAAACTACTGTGAGTGGCTGGGGAATAGTGGGCCTTCGAGTCTAGCCCAGCAGGATAAAGAGAAAGTAGCCTGCCAGGTAACTGGCATATTTAGCATTTGTCTGTCCCTCTCTACAATCATGTATCAAAGAGGTCTTTATCTAAGTGTAACAAGAGGAACACCCATCCTGGCAGGAGCTTTTGCCTTAAGGTTGAAATGGATGTGACATGGGCGTTCTGTGATCAGCCATCTTGAGTATTCCTTTATTTATGTCCTTTTGAAACAAAAAAACACCTTAAACATCTGTTTTTGGTTGGATCAGTGTCACTGAGAGTGCATGTGTTAATCCATTTATCTGATCTAAACTGGTGCCCTCCCCTCACCCCACAAGCCACCCTTAGCCCAGGAGCAGGGCAAAAAACAATATCTGCATCATATTTATATTATTTTCTTGGAACATTTCTGCTGTTTGGGGAGTAGATCAGCAAAATGGTGCCCACTTCAGTATTGCTGTTTGTTCCAAACAAAATCTGACTCCTCCCTGGAGCTGCTCTAGAATAGCATTGTTGTTTTTAAACCCCACCCTGTTGGGTCAAAGAGCGGTTTCTTGTCAATTGCTTGAGCTTGGGGAGAGCCGTTAGCTCTCAGTATGCCTTGCCACGCTTGGGCATAGACCACGTGGGCAACCTCCTTTGTCCTTTGCATTGGGTTGAGAACAGCCTCTTGTGTCTGCCCTTGCATAATGCATATGTACGTCAAGATCTTCTTTCTACATTTGGCAAGTAAATGTGCCATAGAAATAGTTTAGCTTTCTCACCAGCAAAGTTGCTGCTGTTCTGGGAACTGACTTTGATGCCTCCTGCTTATTGCGAATGGGTAATGAATCTCAAGGAGGCAACAGGCAGTAACTTATACTTCCTGCTGAAGCCATGTGACTCAAAATGGAAACGCGCAGAAGAACATGGATCCGTGCCTTTCCCAGCTCTCCATTTTGAGTCCCGCCCTGTGAAAGGTTCATAACGGTTAGAAGGCTCTCCTCCACAGATCTCTGGCCAAGCTGTTCACCATCACATAGCTTGTGAAGCTTGGTTGTGGGCAGCTCACCATCCTTGACATATTGGGCCTCTGTGGCCCCCTTAGCAGTCTGTGTGCAACTAGTCGCAGTAAGGAATTCCTCGTGAGCACAGCCGCTTGGAGTAGAAGACCAGTCTCAGACAGTGCTCACTCCTTTCAGACTCTCGGGCAAAGTCTACATTGCTCACGAACAAAGGCTTCTCGGTGGTGAGTCGATTGCACGGTGCCACCTCTCCCTTGCTGTTGCCAAGGCACTTTTGACCTTGTAGTTGCAAGCAGCTTTGATTCAATGGAAAAATGCGTTTGCTAAACATTAGATGGGCAGCAGCAATAGAAATGGGGTTTTTATTTTTTCTAAGGTTGGGCAGGGAGCTTGCGGAGCCCTCCCTCTAGGCTGCTGTGGACCAAAATCTGAAGATCCATACTGCAGCCAGTGCCTTGCTTAAAGTAGTACATGGAGTGTGCCAAGACTGGGTAGATTTCCCCTTGAGCTTCTACCTCTGAAACAGGCACTTGCTCTCCTTTGTGTCCGTGTGTGTACAAGAGGGACAGGGAGAATTCTTAAAGGGTCAAAATGTTTTCTTTGTATGACTGGCATCTCACCTCCATGGCCTGAAAGGGGGAAACCTTTTTTTCTTTCCTCCCCTACCTCTGTGCTTTTGTTTGGGTACTCTGAGAGGGCAGTGGAGGTGTTTTGCCTTGGTTTCAGCTAGCCTTGCGGATCGGAGCCACAGCATTTTGGTCTGTATCTTTGTGAAGATAACGGAATCTCGACTCAGGGAGTTGAATGTACCTTGGTCTATGTCAAGAGGGTTCTCCCCTCCCCACAGATCCCTCCCTCCTTCCTTCCTTCCTTGCCGCAACCTGCCTTGCTTCTCTTTGGTATCTGGTGCGGCACACACCATGTTAGTTTTTGCTTTGTTGTCAGATGGAGATGAAACCCGTATCCCCCTGGCAATCACTGCATCCTCCTATCACACTCTTGATAATTTTGACGTAGTTTGGATGAACTATCTGCTTGTCTGTGCTGAAATGTGATGTTAAAAATCCTATCAAACATGAGCATGATCCATCATTAAAGATTATTTAAGTAAGTCTTCTGTGTTGTTTCTGACTGAATGGACTTCTTCCTTTGGATGACTTATAGACCACACACAGAGCTATTGCTCAGATTGCTTCCACACAAGGATGGAGTATGTTTTATGCGGGACATTAATCATCTAAAGGATCAAAGTCTAAAAATGCCACCGTGACAGTTGTACACTTTTCAAACTGAGCAATCAACACCATGTCTTTGTGGACTGCAGGCCAACTACTCCTTTTTAAGAAATGATTTTTTTTAAAAAAATGAATTAGTATGTTAAACATTCAAAAATATAAATGTATACAAGTTACAGAAAATGCATCAAATACACATGGTTGGTGCTTTAATTCAGAGAGCCAATAAATGATGCTTGCGTTGTTACAAAGACAGACATTAACCCCCCTCCCAGAGTGTCATTGCTAAAGGTCTATTTTCTCTCCAGAAGGCAGGAGAGAGAGGTCTGGGATATTCTGATATAATTTCACTGAAGACAATTCTTGTGGGGGTGGTGAGTCGGGGTGTATCCCTGTAAGTTAAAGTGGTAGACCAGTACAGAACTGAAAACACCTTCCTTTCTTGTGAGTCACAGAGCAAAATGGGTGAAATGAAACCCAGGAATTCTGTTTGCACCAAGCCTTCCTGAGGGGGCTTTTGAAAGCTTGGAACAGCAGGAAATTATGGGCCAGGTATCTAACTTAGCTAGGATTGCCTATCTATGAAAATGTGAGCTTGTGGATTTTGACCCTAGAGAACAATCAGGTAAGGTTGGAACGCAGCTCATAAAACAGTAGCTAATGATCATGACCACCCCCAGGTTGACTGGAATGTGGGCTTGGTTCAAAACGAGAGGTTTCCAGATAGCTGGACTCCCTTACCCCAATACCCGCTCTTAATTTGTACATGGTGCGTTATGTAACACACAGTGATATCTGTAGTTAACCCAGGCTTGCATAAATATATATTGGCAGTAGTTTGAACAATTTGGGGCCTGTTTCGCTGGCGGAGACAGGTAGTTTATGAAAATGCAAGGCTACTATCCACATAGGTGCTCCTGTCTCCTTTCACTGAGTACATGAATTAGTGCACTTTGTCGTCATTGCTTTTTAAGACAATGACTCACAACTTGGGGGGTGGGGTGGGAGAGGAATGAACTCCATCCAGTGCCCAGTGCTGTATCAAGTAAAACAGGGGTCAGCAAACCTTTTCAGCAGGGGGCCGGTCCACTGTCCCTCAGACCTTGTGGGGGGCCGGACTATATTTTGGGGGAGGAAAAATGAACAAATTCCTATGCCCCACAAATTACCCAGAGATGCATTTTAAATAAAAGGGCACATTCTACTCATGTAAAAACACGCTGATTCCTGGACCGTCCGCGGGCTAGATTGAGAAGGCGATTGGGCCGGATGTGGACCCCAGGTCTTAGGTTGCCTACCCATGAAGTAGAAGGTGAGTGCCTACATACAAGCAGATATAGTAGTCGGGAATATTCCAGGTTTGGCAAGTTGGAACCTTCCTTTTCAAGGGTGCAGAAAGTTGTAGCAGATAGTAACTTAGCACCGACTGTGCTAGCTGGTTGCTCCAAACTCCTTTCTGAGGCTATCTTGGCAAATTCATGTAGTGTTTGCTGTTTTAGGTGAAACTGGTCCCTGCTCCTGCCAACCTAGCAGTTTGAAAGCACGTCAAAGTGCCAGTAGATAAATAGGTACTGCTCCGGTGGGAAGGTAAACGGCGTTTCCGTGTGCTGCTCTGGTTCGCCAGAAGTGGCTTAGTCATGCTGGCCACATGACCCGGAAGCTGTCTGCGGACAAACGCCGGCTTCCTCAGCCAATAAAGCGAGATGAGCGCTGCAACCCCAGAGTCGGTCACGACTGGACCTAATGGTCAGGGGTCTCTTTACCTTTACCTTAAAAATACTCTTTGTTTTTAAGTAGGCATAGGCAAGCTCGGCCCTCCAGATGTTTTGGGACTACAACTCCTATCATCCCTAGCTAACAGGACCAGTGGTCAGGGATGATGGGAGTTGTGGTCCCAAAACATCTGGAGGGCCGAGTTTGCCTATGCCTGTTTTTAAGCACAGCCTTGGGGTTAAAGAATTGGAGCTGGGAAATCCGAGTTCGAACCCACTCTTCATGGGCTCATTCTGTGGCTGTGGTCAAGTGTGACTGTCTCCCGGCTGCAAAATGGAAATAAGAAACTTGCCATTTGGGATTTTGTGGTGGGTGGAAGATCAATACAGTAAGGATAGTAAAGTAGTTCCTGAATTAAAAATGCTTCAGAGATGAGAAAACTTGTGGAGCATGAAATAATTGCAAAATGCCATGTTGTGAAGTTGCCAGAAGATGGTGCTCTAGCTTTTCTGAAACAAAACTGGGGCGGGCGTAGGCAACCCAAGGCCTGTGAGTCAGGTGCGGCCCAATCGCCTTCTCAATCTGGCCCACGGGCGGTCCAGGAATCAGCGCGTTTTTACATGAGTAGAATGTGTGTTTTTATTTAAATTGCATCTCTGGGTTATTTGTGGGGCATAGGAATTCATTCTTTTTTTCCAAAATATAGTCTGCCCCCCCCACATGGTCTGAGGGACAGTGGACCGGCCCACAGCTGAAAAAGGTTGCTGACCCCTGCTCTGGGGGATTGTTGCATTTGAGAGGAGCAAGAGATAACAACTGTTCCTCCTTCATTTTTCCTGAGGGGGGTGCAAGGCAAGGGAACCTCAATGGGTGCCAGCTACCAAAATCCCCGTCTTTTGCAAATGCTTTCCTTCCACCACCTGCTACTGTTTCCGAAGGTTTGCCTGGATTGAAAACTCCTGGACTCCGTTGCCACAGTGCCTTGTGTGAAGCGATTGAATCCATAGGGTGAGTGCGTGTATGTCAGGGATTGTGGGCCTTTCTGAGCCCCTTTGCAAACCAGAGGAACTGTTTGGGGCACCACACACATCACAGCGAAGGACACCTCTCAACCTATTATAATAATTTTTTAATTTATATCCCGTCCATCTGGCTGGGTTTCCCCAGCCACTCTGGGCGGCTTACAACATATATAAAAACACAACAAAAACGTCAAATATTAAAAAACAAAATATCCTATACAAGGAACAAACAAAACAATAAATCAATAGAAACCAATAACAATAATTACAACAGTTTACAGTTATATCCAAATTAAAATAACCACCAACCCCAACTAAACATTTAACCAACACCAACCCAACAAAAATGAAACAGAGGAACCAAAATTGGAACCTTTTAAAACATTTAAGCCAGTTTCCCCAACCCAAGAGTTGTTCGGCAATGTCCCTCTGGCCTCCCAGAAGCCTCTTTTAGCTGTTCAATGTGAGTCTGGGCCCCGCCCACTAGGCCAGGTGGAAATGGGCCTTGCCGCAGAGAGCGGTCTTCCTTCCAGCACTCACAGCAGCAGTGGTGTCCCTCTGGCATTCTGCTGGTTACAGTAGAATGCTTATTTCCAGCCTCATATCAACAGGGGAGGAGACCTCTATGGGCCCCAGTATGACTTAAGTTCTGTTATGTTTAGATAACGGTAGGAGAAATGGGACACGATTACTAATATAACATCCAAACCTTGATCTGCTTTATTGGGCATCTGAACACCAGAGGGACACCTCTAGAAAACCAAAAGGAAGCCGGGCCAAGAGACTGCCATAAGAGTTGTGGGAAGATTTCTGTGCAAGGCAGAATTACGAAGGCCGGGCGGGGTGGGGGTGGGGGGAGAGAGAGGTAACTTGAGACAGCTGTATCAGATGGTGAGCAGCCCAGGCCAGGAGAACAGCAGGAGGACTCTACTAGCCCTGCCTCATTGCAGAAGAATGCAAAATCGCCCTGTACAACTGATTAACAGTGAATTCTATCCCTAAAGAAAGGAGCACCCTTTTTATTCAGTAGGCAGGATAATACGTAATGTCACTGGAGAAAGCATCAGATTTGGTTTCAAGGTGTCCTCAGCTCACCAGTGTTAATTTCTTAATGTAGGACGTCCTGTTGGCAAGCTGCATGCTTGTGCCACAAGTTCCCATCAAAATAATCCACAAGATGTGAAAAACCATCCATACAGAGCATGAGAAGCCCTCTCTCCAGCACATGAGGTGTTCTTAGTGTTCTTCAGCCAGTTTTTCTGCATAACGGGGGGTATATTCACATTACCACTTATTCCACATCCAGGGCCACCTCACTGCTAATTTTTGAAGCTGCGTTCACATGATGTCAGCCATGATGCTTATTGATCCTATAGATTCTTGATAAATACTGCTGTTTGATGCATTTTTTCCTCAAGCCACCTTCAGTCTCTGTATCCTAATGTGTTTTCTAATGTGAACATAACCCAGAAGCTGCTGTGCAGATGAGCATGCAAGCGCAGAAGACATCTGAATGAATAGGCTTTCCAGGGGGGTTGTGGGGCAGGGAAACATTGTGGCTTGAAACGCAACTGGGCACATGGGGGGTGGGGGGGGAGATGACCTTGCTGCATCTCAAGCCATTGATGTGAATATGCCCTAAAAGGACAAACACAATTTGGTTTATTAGCCTTCTCCAGTGTCCTGTTTTGTTATGCAACTTCCTATGAGTTCAGTCTTTTAAGAATTAAATGTATTATAGATAGATACGTATAATGAAAAAAAACAAATCAACCCATTTTCTTCAATTGCATAAATTTAAGTATCTTATGTTCACCAATTTAGATCCAAATATCACCCTTGCTAAAAAAAATCAAGGTCCAGAACCAGTACCTCCAGTTGGTGCAGGTTTTCAAAACTTCGCAACCATCTGTTAAACACCCCCCCCCACACACACCAACATGACCCAGCGGTCGTGCATTGTTCCCATGAAATCATGTAAAAGGACCTGCTGTTATATTATTAAACAATATTCACTGCACATCTGTAATCAGGTTCATAACTCCATTTCATGGAAATCCCACGCATTTTGTAAAGACTTAGTGACAGAAATAATCACTATTCCACACATGCAATGTAATAACCCATAAGGTCTACATGGAGAGTCCAGCTCTTGTTAGGTGAAACTAATAAACGGTTCAGGTGTGTTGATTTAGTACTTCAACAGCAGGTGCTGCATTCCTAGAGAAATTTCACAAAACACTTATCCGATCACTTAAACTCCTGGTTATCTCATTCTTACCTTTCCTCCCTCTACTTCCTGTTGCCTTAAGTATATTTAATTCCAGGCACATTTCCCCTTCACTTTTCTTATCACAAAGTCCAGTCTTTGGGGGAATTACACCCCAGTTTTTGAAGCTGAACCCAAGGTCCCTATTTATGGTAGGCTAAAATATAAGGAGGTTGCCACATCTTGCTCTTCCACTTCAGCCTGAGGCAAAGACAACTGGTTTCTGTGGGGTGATAAAACCACTTCCTTTCTTCCCTGTCTAGGATCACAAGGTTCAAGGCCAGGGGCAGGGATTTTTGAAACAAAGGCGAGCGATGGTCTACTCTCTGCTCCCCCAATATGAAAGAGTCTATAGATTGAATGATTCAGCTAATTATTTTGAAAAGATACTATATAAGAGGACTTCCACTGGATCAGACCAAAAGCCCCTCTAGTGCAGCATCCTGTTCTCACCGTGGCCAACCAGATGAGTGCAAAGGCACTCTTCCCACTTGTGATTTCCAGCAACTCAGGGGCATATACTGCCTCTGACAGTGGAAGGTAGAATCTCGCTGTCATGGCTAGTAGCCATCAGTAGGTAGCCTTCTCCTCCATGGCCTAGTCTAATCCTCTTTTAAAGCCACCCAAGATGGCGGCCATTGGTTTCACTATGCATGAGGTGATGTAGTCTTTTCTTTGGTCCTTCCCAAAGCCTCCAGTATCCTTAACTCCATTCCAGTATTATGTGAGAGATCTTCCTTTCCCCACACAATACATAATTGCCTTTTAACCTAACCTGTGGTAACACAGGGTTGTGGTAGGGATTAAATGTAAGCCACCCTCAGCTCCTTGGAGGAAAATGTGGTATACAAATGCCATAAATAAATGTCTGTATTATTACTAATAAATTTAAATTCATATCCCATTCTTTCTCCTAAAGGAGCCCAGCATGGTAATGTGTGGTTAGGAATATATTGTTGCAAGCCCTGCAATTCCCGAATGCTGTGAGGTTCCAGGGGTACTTAGGGTGCATGCTTCCTTCAGAAATGAGACCATGGTGTCTTTATGATATATAGTTTATTTACACAGCGGGTGGCGCTGTGGTCTAAACCACTGAGCCTCTTGGGCTTGCTGATCAGAAGGTTGGCAGTTTGAATCCCTGGGACGGTGTAAGCTCCAGTAGTTCTGTCCAAGCTCCTGCCAACCCAGCAGTTCGAAAGCATGCCAGTGCAAGTACATAACTAGGTACTGCTGCGGCAGGAAGGTAAACGGCATTTCTGTGCGCTCTGGTTTCTGTCACGGTGTTCCATTGTGCCAGAAAGCGGTTTAGTCATGCTGACCACATCACCTGGAAAGCTGTCTGTGGACAAATGCTGGCTCCCTTGCCCTGAAAGCGAGATGAGCACCGCACTTTATAGTCGTCTTTGACTGGACTTAACCACCCAGGGGTCCTTTACCTTTACCTTACACATATATACAGGGTGAGTCTTTTTAAAGAGGCCCCATGGAACATGTGTACTCAGTATCTATGGGGCCTCTTTTAAAGGACTCACCTTGTACAATCTGAGCCTACGATGGAGGAGTTCACAGCATTAACACCCCAAGAGGGTCTCACTTCTCCCATAGCCACAGCCATGGATTCACAAACAGAAATCAAGTATTACTCTGCCTTCTCCCAGCTTGTTGCTTTGACATCTGGCCCACATCACTGCCCTCTCAACTCTGCCTCTGTCTTTCTAGCTATCCAAGAGTTGAGGGAGGGGATGGAGTATGGGATAAATCAGGCATAGGCAAACTCAACCCTCCAGATGTTTTGGGACTACAACTCCCACTATCCCTAGCTAACAGGACCAGTGGTCAGGGATGATGGGAGTTGTAGTCCCAAAACATCTGGAGGGCTGAGTTTGCCTATGCCTGGGATAAATACACGAATTTATTAGAGGTAAAAACACCATTATGGCTCTCACTGCTGGAAGCTATAGCAGTAAAGAAAAAGAATATCAGAGAAGGGTGGACAACTTGCAGAAATTTATTAAAACAAGAAGGAGGAGAGTAACATTTTGAAATTTTAAATTGATTGTGAAACTAATGAAATGTATAAACTTGAAAAGTATAAATAAGAACTTTTTTAAAAAAAAACGAGTTGAGGGAGGGGCTCCACCCATTTTCTGCCTCCCACAGAGCCCCTTCCTTTGCTCTTCTGACACCTGTCCAGGAGGCTAGCCTGCCTATTACAGGTATTAGAAGATTAGATTTCATCACTTGCTGGACCCAGAGATTAGAAAGGTCAGTCATACAGTTTAACACTCCCAAAACACATAGGGTTATATTTTGTCTTCTCCTGTGCATCACTCTCAATTCACCTAGTTTGCTCTGTTTCTTTCGGAGATCTTCACAACCCCTGTCTCTGACCTTTCTAAAAGTCTCCTTTCAAAGAGATCTGTGCTGTGCAAATTATCCTCAGCATCTGCAAAGCTGCTAGAGAATCATCCAAAGAGGAGCGTTTGCTTTCAATGGGTTTGGGGCTGGAGGAGGAGGAGGAGGAGCTGGCAGTCCCACGCCCCTACGAGGACAACAGAACTGACTGGCGAGGTTGGAGGAAAGGTTTCAAGGCCGGGAGGCGAGGCAAGCCTCTGGAAACGAGCCCGATTGGGGGCGGAGCCCGCCTCGGTAATACGGAGCTCGCAATGGGAGTCGCCCATCCACATTCCCCCCGGAAACTCGCCGGGCAACTTTGAAAGCGGCGCTCAGCCTTTCCACGAAAGCGGGGTTCCTGCTTCTGCCTGAGCCGAGCAACAGCAGCCAGCGACGCCGGACGAAGATGGGGGTGACGCTGGGCTACTGGGATATCCGTGGGGTACGTCGGGGTCCTTGGTTGGCGGGGGGCAGGCTGGGGATGTCTTTTGGCCAGCAGAGCTCCGGTCTTGGTACCAAAACTCACGCTCTGCTCCTGATGGGCGGACGTGTATTCTATGAGTGCCTCGCAGGCAGACGTGCAACAGGTGCAGCTTTCCGAAGACGCATCTGCAGCGGCGGTAGAAAACTTCGCCCGTTGACTTCTGCCTGGGAGTTAAAAAATCACAGACAGGGAAACGGGCTGCCGGAGTCCGGCGAGAGGCTCAGGCTGCAACCCTCTCCCCGCTTACTAAGCCACCCAACTCGGGGAAAGACAAGGATATTCTATTATCAGGGCCGGATTTAGGTTTGATGAGCCCCTAAGCTACTGAAGGTAATGGGGCCCTTTATATGTCCACCTGTCCTTTGCCAACAACAAATTGTCGCTATTTTTTGTGTTGAATATTTGCAATTTGGTAATTTATGGACCTAATCGGTATCTAAAGCCATTTGCACATAACAAATAGGAGCTTACACAACACAAAACACTGTTGCTGTATGTAGGTTTTATTTTATTTGTTTTTTATCTTATATTTTGGAAATGGACATCCATTTTTGGGGGGGGGGGCAAAAGAGTGGGGCCCTAAGCTATAGCTTGTTTAGCTTATAGGTAAATCCGGCACTGAGTTATTGTTATTTATTGTATATAAGCTGCTTTGGGATTCATTTGGATGAAAAGCATCATAGAAATACAATCAATCAATCACTCAATCAAACGTCCGGTGCTCCAGCATCTATTTAGCACGCTGAAGATCAATCGCCGCTGTCTCCAGACACCTGTGGGGGAGACCCGGTCTGAAAGCCCGGAGAGTCGCTGCCAGCCCGTGTGGACAGCATCAGGCCCCACGCGGAGTTGGCGTGACTCAGCGCCAGACCTCGAGTTCCCTGAAATTCCGGCTTTGGCGCGGGGGCGACGGGATTGCATCGTCAGCGCGTTTCCTGTGGCCGCGATTTCCCCCTTGATTTTCACGGGGAAGCTCGGAGATACGCCCCGACGGGCAAGCTGAGCAGCCAATCCCGGCGCCGAGCCGCTTCCCTCCCCTCTTACCTCTTCAATCCGGTGCCAAAAAGGGTTGGATAACAGTTGGGTGACGGTGTCATCAGCGAGAGTGAAAAGCAGTGATGGTGGTGCAGGAGGAGAAGGAGCCAGTTCCATCTTGCCAAAAATTCAGCCGCCTCCCTCCGGCAGACCCGCGTCTCTGGAGTCCTAAGGAGGCAGGCTGGCCACGTCTTTTTTTCCTTTCCTCTTCTTCCTGCGCTCTGTGCAGGTGCAAAAAAGCACATCCCAGCCCCATCCTGCTCCCTGGCCCCAGATCTTTGTTCAAGTACCAGCTTGTCCCTGCCCGGAGAGCTCCTGGAAACGCACTTAACATCCTAGATAGAATTGTAGAGTTGGAGGGGACCACGAGGGGTCATCTAGTCCAACCCCCTGCAAAGCAGGAATCTTTTGCCGAGCGTGGGGCTCGAACTCCAACCTTGATATTAAGAGTGTTCTCCCGACTGAGCTACCCCAAGGACCTTCTGGAACAGAGCTCCTTTTCGGTAATGGTGCCTTGAATGTGGAATGCTTTCTGCATGGCAATGACATGGCAATATTTTTCAGTGCCACATTCAGGTCTCCCTTTTTGCCCAGCGCAGGTGGCGCCAGGGTGGTAGTGGGGGGAAGGCAAGTGCCTCCCATAAGGAGCTCCCCCCCCCCCGCTGCCACTTGACCCCCATTTCTCCCATCATTAAAATATGCTGTATTTTTCTCTTTTTCTGGAGCAGTCGCTGTAATGCCCAGGCATTTGGGGCAATATTTTTGTTGGAGCTGCCTTCCTTCTCTGCTTCTACCTTTCCCTCTTGTTCTCTTTCTTCGTTTGTTTTGTATTCTATTCATATGTTGCAGGAACAGATTTATTCACACTTTTATACACTATGCTGGAATCTTCTTGATGAAAGGTGGCTAAGAAATATTTAAAATTAAGAAACAAATGAGAAATGAAAGCTTTTGAGCTTGCGCCTATGCTTGAAAAGGAGTGGGGAGCACCCAAGCCAAGAGGGTAGGCTCCTTCCTGTCACAATAAACCATGGTTTTATGTGATGTCTGATCACAGCCACTGACATGCAACAGGGTTTTCAGTAATGCGAGGAGGCTATTGAATAGTAACCTTGTTAGCATGTGCTATCTTCATCCGTGAAGTATCAGCAGACATGTCAGTATCCTTTGCCTTGGGCCATTGCTAGTCTGGAGCAGATGTAATTGTCTGCTTTTTCCACCACTGGTGATTATTCTGCCACTAAATATTTGTCTCTTCCTTTTTGCAGCTTGCCCATGCAATCCGACTCCTTCTGGAATACACAGGGACCGCATTTGAGGATAAACAATATGCACCTGGAGATGGTAAGGAGCTGTCCCTTTGCAGCCAATAATGAATCCCATCAGCAGTTAGGATTATTGCCAGTTGCCTTATTTTATTTTATTTTATTTTATTTTATTTTATTTTATTTTATTTTATTTTATTTTATTATTTTATTTTATTTGCTTAGTGTCTTTGAATTATCTAGCTGTGGGAATGGTAGAGAGCAGAGAAAACAACATCCAAGAACACTTAAAAATAGATGGATAGATAGATAGATAGATAGATAGTAATTTGCACCTTTTATTTGACTTTCACAAAAGAGTAGGATTAAATCCTGGTGCAGCTGCTGACTCTGATCTTCAGGGGTGGACTGAAGGTAGACAGCAGCTTGCGAGTTCTGGAGGCCACTTAGTGTGCTCCTTGCTGGGATTCCTGCAAAGATAGCTGGGCTAGGAGGACCTTGATCTGAGCCAGAAAGACCTTTATGTTCTCAAGTAACCATGCACTCTCAAGATCACTTATGGCAGGCTTCCTCAACCTTGGCCCTCCAGATGTTTTTGAGACTACAATTCCCATCATCCCTGATGACTGGTCCTGCTAGCTAGGGATCATGGGAGTTGTAGGCCAAAAAAACATATGGAGAGCCAAGGTTGAAGAAGCCTGACTTAAGGGTTTCTGAGTATGCCTTCTGGCTTTTAAACATGCAAAACTTCCTGGTGAACCTCAAGGATTCAAGGGTTGTATGTGTGTTTAATGCAGACCACATGAAATGTTTTAGTGATGCGATTTGGAATGCAACAGATGATCTCTTGCTGTTGTATGCAGTATGGGTTGTATATTGGACAGTGGCCAATTCAGCCCTGTGTTTTTACAGCTAGAATGACCTTCCCCAACCTGGCACTGGCTGTTTTGGACTATGGCTCCCAGCATGAGATTACTAGGATTCATGCCTGATAACCCCCTTAGGAATGAAGCCAAAAACACAAGAGAATCTGGCTATGAAGGAGAAAACTTACTTTTCATACCTGTATTTACAGCTCCTGATTTTGATGCAAGTCAGTGGCTTAATGCGAAGGAGACGCTGGGCTTGGACTTCCCAAATGTATGTAGCAACTGTGGAAACAACCAGCAACATGTTGTTGTGCATTGATGGGGATGGTAGGGTCATTCTCCTGCTGCTCCCTTTTGAAATGAGTGAGAGCCATCAGGGGTCGCAGCTCAGTGGAAAATGATGATGGTGTGTGAGCAGAATCTAAAGCAGTGGATTGGCTGGAGGTTGAGATCTGCAGTGCATTCCTGGCTTCTTGCTGGAGCAAAGGAAGCCAGAGGCCAGAGGGCCTTTCAAGTGTGCCTGGGGAAGAAGCCAGGCCCTGTAAATTCTGCAACCAAATTCTCACGCACAGTTCTCTAGTTTATGAGGGCTATGTTCTGTTCTGAGCAACTTTCCAAGGGCCACATGCCAGTGCTGGGCAGGGCCACAGGCAAAACTGGGTGGAGCAATGCAAATTTTACCGTTATGCCTTAGGCTAGTTTCTGCACATATTCTCTCAACCATCTCTGTGTCCAGGGCAGGACTAACCATTAAGCAAAATAAGCATGTGCTTAGGGCATCAAGTAGGGCACCACAGGAATTTTCCATTGCCAGATTTTCAACATTAGTGGTCAGAAATTGCTCAGTTGAGTGTTCGTTTTCTCAGTTGAAGATTATCAAAAATCCCAGCAGAACAACTATGCAAGAAGACAGACTGGATGCCTTATCTCTACCAAGTATAGAAGCAGATGTGTTATGCAAGATTAGTTATGAGGATCTGATCAAAGACTTTGCAATTAGAAAAAGTAGGAGAAAAATTTTCAGATATAAATAAAGTGGAAGTGTAAAAAATAAACATTATTTTCCATCTTACTGTTGGTTTTGTTTTATTTTGAAAAATATAATTTTATTTTATGGTTTATTATTGTTATATTTTGAATTAGATATACATGGAGGCATCAAAATCTTTTAAGCGCTTAGGGCCTCTAAAGACCTTATTCCAGCCCTGTCTCTAGTCTCCATTCAATGAAACAAGAAGCACACACCTTAAACGCCATACATTTAATGTGCAAGACTTTCCTCAAAGATTCTGTGGGACTTGGGGGACTTGAGAAAGACTGGAAGCTACTACACCTAGGATATGAAAACTATCACCCAGCAGTGCGAAATGGCTTCTCTTGAAGCCATTTCAGCTTAGAAAGCCTTTCGGTTGATGCTGTTTCTCCTAAGTAAATGGGAAGTTGTCCATCAAGGATGAGAAGGTAATGAAGTTTTATGGGTAGCTTCATCTGCACTGGCACCATTAACCTTTCCTATCCTTTCCTTAGCTCCCTTATCTAATCGATGGTGAGACGAAGATCACACAAAGCAACGCCATCATGAGATACATTGCACGCAAGCACAAGATGTGTGAGTCTTTTTGGCACTAGTGTTTCTTTGGAAGCCAGCTTAAAATCAATCAATTAATTAAGTGACTGATAATATTCTAGCCAAATAGTTGGTTAGTGGGTACTCTCTTACCTTCTGTGTATGTTGCATTTCTACAGGTGGTGAGAGTGAAGAAGAAATGGTCAGAATAGATATGCTTGAAAACCACATTATGGATCTGAGAATGGCCTTTGCCAAAGTTTGCTACAGTCCAGATTTTGTGAGTTTTGTGGTTTGCATCCCCCCTTCCCAAATTGGAACTGATCAGGAATCTAGCAGATGTTGAGAATCATTTGGGGATCAGTATGGTGTGTGAGCGGGTCAAAAGATAGCACTTACATAAGGCTGAACAAATAATTCTTTCTGCTCTTGTGGGACTGGGAGGGGAACAAAAGTCTGTAAAGTTACAACCAATAAGCAGGCATGAGAGAGAAAGGAAGTCTATAACTGGGGAGTCAGTAGTCCAAGGTTTCGCAAGAGTTGAGCTGGAAATCAATCTGTGTACCTAATAATTCAGGAACTTCTGGTTGCAGGAGAAACTGAAGCCTGAGTACCTGGAGCAGATACCTGGAAAACTGAAGCTGCTCTCCCAGTTTTTGGGGAACAAGAAGTGGTTTGCAGGAAAGAAGGTACATGTGCTATGTATAATTCTATAGAAACAAAGATGTCTCTCTAGTTCTAGGGCTCAATTTACAATGTATTCCACTTGTAATTTTCTAGATCACCTATGTAGACTTTCTTGCATATGACATATTGGATCAGCACTGGATGTTTGAGCCAAAGTACTTTGATCAGTTCCCAAATCTGAAGGATTTCCTTAGCCGCTTTGAGGTGAGATTTACTGTGATGTATGCACTGATCTGCCTGTTGTCTTTGTCCATGGAGTTTTCTTGGCAGGGATACTGGAGTGGCTTGCCGGTTCCTGCTCCAGGTGGATCACGTTTGGTCAAAACTCTCCACTATGACCTGTCCATCTTGTATGGCCCTACACGGCATAGCTCATAGCTTCTCTGAGTTATTCCAGCCCCTTCGCCACAGCAAAGTGCCTGGCATGCTCTGGTCCATGGGGTCACAAAGAGTCGGACACGACTAAACGACCAAACAACACCAACAACATGCACTGATCTGTAGTAGGAATTGTTCTTATATTGATAGCAAAGGAAATGCAATTCCTCGAGTTGCTCTTTGTCTCCCACAGCAACAACCCCGAGTGGTGTGGCAATCATTCCTTCTTCCCAGGCAACTCTGTGAACTCTGTAATACAGCTCTGTGATTGGAAACTCTCAGCACACTTAAGGGACTACAGCTCCCAGAATTCTTTGGGGGGAATTCCATGACTCTTTAAAGGGGTATCATAGCACTTTAAATGTACATTGTACATTGTGCATGTGGCCTTAGTCTCAGTGCTGCCTTTGTGGAATTCAAGCAGGGAGTAGCATGGGGACAAAACCAGAATTAGTTAGCTGCGTTGGTTGCCAGGGGGTGGGGGCAGCCTGGTCAACCCCTAGGTACACTCCTACAGGCAAGCAAGAGGCATTATCAGAGTTCAAGCACACATTTCAGCATGGCGAAAACATTTCTGAAGCATTGTGGATCCTAAACAGCTATTTTCAGTTTTTCTCGAGAGTCAGGTTTAGACTCTTGCTATGTGTTGCTGTTTAATGACTATTCCCTTGCAGGCTTTGGAGAAAATTTCTGCCTACATGAAATCTGACCGTTTCATGAAGGCTCCCATCTTTTGGAGACTCGCCAAGTGGAGCTATGAAAAAGTGTAGAGGAGACTGGGAACCTTAAAGCCTCTGCAGATGGGTGTTAGCATCAGTGATGGCCCCTGAGTGAATCACCATCCCTTCATGCTTTTAAACATGTTATGTTATGCTGTGACCCTTAATCCAGACTGTCATTAATAAAACCTATTGGATACTAAACAGATTGTGCTGGCTTCTTAATTTTTCTGCCCTGCAGCCACAAAATTTTTTTCCATTTGTGTTATGTACTTTTCAATTCCCATGCTTCAAAGTTGGGTTTAAAATGCTGCCAGCAAATCAAACTGGTGACTACTTGTTTATCAAAAGAGCTTATTCCAAGAGCTCACAGGGCACAAAACAACCTGAATGGGGGTGGGGAGGAGGAGGAGGAGGAGGAGGAGGAGGAGAAGAAGAAGAAGAAGGTTGTCCTCTACAACATTGCCCAGTGCGCTGTGCCAATAAATACCTGCCAACCAAATACACTGGCAGGAAGCATTGTGGTCTAATGCAGCAGGTTTTGTTTGCCCAATTTGTAAGTGCTAGCATGCCAATCCTTCCACTTAAGGCTTTTCTATGTGAGCCATCTGTAGTATGTTTTTTTTTTTTAATTAGTAATTTCTTTAATATTTCACCAGTCAAATTTTCAATAAAGATATGCAGTAGAAGACATGGGGCAAAACAGTGTGTGTACGCATTGTTGGAATAGGCAACAGCCTTTAATACAGTACAGTGGTACCTTGGGATGCGAACGGGATCCGTTCCGGTGCCCCGTTCACATCCTGAATAGAACGTAAGACGCAACGGTGCGTCTGTGCATGCACGGATGGCGTTTTGCCGCTCCCGCGCATGCACGTGACGTCATTTTGAGCGTCTGCGCATGCGCGAGTGGCAAAACCCAGAAGTAACACGCTCTGTTACTTCTGGGTTGCCACGGAGCGCAACCCGAAATCGCTCAACCTGAAGCACATTCAACTCGAGGTATGACTGTATTGAGGAGAAAAAGCCCCTTAGGGGATAATTCGCTTTGCCACTTTTTAATAATTATTAGTAAGACTCTGTCTGAAGTCCTCTCTTCTAATAACTGGCTTCAGCCTATAGTATCTGGCTGCTCTCCAGCTGAACCCTTCTGGGAGCTGTCTGTACCAACCTGGACTGTAGTCTTGAGCCCGCTTACTATTGAGAAAGTCCCCTTTAACTCTGTTGGGTTTACTACTACTACTACTACTACTACTACTACTACTAATTTATTATTTGTACTCTGCCCATCTGGCTGGGTTTCCCCAGCCACTCTGGGCAGCTTCCATAGAAACCAAAAATACACTAAAATGTCACACATTAAAAACTTCCCTGAACAGGGCTGCCTTAAGATGTCTTCTGAATGTCAGGTAGTTGTTTATTTCCTTGACATCTGATGGGAGGGTGTTCCACAGGGCGGGCGCCACTACCGAGAAGGCCCTCTGCCTGGTTCCCTGTAGCTTTGCTTCTCACAATGAGGGAACTGCCAGAAGGCCCTCGGCGCTGGACCTCAGCGTCCGGGCAGAACGATGGGGGTGGAGACGCTCCTTCAGGTATACTGGGCCGAGGCCGTTTAGGGCTTTAAAGGTCAACACCAACACTTGGAATTGTGCTCGGAAACGTACTGGGAGCCAATGTAGGTCTTTCAAGACCAGTGTTATCTGGTCTCGGCGGCCGCCCCCAGTCACCAGTCTAGCTGCCGCATTCTGGATTAGTTTTAGTTTCTGAGTCACCTTCAAAGGTAGCCCCACGTAGAGCAGATTGCAGTAGTCCAAGCGGGAGATAACTAGAGCATGCACCACTCTGGCGAGACAGTCCGCGGGCAGGTAGGGTCTCAGCCTGCATACCAGGTGGAGTTGGTAGACAGCTGCCCTGGATACAGAATTGACCTGCGCCTCCATGGACAGCTGTGAGTCCAAAATGACTCCCAGGCTGCGCACCTGGTCCTTCAGGGGCACATTTACCCCATTCAGGACCAGGGAGTCCTCCACACCAGCCCGCCCCCTGTCCCCCCCAAAACAGTACTTCTGTCTTGTCAGGATTCAACCTCAATCCATTAGCTGCCATCCATCCTCCAACCGCCTCCAGACACTCACACAGGACCTTCACCGCCTTCACTGGTTCTGATTTGAAAGAGAGGTAGAGCTGGGTATCATCTGCATATTGATGAACACCCAGCCCAAAGCTGGGATGATCTCTCCCAGAGGCTTCATATAGATGTTAAAAAGCATGGGGGAGAGGACGGCACCCCACAAGTGAGAGCCCAGGGGTCTGAACACGCTTCCCCCCCCCCACTTTCTGAACACGGCCCAGGAGGAAGGAGCGAAACCACTGTATAACAGTGCCCCCAGTGATGAGACATGTACAGGTTTGAGCAGTTAAGAAACTTCCCAAAGTCTAACCCACGCATCTCATTTGACCTTAAATAAATAAATAAATAAATATCACCCCGCCTCCGAACATGTCATATTGGAACTTTATTAAATAAATATTTACAGGCCACACTTTCATAAAAAAAATAACATGGTGGTGAATGACATAAAAATATCACAGTACAATATCATGGGTTTAAAATCAAAACACTCTTCCCAGTCTGAGTTGAGAGCAAATTTTGAAGCACTCTTCAAAATTTGTTCTATTGGCTGGGGGTGGGGGGACCTGCAATGGGAAGAGCTGTTCTCTGGAGCAGGTTTAATATGAGTTTGCGGGCTTATGTGCAATAATAAAGCCACTTTTAGGATTATGCGTATTTGCAGGTTTTCTAAACTGCAATAAAAGCCATCCCCAAAACATTGCTTCCATGTCTGCCACCTCATTAAAAATAACACTAAATAAAGGGCTCCGGCCCTTTAAAAGGCTGAACTCGACGCCGCCGCTGCTCCCTCCCTCCTCCGAGGTGGCTGCTGGCAGTGAGGCTGCGAGAAAGGGAGCTCGACGGGAGAGGAGAGGACAGCGAGCAGCATGACGATGATTTTGGGCTACTGGGACATCCGAGGGGTGAGTTCCTTGCGCAGAAAGGGAGGGAGAGCCGAAGAGGCGCCCCGTCCCGTCCGCCTGCTGAGTCGGGTTCCTGCCTCGCTTTGCAGAGCCTTCCGAGGCGCTCGCTGTTCCCACCGGGTGCCCCCTGCGCAAATCGGCGCCGTCCAGGGGCCGCGGGCCCAGAGCTAGCCGATGTTTAAGCCCTGGTTGGAGAAACCTGGGCCATTGTGTGCCCTCGAGGACGAGTGGTTTCTAAGGCGAGGAGGAAGAAGTCCCTCGGGGACCTTTCCTGGAAGGAGCCCGGGTCCCGGCTGGTCGCGCGGAGGAAGCGCGCTGCCGTCGAGGCACTTTGCTGGAGATCCCCAGCGGATCCCTCGGGGCAGGGGCTGGGGAAAGGCAGAGGGAGCACGCAGGGATGCTCCAGGTGTCTGCTTCTAACTACAGTGGTACCTCAGGTTACATACGCTTCAGGTTACATACGCTTCAGGTTACACACTCCGCTAACCTAGAAATAGTGCTTCAGGTTAAGAACTTTGCTTCAGGATAAGAACAGAAATTGGGCTCTGGCGGTGTAGCGGCAGCAGGAGGCCACATTAGCTAAAGTGGTGCTTCAGGTTAAGAACTGTTTCAGGTTAAGAACAGACCTCCGGAATGAATCAAGTACTTAACCCGTGGTACCACTGTATATGGGAGATGACGGAGGGGCTCTACCCATTTGTAGAGCACAGAGCCCCCTTCCTTTGTTCGCCTTACACCTCACTCAGTGCCGGATTTACATATAAGCTAAACAAGCTATAGCTTAGGACCCCACTCTCTTGCCCCTCCCCCCAAAAAACTGGATGTCCATTTCCAAAATGGGACCCCCCCCCCAAAATGTAAAGGGGACAAAATCAGGATGTACATTTCCAAAATATAAGATAAAAAACAAATAAAATAAAGCCTACATACAGTAACAGTGTTTTATGTTGTGTAGGCTCCTGTGATGTAGGTAATGGGCTGTGCCTGCTAGCCTGCTCCCTAAAATGTCACTGGTTTGTTCATTTCTGTATATAGGATGCCTACATTCTGCATGCTACTAACATGAGTTTGACCAAACTGCGGGAGGCAGTGGAAGACAGGAGTGCCTGGCGTGCTCTGGTCCATGGAGTCACGAAGAGTCAGACACGACTAAATGATTAAACAACAACAACACATTCTGCATGGACTGGTTGCATGGCAACCTGTGCAAATGACTTTAGATACCTATTAGGTCCATAAATTACCAAATTGCAAATATTCAACACAAAAAATAGCGACAATTTGTTGTTGACAAAGGACAGCTGGACATATAAAGGGCCCCATTACCTTCAGTAGCTAGGGGCTCATCAAACCTAAATCCGTCCTGACCTCGCCAGGAGACAAATAACCGGCACAAGGCCACAGTTTTTAAACCTTGGGTGACAAGCTGCAGTTAATCAAAACAAGAAAAGAAAGCTTTTGATCTTGTTCCTATGCTTGAAAAAGTACACCCAGCCCCCAAACCTTGACAGTAGGCTCATTTCTGTCACCAAAAACCGTGTTTTCCTGTCATGTCTGATCACAGCCACTGACATGAAACAGGGGGTTCAATGATGCCAGGGTGCTATTGGACAGTAACCTTCAGTTGCAAGCATCTGCTATCTTCATCTGTGAAATTTCAGAAGGATGCCAATATCCTTTGCCTTGGGCCATTGCTAGTCTGGAGCAGATGTAGTTTGCTGGCTTTTCTACCAATGGTGATTATTCTTCCACTATTCTTCCTGCAGCTCGCTGGTGCGATCCGACTCCTTCTGGAATACACAGGGACCCCATATGAGGACAAGCAGTATGCGTTTGGAGATGGTAAGGAGCTGACTCCAGAGGAGTTTCTAGCTGCATTATCAAAGTAGAGGGACAAACAAGCGGGAACCTATAGCTACCTTCCTCCTGCCCTGCGTGTGACCTTCTCAGAGCCATTTGGCTGGTCACTGCTGGAAGCAAAATGGCATTTGGTTTCCTGTCTTGGTAAGGCAGTTTTGCAGTCCCATTGATTAAACATTAGATGTGTCTAAGCTTTGTAGCTGTTAATTGACATAGATGTTCACTGTTGCTTCTAAGGTATAAGTATTTTAAACATGGGAATTGCCTGTCTTAAAGGCATGGGTGAGTTGTTACTTAAAATGTTCCTTTTCCCCATTGATTGCTTGATGTTAGAGACATGGCCGGCAAAGAGGCGGAGGAAGAGGCAGAGGAAATGAGAAACTTGATTCTTTCACACAACAAAAGTGAGATAAGCCTTCTCTGGAAGGCTGCCTGTAAGGTTTCCCAGCAGCACAGAGATGAGGGAGCAGGACGCAGGTGGTAGGAGGCAATTAGATTTAGCTCCAGAGGAGAATTGGCTGCACCTGAATTTCCAAGAAGTAGGAAGCGGAGCAAGCGATTAGAACAAAGCAAGGCCAGCAGGAAGCGGGGGCAGGCCTGGCTTATATCTGGCCTTGGGAGGGATTGCTGGAAGCCTGTTATTGCTGAAAAACATCAACTAGTAAAACTGCAAATGTTTCATGTCTTTGTGTGAGAGAAGTGCTAACCTGACACTTAAATACAGTGGACCCTCTGGATACGAATTAAATTTGTTCCTGGGGTCTGTCTGCAACCCCAAAAGTCCATAGGCAGAGACACCGCTTCTGCGCCTGCAGCGAAACCTGGAAGTATACACTTCTGGGTTTGCCGCGTTTGTAACCCGAAACTTACGTGCCCAGAGTGGTACTTAACTAGAGGTTCCACTGTATGTGTTTTAGGGGTGGGGAGCTGAATCCAGCCTGTGGGTCAGGTTCAGACATTCTCTCAAAGGCCACTTCCACAATCATCTGATGACCCCATGCTGGCAGGTGAAGAGTTTTCCTTTGCCCACATAGGGTAGCCAATCCCAACACGGCTTGGTGTCAGTACCAATCAGCTGATTGGGGCTTACAGAAAGGCTTCCTCGCTAAGGAACCACACTTAGGAGCACACTTCAAAGTCCCAATTGTTTCTTTACAGCCACATACGTACCTGCCCAACACCAAGTGTCACATAGGGCAAGTGTGATTGGAAGAAATGGCTTCATGGGCCAATTTGGGACCTTTGCTGGGCCTAATGTGGATTGTGGGGCAGATGTTAACCACCACAGATGTATGTGGAAGAGCTATGGTAATTGGCTTTTTAAAAAGAAGTCACCAAAACAAGTTTTTGTTTTGGCTGAACATTCTGATGTGCTTCTTGCGTGAAATTTGGAGTTCTGAAGCTGGCCTCATAACTTCTTACATCAGATTGCTCAGCTATGATGTTTCTTCTAAAACACACTTTCCACCTGAAGCAGTGACAAGAGGGGAAATAGTTCTTTAATGCCATTGTGGCTCCCCCCTCCAAAACAGAGGATTGTGAGGAAGGGCTGAAAGTGCCCTCATATCCTGTTCCACCTCCTGCCGCCTTGATACAGAGAACCTCTTTGAAACTTTGCTACTTATCACTGACCTTGCTCATAGTACAGAAACCATGTGCTTATCTCTTGACCAACAATGAATCCCTTCAGCAGTTAGGATTATTGTCAGTTGCTTTGGTTTTTTGCTTAGTGTCTTTGAATTATCTAGCTGTGGGAATTGTGGAAAGCAGAGAAAAAATATATCTAAGAACATTTGGAAATAGATGGAGCTTTTTTAAAGAAGTACGGTAACTTGTGCTTTTTATGTGCCTTTCAAGAAAGACTAGGATTAAATCCCAGCACAGCTGCTGCCTCTGATCCTCAGTGGTGGACCAAGGTTAGACAGCAGCCTGCAAGTTCTGGTGGCCACTAAGTGTAAGCTTCCTGCTCAATCTGGTCAGACCGTCATCTGGCCAAAAAGGTGGTTACGTTCTCATGTAACAATGCACACTGAAGATCACTTAACAGTGGCTTAGTGTTTCTGAGTATGCCTTCTGGCTTTCATACATGCCAAATGTCTTGGTGGACCTCAATGATTTTAGGGTTTGTGTGAGTGTTTTATGTAGGCCATGTAAAGTGTTTAGTGATGGGAGTTGAAATGGAACAGACAATCTCTTGTTGTGTCTACTTCTAGATGCAATTGCCTCTTTAAAAGTATGGGTTGTACTTTGGACAGTGGCCAATATGTTTCTACAGCTAGAATGACCTTCCCCAGTCTGGCACTCTGGTTGTGTTGGACTATGGCTCCCAGTATGAGATTGCTAGGATTCATGCCTGATAACCCCCTTAGGAATGGAGCCAAAAACACAAGAGAAGCTGGAAACGAAGGGGAAAATAAGCCTGACTGGTATAGAAGTGAGAGCAGACTTACCATGGACTTACTTTTCATACCTGTATTTACAGCTCCTGATTTTGACAGAAGTCAGTGGACTAATGTGAAGGAGACGCTGGGCTTGGACTTCCCAAATGTATGTAGCAAATGTGGAAAAAACCAGCAACATGTCGTTGTGCATTGATGGGGATGGTGGGGTCATTCTGCTGCTGCTCCCTCTTTGAGATGAGTGAGAGCAATCAGGCCAGAGTCCTGGGCTCTTTCTCATCCGGCTCTGCTGCACTGCTGCTTCAAGTACAGGTCGCAGCTCAGTGGAAAATGATGACGGTGTGTGAGCAGAATCTAAAGCAGTGGATTGGCTGGAGGTTGAGATCTTCAGTGCATTCCTGGCTTCTTGCTGGAGCAAAGGCTGCCAGGAAGCCAGAGGCCAGAGGGCCTTTCAAGTGTGCCTGGGGGGAGAAGCCAGGCCCTGTAACTTCGGCAACTAAACTCTCACACACAACTCTCAAGTGCAGTGTTTCCCAATTGGTGGTGGCAAATTCTGTGCAAAATTGTTACGTCAATCCTTGAGTAGCCCTAAATAATTATACTAGAGCTGTGATGCAAAAACTAACACCCAACAGTGTGTTTTCTCCTGAAGCCATTTCAGTTTAGACATCCTTTCTGCTGGCATTGTTCATCCTATGTAAATGGGAAGTTGTCCAGCAAGGATGATGGGGCGATGAAATATTCTGGGTCTTCTGCACTGGCACCATTAACTTTTTCTATCCTTTCCTTAGCTCCCTTATCTAATCGATGGTGAGATGAAGATCACACAAAGCAACGCCATCATAAGATACATTGCACGCAAGCACAAGATATGTGAGTCTTTTTTTTTTTTTAATAATGATATTTATTAAAGTTTCACAAAAATACACAAAACAAAGAAAAAAGTATAAAGTACAGCAAAAAAAGTAGAAAATAAGAAAAAACATACAAAATAAAACAGTTAAAAACACAATAATGTTCCATAACCTATCTTCCTTACTCTTATTTCCCCGGACCTCCTCATACCTCCCTTCTTTGTATTCCAGTTCCATTTGTTGGTTCAGCAAATCCTTACCATTAATCTTTTACCCAATTGTTAACCTTTTTTCCCCATATCTCTTAAAGCATTACAGCTAAAAACCTCTTAGTTTCTATCCAACATCCTTCTAAAGTTCCTTAATTTTGCAATATTTCTGTAAATAGTCCTTAAATTTTTCCAGTCTTCTTTCACCGACTCTTCTCCCTGGTCTCGGATTCTGCCGGTCATTTCCGCCAATTCCATGTAGTCAATCACCTTCATCTGCCATTCTTCCAAAGTGGGTAGATCTTGTGTCTTCCAATACTTTGCAATAAGTATTCTTGCTGCTGTTGTAGCATACATGAAAAAGTTCTGTCCTTCTTGAGCACCAGTTGGCCGACAATGCCCAAGAGAAAGGCCTCTGGTTTCTTCAGAAAGGTATATTTAAATACCTTTTTCAGTTCATTATATATCATTTCCCAGAAAGCCTTAATCTTTGGGCACGTCCACCAAAGGTGAAAGAATGTACCTTCAGTTTCTTTACATTTCCAACATTTATTATCGGGCAAATGATAAATTTTTGCAAGCTTGACTGGGGTCATGTACCACCTGTATATCATTTTCATAATATTCTCTCTTAAGGCATTACATGCCGTAAACTTCATACCTGTGGTCCATAACTGTTCCCAGTCAGCGAACATAATATTATGTCCAACATCTTGTGCCCATTTAATCATAGCAGATTTCACCGTTTCATCCTGAGTATTCCATTTCAACAGCAAGTTATACATTCTTGACAAATTTTTAGTTTTGGGTTCTAACAATTCTGTTTCTAATTTTGACTTTTCCACTTGGAAGCCTATTTTCTTATCCAAATTATATGCCTCCATTATCTGATAGTAGTGGAGCCAATCTCTCACTTTATTTTTTAATTTTTCAAAACTCTGCAATCTCAATTTATCTCCTTCTTGCTCCAAAATTTCTCAATATGTCGGCCATTTGGCCTCCATATTGAGCCTTTTCAGAGCTTTTGCTTCCATTGGTGATAGCCACCTTGGGGTTTTATTTTCCAATAAGTCTTTGTATCTTATCCAAACATTAAACAATGCTTTCCTAACAATATGGTTTTTGAATGCTTTGTGTGCTTTGACCTTATCATACCATAAATATGCATGCCATCCAAATACATTGTTAAAACCTTCTAGATCCAAAATGTCTGTGTTTTCAAGAAGTAGCCATTCTTTCAGCCAGCAAAAAGCTGCTGATTCATAATAAAGTTTAAAGTCTGGCAGGGCAAATCCACCTCTTTCCTTGGCATCAGTTAATATCTTGAATTTTATTCTGGGCTTCTTGCCCTGCCAGACAAATCTAGAAATATCTCTCTGCCACTTCTTGAAACAGTCCATCTTATCTACAATTTGTAATGTCTGAAACAAAAACAACATTCTAGGCAATACATTCATCTTTATCACAGCAATACGGCCCAGCAACGAGAGTTTCAAATTTGACCAAATTTCTAAATCTTTTTTCACTTCCGTCCAACATTTTTCGTAATTATCTTTAAATAAGTTCCCGTTTTTGGCTGTCATATTAATCCCCAAGTATTTCACTTTCTTTACCACATTCAATCCTGTCTCATTCTGAAACCTCTCTCTTTCAATCGGTGTTAAGTTTTCTCTAAAACCTTAGTTTTTAACTTGTTCAATTTAAAACCTGCCACCTGACCAAATTCCTGAATTAATTCTAAAACTCTTTTAGTACTAGATTCTGGCTCCTGTAACGTCAATACTAGGTCATCTGCAAATGCTCTCAGTTTGTACTGTTTAGCTCCGACCTGTATGCCCTTAACCAACCGGTCCTTTCTAATCATATTTAGCAAAACCTCCAGGACCGATATAAAAAGCAGTGGGGAAATTGGGCACCCCTGTCGTGTCCCTTTTTCTATCTTAAATTCTTCCGTAACCACATTATTTACAATTAATTTAGCCTTTTGTTCAGAGTATATTGCACCTATACCATTTTCAAAACCTTGGCCTACCCCCATCCCATGCAGATTCTTCTTCATAAAACTCCAAGAGATATTATCAAAAGCTTTCTCCGCATCAACAAATATCAATACTGCTTTGGTGTTTATATTCACTTCTAATTTTTCCAAAATATCAATTATATTCCTCAAATTATCAGACAGGTGTCTTCCCGGGAGAAAGCCCGCTTGGTCTTTATGAATCTCTTTCATCAATACTTTTTCAATCTCTTGGCCAAAATGTCTGCAAAAATTTTGTAATCCACATTAAGTAACGATATAGGGCGATAGTTCTTAAGCTGAGTCTTTTCAGTCTCTGTTTTCGGTATAAGTGTGATATACGCCTCTTTCCACGATTCTGGTGCCCTTTTCCCTCACAATATTTCATTGCAGACTTCCTTCAAAGGTTGCAATAACCACTCTTTCAAAGATCTATAGTATCTGGAAGTCAGCCCATCCGGTCCTGGAGATTTGCCCAATTGCATATTTTGTATGGCACCTTCTACTTCCTGTTCAGATATTTTATAGTTCAGCATTAATTTACTTTCTTGAGAGATTTTTTGTAGGCCATTTGTCTTCAAAAATTGGTCTATGTCCATTTCCTTCTGTGGCCCTTGTGTGTATAATTGTTTAAAGTACCTCTGGAAGCAATTTCTGATCTCATTTGGATTATGTATACTCTTTCCTTCCACTTCTAAATTTATAATAGTATTTAATTTTTGTCTTTTTTCATTTGCCAGGCCAACAGTTTTCCACATTTATTAGCTGATTCAAATGTTTTTTGTCTCATTTGTTTGATTTTCCATTCTATTTCCTGATTCATCATTTCCATATATTGTACTTGATATAATTTTATTTCTCTCAAAATCTCCTGGGACTTTGGTTTTGCTCTCAATTTCTTCTCACCTTCTTTTATTTTTTCCAAGATTTTATCTTTCTTTTCATTTTGACTTCTCTTCTTTATTGCATTCTGTTGTATCAAAAACCCTCTCATCACAGCTTTGCTTGCGTCCCAGATTACTCTTTTTTCTACATTGGTATTCATATTTATTTCAAAATAATCTCTCAAAGTCTTTTGGGCCTTTTTGTAAACTTCTTCATCTCTAAATAAGGTGTCATTCATCCTCCATCTAAAGGATCCGGTTGTTGTTTGTTTCATCTCCATCCTTACAGCATTGTGGTCGGAACAAGTTTTTGGGCAGATTTCTACCTTCTTTATCTTTGGTGCCATTCCTCTAGTTATCCATATTTGGTCAATTCTAGTCCATGTCATCTTGGCTTCAGAAAAAAAGGTTCCTTCTCTTCCCAGGGGGTTCTTTACCCTCCAGATGTCCACTAAGTCCATATTGTCTGTCATCTCAAAAAATGTTTTCGGTAGTCTACCATCCTTGGTGACTACCTGTCTTTGTGCCTTGTCCATATTTGTAGATACTACTCCATTCATGTCCCCCATCAAAATCAAATTGTAGTCCAAATGATCCAGTAGAGTCTCATGCAACTTTTTATAAAATTCAGATTTCCCCTCGTTCGGTGCATAAATTCCCACAATTAAGAATTTCTCTCCTTGTAGTTGAATTTCAATTGCCAAAAATCTTCCTTGGTCATCTTTGAAAATAAGTTTCGGTAAGAGTCTCTCCTTTGCATAAATCACAACTCCTCTTTTTTTGACTTTGTCAGATGAAACAAACTCCTGTCCTAATCTTTTATTAATCAATAACTTCCTATGTGCCCTTGTTATATGTGTCTCTTGTAGACAAATCAAGTCCAATTGTTCTTTTTTTAATAAATGAAACACACTTTTTCTTTTTCGAGGAGAATTCAAACCATTACAATTCCAGCTTAGTAGTTGCAGAGCCATGGTGGGGGCTACTTCACTTTACCTCCAACTGCCCCAAGTGCCCCTTCTTGTTCTGTGGGTAGTATCACTTTTTCTGGACCGTGCAGTCCAAAAGATAGATTTGATATGTCTAGTATGCCTTTTGGTTCTTCTTCAGATTCCCCTTCTTTCAGTAGATCTTCCTCGTGATCTTTCAAGAATCTGTCTTTTTCCTCCGTTGATTTTATTTTTATCTTTCTCCCTTTATATTTGAAGGACAGGCCTTGCGGAAATTCCCACCTGAAAAGAATTCTGTTTCTTTTCAATAAGGTCACTAGGTCTCCGTAATTGGACCTTAAGTCCAGCAAATGCTTTGGGATGTCCTTAAAAATCACTAATCTTGAGTCATCAATTTCCAAAGTTTTTGATAGTGCAAATTCAGAATTTTATCTCTCTCTTCTTTTGTTCGAAAGGTAATCAAACAGTCTCTCACCTTGCCCTTGCCTTGTCTTCTTCCGAGCCTAAATGCATTCACTATCTTAAATTCTTCCTTCCCCGGGTCCAATTGCCAAAAATCTGTAAATTCCTGTGTAAGAAAGTCAGCCAAATTATCTTTCTCCCGCTCTGGAACAGCCCTAATTCTCAGATTTCTCTGTCTATCTTTTAATTCGATCATAGAAAATGTCACATCATGGTCCTCCGACTTCTTACCATCTGCCATAACAGTCTCATAAACATTCAAGGTCACTCCCACAGTCAGCCAATTGTTTTGACATAGAGTGGAATTTTCCTCTTTGTAACTGTTGTTGTAACAATGTCCAACCTCCTCTAGGGGGACACAGTAACAGCCAGAACTTGTAACTTTTAGAAACAAAAATAGTCTTTATAAATCCCCAATTTACTTTCAAAGTCCACAGTCTCAATACACTTAAACAGTTACTTTCAAGCCAAAAGAGGTTCAGAAACACTGTATCACTTTTGCAGAGTTGGCTGTCAGAAATAAGCTTTCACTATGGACCTCTATCTTAAGGCAGTCCGTTCCGAATCTTAAATTGTAAATTCTTCCTTCCTCTCCCCTTCTTTACTGCAGGGAAATTCAGCTCAGTCTTTTTCCCCCTCCTCTCCTGCAATCCGGAGGGGGAACCACTTTCAAGATGTTGGAATTTAGCACATTTAAGTGACTCTTTTTGGCACTAGTGTTTCTTTGGATGTCAGCTTAAAATTAACCAGTTAACTGATTGATAATATTCTTGTCAAATAGTTGGTTAGAGGTGCGCTCTTACCTTCTGTGTATGTTGTGTTTCTACAGGGGGTGAGAGTGAAGAAGAAATCATCAGGATGGATATGCTTGAAAACCAGCTCATGGATGTCAGAATGACCTTTGCAAGACTTTGCTACAGTCCAGATTTTGTGAGTCTGGTGGTTTGAATCCTCCTTCCAAGTTGGCAATCCAGCCAATGATGAGAATGATTTGGGGATCCATATGGAGTGAGTGGGTCGAAAAAAAGCTCTTATGTAAGTCTTAACAAATACTTTCTTTCTGCTCTTCGAGGGCGAGCAGAGGAAGAAAAGATCTTTAGAGTTAGAGAGAGAAAGAGAGTCCTATAACTGGGGAGTCAGTAGTTCAAGGTTTCACAAGAGTTGAACTGGAAATGAATCTGTGTATGTAATAATTCAAGAACTTCTGGTTGCAGGAAAAAGTGAAGCCTGAGTACGTGGAGCAGTTATCCGGGGAACTGAAGCTGCTCTCCCAGTTTTTGGGGGACAGGAAGTGGTTTACAGGAAAGAAGGTACAAGGGCTATGCCTAATTCCATAGAAACAAAGATGTCTCTCTAGTTTTATGGATCCATTTAAAATGTCTTCCTCTTTTGATTTCCTAGATCACCTATGTAGATTTCCTTGCATATGATGTATTGGAACGGCTCTGGATGTTTGAGCCAAAGTACTTTGATGAGTTTCCAAATCTGAAAAATTTCCTTGACCACTTTGAGGTGAGATTTACTGTGTTGTATGCATGGATCTCCAGTAGGAATTGTTCTTTTATCCATAGCAGAAGAAATGTGATCCACCAACCAACTGAATACTGGCAGTTTCCCTTAATGTCACTTTCTTTATACATCCTTATTCACAACCAGTCCACAGGGTTGCACTGAATGTCAGCCTCCTCTTCCTCCTCAGACCACACTCACTCTATGTGTTTAAAGTGCTATGATAGCACTTTAAAGAGTCATGGCTTCTTCCAAAGAATCTTGGGAGCTGTTTTTTTGTTTGTTAAGGGTGCTTCCTGCAAGTTACTGTCTGGCTCTAAGAGCAACTGTCCACATTGGTTTAGCAATCAATTCCCCTTCCCAGATAACTCTGGGATTTCTGAACCGTATCTCTGTGAGCAGAAACTCTCAGCGCACTTAATGGACTACCGCTCCCAGAATTCTTTGGGGGATGCCATGGCTCTTTAAAGGGGCATCATAGCACTTTGGATGCACAGTGTGAATGTGGCCTTAGTCTCAGTGCTGCCTTTGTGGAATTCAACAGAGAGAATAATGGTTACAAAACCAAAATCTGTTGACCGGGATCCCTCAGGATCCATTCCAAGTTTATGATTCTATGACTTCTATGGCTCTGCTTGCCATTGGCTCTGGCTCTACCTAATATTGGTCTCCTTTCATCCTTTCTGAGCAGTTCCACTTGGTGCCAGCCTCCACAGATTTACACATGTGCACCCCCTCACTTATAGATATTAAATACTCTTGTTAAGGGGGGGTAGAGACACTGTGTATATGCCATCACATAGGAGTTGTGCATTCTATCACTAGGGGTGTGCGTGTTTCTGCAGGGTTTTCCTGCAGAAAGGTGCTTCCCCTGCCTCACTCCCTTCACACATCCACACACACACACGCTGTGTAGATGATATACATGCTATGAGAGACTGGCAAAATTGCACAACAACAAAAATCTGCTTCTCCAGATAATGAGAAAGTATTTGCTGGGCTGTGTGTGTGGCAGAATCCACAGAGAAACTCTGTCATGTTTTTCAAGCTATCTGTTGTTGCTGTATACCAGGCGTAGGGAACCTTTTTCAGCCAAGGCCATTCTGTTCTGAGGAAACTTCTGGACGCCACTGTCAATGGTGGGCAGGGCCAGAGGCAAAAGCAGCTGAGCAATTGCTGTAAATTTTATTTTTTTACCATAGGCTCATTTCTACATGTGCTCTGACACTCAACTCTATCCTCCATCTAAGGAAATGAGAGGCATTCTCAGAGTTCAGGGACACATTATAGCCAGGCAGAAACACATAAGAAGAGTGCAAGCATGTCCTAAGTGCAAAGCATTTTGGGTCCTAGACAACTGTTTCCAGGTTTCCTCCAGAGTTGGATTTAGACTCTTGCTATGTGTGATGCTGTTGCTGTTTAATGACTCTCTCTTGCAGGCTTTGGAGAAGATTTCTGCCTACATGAAATCTAGCCGTTACCTGAAGACTCCCATCTTCTTGAGAAATGCCCAGTGGGGCAATAAAAAATAAAAGAGGAGAATGTGGACCTTAAAGCTTCTGTAGAGGAGTGTTGGCATCAGGGATGGCCTCTGAATGATTCAGTATCCCTTCGTGCCTTTAAACATGTATGTTATGTTGTGACTCTTAATTAATGTTGTCATTGTGACTCTTAATTAATGTTGTTGTTGTGATAAAAAAAAAAGGATACTGAAACAAGTGTCCTGGCTTCTTATTCCAAGAGCTCACAGGGCACAAAACAACCTGACTGTGGGAGAGGGGGGAGGAGGAGGAGGAATTGTCGTCCCTTGCAACATTGCCCAGTGCAACTGATGCCCTTGTGCCAATGCTTGTCAGCCAGATACACTGGCAGGACACATGGTGGTATAAAGCCACAGGTTTCGTTTGTATGATTGGGAAGTGCTAGCCTGCCTTTCCTCCCAATTAAGGCCTTTCTACATGATCCATAAAAGCATGCCTAAGTATCTCAGAATGCTTAGAATTAGCCAAATTGACAGACATAAGACAAAAACCAAAAAGTGAAGTAAAAAAATGAATGGGAGTGCCTAAATGAATACCTCAAAAGTCAAGGTTCGAGGGCAGAAATCTGGCTGAGTCTGGAATAACCTTGTGAAGTGAAAGGATATGAAAGAAGGATTTATATCTAGATGTTAGGATAGAGATGAGAAAGAAAACAGGAAAACAGGAAGACAAAATGAGAGATAAAGGAGGTGCTGTGGGATTGGTGGAAGTCAATGTCTTGATGTTGTTGTTTTAGTGTTTATAACATTAACTTGTAAGATATGGATTTGGTTTTTTTGCTTTGTTGTTGCTTTTTAGTTTTCGAATGTTGATTTTTGTGTGTTGTGTATTGTTATTTTTTGATATCTTTCGTGCTGTTGTTGTTGTGTGGAAAATACTAATAAAATTTATTTTAAAAATAATAATAATAAAAAAGCCTGCCTAAGTAGGTTTTTTTTAGTTCTTTCCGTAATCTTTCAACAGTTAACTTTTCAATAAAGGTGTGTGGTAGAAGAGATGAGACACTGCAGTGTGTGTGTGTGTGTGTGTGAATTGTTGGAATAGACAATAGCTTTCAATTAATAATCAAATAATTTATACCCTGCACATCTGGCTGGGTTTCCCCAGCCACTCTGGGCAGCTCCCAACAGAATATTAAAAACACAATAAAAGAGCAAACATTAAAAACTTCCCTAAACAGGGCTGCTTTCAGATGTCTTCTAAAAGTCAGATTGTTGCTTATTTCTTTGACATCTGATGAAAGGGCGTTCCAGAAGATGGGCGCCACTACCAAGAAGGCCCTCTGTCTAATACTATATTGCAGTGAAAAAAGCCACTTAAGGGGTTGATTCCCTGAGGCACTTTTTCAAACTTACTTGTAAGAATGTTTAAAGTCCTCTCTCCAAAACCTGACTCCAGCCTGCCCTGTCTGGCTGCTCTCCAGCTTCTCTCTCCCAGGAGATGCCTGTATCAACTTGGACTGTAGTCTTATGCCCAATTAAGTGATAAGTAAGTGGGCATTAGGCTGCAGCCGAAGTTGTTACTGGGGACTGAACTCAGTGGGATTTACTTCTCAGCAGAAATGGACAGGGCTGAGTGGTTAAGAAATGTCCAAAAGTTTCACGAATGCTTCTCACTTGATCCTGTTTTGTTTTGTTTTTAAACGCCCTTTCCTCGCAACAGAAAGATCACATTGCAACTTTATTATATAAAGTTTCACAAAACTCAACATGAAAAGTATAAGAAGGTGGTGTAGGACGTAAAAAAACACGACGCCACAATAACATCGGGTTAGAAGAAAGCAAAACACTTTCCCACCCCAGTCCTTTTTCGGTGCTAATTGGGACTGACCCCAATGGGAAAGTGCTCTTCTCCGGGGCAGGTGCAATCAAGCCAGCTTTAGGATTATGTGTATTTGCAGTTTTCATAAACTCTAATAAAAAGCCGTTCCCCAAACATTGCTTCCACGCCCCGCCCACCTAATTAAAAATAAGATTAATCGGCTCTGGCCCTTTAAAGAGCTGAACTCGACGCGCCTCGGCGGCTGCTTCTTGAGTCCCTCCTCCAAGGTGGCTGCTGGCAGTGAGGCTGAGAGAAAGAGAACTCAACAGGCAACATGACGATGATTTTGGGCTACTGGGACATCCGAGGGGTGAGTTCCTTGTGTAGAAAGCGAGGAAGAGGTCTCCCCCCTCCGCCTGCTGAGTCTGCTCTGCAGAGCCTTCCCAGGCTCTCGGTGCTCCCGCGGGGGGGGGGGGGGGGAGGCGCGCCCGTGGGTCGCCCCTGCGTAAGTCGGCGCCGTCCAGGGGCTGCTTACGCCCTCTCAACCGCGGGGAGCCTTTGGGTGCGCTCTTGGTCCCGTGGCTTCTAAGGCGAGGAGGGAGAAGTTCCCCAGAGGAGCTCGAGCCACCGTCCCGCCCCCCAGCCTTGGGAAGCTGCGCTGCCGTCGAGGCGCAGTCCTGGAGGCCCCCAGGGCAGCGGCCGGGGAAAGGCGGACGGAGCTCGGTGGAGGCCTTTTGTCTGGCTGCTCCACGTGTCTGCTGCTCCCTGCAAAAGGCCGGCAGGTCCTGCGAGACTGTTTGAGGTGCACCCCCCCCCCACGGGCCTTCGCCTTGCCTCGTTTTTCGCGCGAGCGGAGCTCGACGGGGCGCCCGCGGCGGAGGCTCGTTGGACGAGCGGTTCCCACCTGCCGAGCTCTGCTTCGTCCACGCCTACCTTGCCTGCGTGTTTTGCTGTTAGGACTCTACCGCTCTGTGCACGTGGAAGGTGGGGGGCTAGCGATGGCGATTAGCCACCATGGCTGCGCTCTGCCTCCACAGCTGGAGGGAGGAATGCTGCTGAATAACAGTTGCAGAAAATCACGAGTGGGCGGGGGCTGGAGAGGGCCCTGGGGCTCACATCCCGCTTGCGGGTTTCCCAAAGGCATCTAGGGGTCCACTAGTACAAATTACATTCATTTCCCTTCTGACACAGCCTCTCCGTTCTCACTCGGGGTCAAACTCTCAGTTCACCCCCAAATGCCTCACCAGGAGAAGAGTTCCTGGAAGCCGCGGACTTCAAGTCTCCCTCTAGACTTGCTTTTTATGGTTAGGCCTAAGGCAGATGGTACTTGCTGGGGTGCCCACAGTTGTGTCCCCTTCAGCTGCATTCCCCATTCCCATTTCCAGGTACAGCAGGTTTGTTGAGTTTTCCAGGGGGCCCAGAGGATGAGGAAAGCCCCCCTCCTTCACACACAGGTCTTTCTTCACCCTCTGCCCTCTCCTCCTCCGTCTTAGATGCTGACTGCTGCTGCGATACCTTTTTATTGTTCTTTCCTTTTTTCCAGCTTGCCCACAGCATCCGCTTGCTACTAGCGTACACAGACACCCCTTTTGAAGATAAGTTTTACAGCTGTGGAGAAGGTGTGTATTGCTAAACTTAGAATGTACCAACCTCCTCTTAATCAGAGTACTAAACACTTTTTAAAAGCTGCTGCTTTATTAATGTTTCCTGGTGGGGCAGAGGCAGTTTGCCTTTGGGCATTCTGAACAAGAGTTGGTAGGGAAAGTGTTTTGCTTGTGCTTATGTCAGCCAGTTATTTGAAATGCCCAAAGTTGCATTTTTGCAACTACGTTAAACTTAAGTACTACAATCTGAAGGTTTGTGAAGTTGCTGGAAGGCTCTGTGTGTGTGTTGATGAAGGGCTTGTAACACTCATGCAACTGTTGAAGGGAAAGATAATATTTAATATATCGGTTTGCTTATTGTTATGTAATTGTTACATAATATTTATATATGTTGCATTACACACCACCATATATTTCTAAATGGCTACCAGATGTTGTTTGGAGGAATATTCCTAGAACTGTGTGTGTGGTGACTCTGTTCAAGAGTAATAAAGGGGCAAAATTAAACTAACTAAATCTTGGTTCTCCCACACCCAAGTGTGGATATCTAAGTTTGGTTTCTGTGGTCTGTACTTGCCCTAACAAGCAACAGGAAACTAAATGATTCAAATTCCCACTTATTGCCACAACATTTGAATCACCATGGTGCGTAGAATGGAGGCACATACCATGAATGCAAAGGTGTATTAGAGGCTGCTGTTACCAAACCGTCACAATGAGCTTTTCAGGGTGATTGTGAAAGTAAATTTTATCTTGAGTGCTATATTGCTAGCTCACTCTGGTGTCTTTAGCTTAATCCCCTGCATTTGTGTGTTTGCACATGAGAGAGTGACAGAGAGCACAGGGAGAGCATAACTGCAGGGACAGTACCTCTTCAGTGGCTTTTTCTCTGCAAGCTTCCCATAAGTTAAGGATGGATGAATATTCCAACAGTAGCTTTGCACAGTATGGGAGTATGCAACCACCAAGGTCATATTTAGAAATGATTTCAGTACCCCAAATCTTTGGGGTACATGCCATCTTTGTGTTTGTTTCAGTATTAAGATGAGCTCATGCACTAGAGTGCAGTCTATGCGCCACTCAATTGGTCCACATTTCCTGCTTGTCTTAGTGGATGGTGATGGGGGTTATTTTGGTTATGCACAGCTGGTGGGAAGTGGACAATGGGGGGAAAAGGCAACGGCCCTTTCCAGAGTCACTTCTTGAATCTGCTTGATTTCCTACAAAGAAGCTGAGGATGTGGCCAGATGCCACTGCCTCCAAGTTTAGAGTTTTCCCTCTGTTGTAACACAGTTAACAATTAACAGCTGGTTCAAAATGTGCCAGCCGGGTAACTGACTTGAGTTCTATTTAGAACTCTTATAACCCCATTTTAAGCCAGCAGCAGCAGCAGCCAGTTTGTTTCCAGGTCCAGTTCAAAGTGCTCAAATTAGTGTTTAAAACCTGGAATGACTTAGGCCACATTCCTTGTGTTAATTGGGAATGTTCAGGGAGAAGTTTTCCTAACTGTAAAATACTAGACATTTGAGTGCTGGGAGATGGAGATCTTATAGCAGAAGCACCATCTTGAGGCAGATATTTGAAAATGTGTAACAGCAAGAATTAATTGTGCTTATAAACCCTGGTTGTCCAGACAAGCCTTGAGCACAATGGAGGCTTTGTCTTATAATCCGCATAGCTCAGAACTTGCTGTTTTCCTCTTAACTGCATCTTCATTTTGTGAAGCAATTTCTTGAAACCGGCAGAATGCCCCAACGGTTTCTTAGGATCTAGAATGAAAATATAAAAATAAGCCAGAGAACTGCTCCATGTAACTTTCAGAGATACTTCTCTGAATGGATCCTAGCAAGATGGACAAGTAAAGTGTGGGAAAGCAATTCAGAATGCTTGCCTGAACTTGTGCCCTTGACTTGAACAGGGCTTGCTATAACTCAGCAAGGCCCAGATCTATCAGCCTCTGTAGAAAAATATCCCTCAGAATGCTCTCACCAAGCTAACTCAGAATTAAATCTTGCTGAATTGTCATTGGACTTTGTCCTAACCGCTTTCCTTGGGACTGCAACCTTAGCCACAAATTCATGGTGTGTGCGCGCGCATGTGCGTGTGGCATTTCTTAAACGTTGATTGCCTTGCCTGTGCAAAGGAGAGTGACTGAGCAAATTTTATGTGCAGGAAGTGAAAATGCTCTCTCTCTCTTCCAGCCCCCGACTATGACAGGAGCCAATGGTTCAGTGAGAAGGAGAAGCTGGGCCTGGACTTCCCTAATGTAGGTCACTGTCTTTTTCTATCATATGACAGGTGGGAAGAGGAATGTGCCTGGGTTATCCAGATGTTCTGGAGATTTGGTGGAGGAATGTGCCTTTCTTCCTTGCGGTACTCCTCTGTAAGGCCTTGGGTTGGGAAGCAGTGGTTGAGGAATGAGTGTGAGTAGAGTGAATGGGGGTGATTAATGGTGGAAGCACAAAGTTTCAAGCTGATTTGTCTTTAAGCTGATCATTCTTTGCTTACTTTCCAGCTTCCTTACCTAATTGATGGCAAGACCAAGCTTACGCAGAGTAATGCCATTCTCCGGTACATTGCACGTAAACATAAGCTCTGTGAGTAAAATTGAGTTCTTTGGGGGACCTGGGCTGGCTGATTGGCATCGGCTTCTTTCTGTCTGTCTGGGATTTCTCATTGTCGTGTGTTTTCTCCAGGTGGAGAAACAGAGGAGGAGATTGTCAGAGTGGATATGCTGGAGAATCAGGTGATGGATTTCCGCATGAGCCTCGTGATGGTCGTGTACAACGCTGATTTTGTGAGTTCACCTGCCTCTGTTGTTCACAGCTGCTGTTGCATTGTGGGGATTTTTATAGGACAGGGGGTGTCAACTCAGTGCCTGCAGATGCCCTAGGCCTCGTGCTTGCAAAAGCTCTCACTGGTGCTGCCCCAGACTCTGAGCTTTCTAGGGAAAAAATGTAAGTCTCTAGCACTCCTAGATGGGGCAAAATGTGCAGGTACTTTCTAAGCAATTTCTGTGAAATTATTATTATTGATTAACTTTATATACCACTCTTCATCTGTAGATTTTAGGGAGATGCACAAGATAAAAATGCAGGATAAAAGCACCAAAACAAAACAATAACTCCCCTCCCACATACACATTTAAAAGGCTGTAGAATCTTAGCCAAAGGCCTGGTTGAAGAGAAACATTTTCACCTGGTGCCTAAAAATATATAATGAAGGTGCTAGGCAAGCCTCCCTGGGGAGAGCATTCCACAAACGGGAAGCCACTGCAGAAAAAGCCCATTCTTGCGTTGTTACCCTCTGGACCTCTCAAGGAGGCACAAGAAGAAGGGCCTCAGATGATGATCAGGTTCTGGGTTGGTTTATATGGGGAGAGGCGGTCCTTCAGGTATTGCAGGCCTGAGAGTGAGTGTGGTGTGATGACCTTGTATATTTTTCTGGTGCTGGGTAGTGCTCCTTGTTGTTATTAGACAGCCTCAGTGTATCTCTCTGTGTAAAATCAATATTGTGTGATCCCACAATTGGGACTGGCAGGAGATTGCTGATTTCCAGTGAAAGCTTAAGCTTGTTGCAGGTGGCTGCCTCTAATTTTGTGTTATGCCGTGCCCCCATTGCAGCCATATTGTGACGGGTGTTCCCAGCACTCTCTCAAAATGTGCCCACTGTTCCAAAAAGGTGATTGGCCCCTGTTATAGGCTGTCTCCAAAAGGAGAGTGAGTCACACTGTATAGAGTGAGCAATGTTTCTTTCACCAAATGCATGAAAGTGACAGAAGTATGTGTCTCTTCCAAGATCTCGAACTGTTTTTTGGACTACAACTCCCATGTTGCCTAGCTAACAGGACCCCAGTGGTCAGGGATGATGGCAATTGTAGTCTTCAACAGTTGGAGACCCAAGTTTGGGAAACACTGGTCTAGAACATATTTCTAGAAACCTTGCTAGAGATGGGACGTGTGTGCAGGTGCGTGCATTTGTGTGGGATTCACACTTCACAAGCATTTTCTACATGAAACACCAAGGTACACAAAGCAACAGCATTTGCTGCGTAAATGTGAATCTGCTCACAGAACAGCGTTTTTACATTTCTCCTGTTGGTGTTATGGCGATTGATAGAGTTTGGCTCAAGGAAAGTGAAAAAAATCTCCATAAGGCGGCTCTTCTAAATGTAAAGGTATCCCTGCCCGTACGGGCCAGTTGTGACCGACTCTAGGGTTGCGCGCTCATCTCACTCAAGAGGCCGGGAGCCGGCGCCGTCCGAAGACACTTCTGGGTCACGTGGCCAGCGTGACGAAGCTGCTCTGGCGAGCCAGCACCAGCGCCGCACACGGAAACGCTGTTTACCTTCCCGCTATAAAGCGGTACCTATTTATCTACTTGTACTTAGGGGTGCTTTCGAACTGCTAGGTGGGCAGGAGCTGGGACCGAACGACGGGAGCTCACCCCGCCGCGGGGATTCGAACCGCTGACCTTACGATCAGCAAGTCCTAGGCACTGAGGTTTTACCCACAGCGCCACCCACCTCTTCTAGGTCATGCCTAATAACTTCTTGTTTTCCTGACATATTACTCCTTGAAGGCAAGATGCCATCCTGCCTTGTTCTCTGATAATTCTTGCACTGACAGCATCTAATTCATAGGTTGTTGGATGGAGGGGAGTTATGCTGAACTTTAGCTGAGAACACGGATCCAGTCTTCCCCCTTGCTTGTTTTGCAGGAGAAACTAAAACCTGGGTACTTGGAGCAACTGCCAGGAAAGCTGAAACTGTTCTCAAAGTTCCTAGGGGACAGAAAGTGGTTTGCTGGGGACAAGGTATGTGCATGTCCACCTAGAGGCATCTGAAGGCAGGCTTGCTCCCTTTGGTGTCTCACTTTTGAGTCTCTTTCCAGATCACCTTTGTTGACTTCCTCATGTATGATGTCCTCGACCAAAACCGCATGTTTGAACCCAAGTGCCTTGATCAGTTCAAGAACCTTCAGGATTTTGTCTCCCGTTTTGAGGTTAGTGTTGTCTTCCCAAAACGTGCTTGCTTGCAGGTCTTTGCCTGCATCTTGTGACTTGGCTCATTAGCTTCTGGCAAGAAGCCACAAACTGATTGACTACAAAGTTCCAAACTGGCTAGAGCAACTGTCCAAGTTGGCACAAACAGGAATTTGCAAGAAACATTTGTCTGTTTCCTTTTTTGCACATAAAGGCCAGGGTTCTGAAACGTGCTTTGCTTCAGAGGGAGATGGTGGCAATTTCCCATTCATCCATTATTTCATATGTTCCTAGATGTGACTGGTAGCAAGGCAGTGGGTGCTAGCAATTAATTGACTCTGCTGAAAGGTCTTCACTAACATCTTTGTGGGCTATGAGAGAGAGGTTTTGTTTGTGTTCTTGCCCATCCTGTGTGATGATATAGATACTGCGGGAGCTCCTTCCTTCATGAAGTGATGGATTGCTCCAGAAGCCTCCTGGAATGTCTTATTTTGTACCAGATGGCTTAGCCCAGAGATTCAGATGCTTCCTGGTCAAATTGATTGTGACTGGAGTTCCTCAGCACTGTCACAGCAACACAGCTGGGTCATGTTGAGCTCAGTAGGTGAACACTTTGGCTGCTGTTGTTTTACACATGTAGCTTTTGAAATGCATAGGGGGTTGTTTCTCAGTGTTTTTGTACATAGCGGTTTGCTTTTGTACACACCTTTGCACCATAGGATCGTGTCAAGGGGCAGCTGCTATCGGTGTTGTCTGTACACATGGTTGGACCTGTCTTCAGACTACTGTGCAATGTATTTCTCTATTCTCCTCTCAACTAGAAGAGACAAATATATTCTGCTTCCTATTTTGCCAATCTCCTTTAGAGACGAGATAAATGCATTGAAGGAGAATGGCAATCACCTACAGTATCAGTAGGCCAGCCCCAACAGGAGATGACCTGAGAAAGAGCTCTCTGTGTACACATGTACACACGTAGAATGTGCTTGAGAAGTGCATTCTCAGCACAAAGCTAGTTATAATCATCCCAGCAGAATGTGCATTAGATTGTCAAACAATGTAGGACAGGGACAACATGGGGATTATATTGTGTGCAATTATTATTATTATTATTATTATTAATTATACCCCACCCATCTGGCTGGGTTTCCCCAGCCACTCTGGGTGGCTCACAGCACATATCAGAACATACTTAAAACATTAAAAACTTTCCTAAACAAGGCTGCTTTCTGATGTCTTCGAAAAGTCAGATAGTTGTTTATTTCCTTGACATCTGAAGGGAGGGTGTTCCACTGGGAGAGCGCCACTACTGAAAAGGCCCTATGCCTGGTTCCCAGTAACCCCACTGCTTGCGGAGAGGTAACTGCCAGAAGGCCATCAGAGCTGGATCTCAGCGTCCGGGCTGAATGATGATACCTGAAGGAGTGGGACTCCTTCAGGTATACTGGAACGAGGCTGTTTGGGGCTTTAAAGGTCAGCACCAATACTTTGAATTGTGCTCAGAAACATACTGGGAGCCAATGTAGGCCTTTCAGGACTGGTGTTATGTAGTCTTGGCGGCCACTCCCAGTCACCAGTCTAGCTGCCACATTCTGGATTAGTTGTAGTTTCTGGGCCACCTTCAAAGGTAGCCCCACATAGAGTACGTTGCAGTAGTCTAAGCAGGAGATAACCAAAGCATGCACCACTATGGTGAGACAGTCCATGGGCAGATAGGATCTCAGCCAGTGTACCAAATGGAGCTGGTAGACAGCTGCCCTGGACAGCTGTGAGTCCAAAATGACAGTGCCCCCCCCAAAGATGCCTACATCCAGCCTTAAACGCACATTACCACACAGGGTGTACACACTTAAAATATGGGAACTAAAATATGGGAACTAAGGTAAGCCAACCAACCATGAAGAATTGTGTGGTAGCCAATGCTATTCCTACCCAGACTAGACCCACTGAAGTTAGTGCGCATGACTGACTTGGGCTTATTAAATTCAGTGGGTCGTCTCTGAGTTAGAACTAGCATAGAATACAACCTGTGGCCTTCATTTATCACCTACCATTAAAGAAAAGTTTAACAAAGGAACATTAAAAAAAAAAAAATTCAGACTTGCCATTTTGGCATGAGCAAAACCAGTGCCAGTTGAGAGCAGTATCAGTTTTCCTAAGGCTTCTTCAACTTTTGTCTTACTGAGGTGGATTCTTTCACCCACATCCTTTCCTAAAAACATTCTTTTTCTGCACCTCCAGGCCCTAGAGAAGATTGCTGCCTACATGAAATCCAGCCGCTTTATGAAGACTCCCATTAATAACAAGATGGCTAAATGGTGTAACAAGAAAGAGTAGATGAAGAATAAAAATTTCCTTGCTGCTGCTAGACAAGAAGACTTCTTTTTGCCTTGAGTAGAGCTGATTGGATTGACTAAAGGCTGGCACACACCCCCCCCCCGGAATGTAGTACTCTTTCTATAGAATGGTTGGAAACTATTCTGTATTTTTAAAGCTGTAGTAGCCAATAAAGAATGATAATTCTTGTTCTGTTGAATGTGCCATCATACCTTTATTGGCCATTAATGTGTTGCTTTTATCTTGCTGTTCTGAGTGGTTGTATGAACATGTCTTGCCCATCTGTGGAAGAAGAGGGTTGACATTTCTGTTAAAGGTAAAGGGACCCCTGACCATTAGTTCCAGTCGTGACCGACTCTGGGGTTGGGGCGCTCATCTCGCTTTACTGGCCGAGGGAGCCGGCGTACAGCTTCCGGGTCATGTGGCCAGCATGACTAAGCCGCTTCTGGCGAACCAGAGCAGCGATCGGAAACGCCGTTTACCTTCCCGCCGGAGCGGTACCTATTTATCTACTTGCACTTTGACGTGCTTTCAAACTGCTAGGTTGGCAGGAGCAGGGACCAAGCAACGGGAGCTCACCCCATCATGGGGATTCAAACCGCCGACCTTCTGATCTGCAAGTCCTGGGCTCTGTGGTTTAACCCACAGCGCCACCTGCGTCGCTGACATTTCTGTTGGTCTCCTGCTAATTTGAGGTCTAGTGGCATTCTTTATATTCCTCTTCTGAATGCTTTCTTTTCTAGAGAAGGATTCCCTCCCTAGAGTGAGGCTGTTTGGGTTAAGATTTGGCTGCAGGTGCAAATGTAGCTTGTAGGGTTATTTTGTTGCTAAATCTAACCTACGGTGAGATAAGAGCACATGCCTAGTAGGAAGTACACAATTTTCACAAATATTTTTGAAAAGGTTCTGGACCAGTAGTTACTATACAGCAAAAACACAAGCAGTTGTGACACATTAAAGATTAAAATTTATTGGGTAGTTTGACACAAATGGAAACATTTAGGAACTAGTTGTAAAACATTCAATTCTCGCAGTGAGCTCCTCCACTCACCTTGAAAGTTCATGTTTTCCCATCAAAAATGGTACTGGGACACTAGGACATAGCTCTAACTTAAGAAAAGTTTGATTCTTTTTCTGGGAGACTAAATCAAGAATGTTTAGTTGGTCATAACACAGCCTTCCTAAACTTGCTACACTAACGTACTGCTGTGCTAATTTGTCCTACTCCTTATCTTGCATATATTTTGAGATTTGCACAGAAATTGCATTGACAATACCTCTTATTTTATGGCATTACAGCCCCACTATTTACAATTTTTTGTATGCACACAGCTGCAGAGGAAAACACTTCACCTTCTTGAAAATGGAAAATCATTAACATGTTCCTATTATGATAATTATGTAGTGGTTAAAGATGGCTGCTCTGGTGGATCATCCTGTCAAGAGAAGCAAGGAGAGAGGAGTTGGTGCTGGATAATCTCTAATCATTACATTTACCACATTTACAAACCTCTAACCTCTAAGAAGCTTGAGGTTATATTTCAGAATTGCTTACTTTATCCTTCATAATTGTTGAGCTTGATAACAGTGACTTTTCCCCAAGTGCTTCCCCATAAACTCTGTACTAGATGATGGGGCTAGATGATGATTTGGTCCCTGGAGCCAAAAAGGTTTCCCACCCCCAGTCTTAAAAGTGAGACAATCCTAAAACTGACACATTTAGTGCATAAGAGTGGGTCACTGGTCTCTTTGTCAGCTTTCTGTGGGGCTTGAAGAGAGAGAAGCTGGTGCAGGAATGCAACAAGCTATGCCTATGCTATCCCCCTGAATTAAGGAACTTGCTGTATAGGAACATAACACAAGTAGAAAACCCCTATGTTCTACTTGTGTATATCTCCCTGAATGAAGCACCCATGGTGTTCCTATAGTCAGGTGCCAACTTGAATAAAATATTGGGACGCCCTGTGTAATCGATCAAGAGACACACTGCTCACACACCATTTGAATGGCAGTGCCCATCAACTTTGGGGGGGGGGGCAAAGGGACCTCGGCCCCTAGGAGTTGGGTCCTATGCCTACATTCATCTCCACCAGGGAGAAACTGAGGCAATGGGAAACTGCGTAGCCTGTGCAAGAACACAATGGCATTGTGGCATTGTATCCAGTCAAATATTGCCTACAGGAGGGGAAAGGGGACTGGCTTTCAGCCTGAAGGCCAGGTTCCATCATGAGAAACTGTCTGGCGACTACATACCAATGGTGAGCTGGCCAGAGGCAAAAGTGGGTAGAGAAACAGGCATGGCTCTTAACAGTGAAAACAGACTCTGACCATAAAGGTTGAGAGGTTTTCACATGCACCCATGCATATCTCTCTATCCTCTGTCCAGGCAAGTGAGAGGCATCACCACAATCCAAGGACTATTCCAGCCAGGCAAAAACACTCAAGGAGGGTGCAAAGCAGCCTGAGGGGTGTGTGGCCTGGGAAGAGGCCACCCTATAGCATACTTCTTGCCACAAGACAGATGAGTGTTCTGTTGGAGGGTGTCTTACCTACAGTGCTGATTTAATGGTTGAAAGCATGAGAAAGACTCTTCCTCCTTCTTCCGGGCAAACTGCTTTCAGCTCCTCTCTGCTCAGTGACAGAATCTGGTTTCCGTCAAGGACTCCAAGGGCCTTCACTGTACTGTTGAAAGATGAAGGAAGAAGGGAAAGTGTTGTTGGGATTCGCAGGATGCTGAGTAAGTCTGCAGGCTTCAGCTTGCAACAGGCTGATGCAATACTCTGTGAAGTGCTGGGTCAGAATGACTCAGCAGTAACGTGATTGGCTGTCACCTGTTTTAAAAGAAAAGCCTGTTCAACAGTAATTGTGGTGCTGTGGCGGAGTGGTGTAGATGAGTGTGGAGTCCTCTTTTGCCTCAAGGTGCAGGTACTCTGTCTGAACTGCTTCTGTAAATATTTGTATATATATTTGGCTCACATTAAACAATACTGCACTAAAGAACCTGGGACTCTGAGCGTTCTGCTAAAAGCGCCGCGAGGAATTCGCGACAAGTGTACATGTGTGTGTGTGTGTGAGAGAGAGAGAGAGAAAGCATCAAAGCAAGGTGGCAAAAGATGGTACAGGCTTGAGACATCCCCAAAGAGAAGAGAACAGTAAAAGGTAAAAGGTAATGGACCCCTGGACAGTTAAGTCCCGTCAAAGGTGAATATGGGGTTATGGTGCTCATCTCACTTTCAGGCCGAGGGAGCCAGTGTTTGTCTGCAGACAGCTTTCCGGGTCATGTGGCCAGCATGACTAAACCGCTTCTGGTGCAACCAAACACTGTGACAGAAACCAGAGCGCATGGAAACACAGTTTACCTTCCTGCCACAGCTGTACCTATTTATCTACTTGCACTGGTGTGCTTTTGAACTGCTAGGTTGGCAGGAGCTGGGACAGAGCAACGGGAGCTTACAATGGGATTCAAACCACTGACCTTTCAATTGGCAAGCCCACGAGGCATAGTGGATTAGACCACAGCACCACCTCTTCCTCAAGCCTGTGCCAGGCAGAAGGTAGACTTTGCCACAAATACAGTGCTAGCTGACCAAGCAGTTTTTAGCCCACTTTAGTTTATATGCTTTTATCATTCTGTGTGAAAAAACAATTCTGTGAGATAAGTAAGGCTGAGAGACAGCAACTTCCTTAAATGGGTGACTGAGAATTTGAACCTGGCTCTTTTACATCCAAACCCATCACTTGAGCCTCTAGGTCACTTTTGGTTCTGCATGGCTCAGCAAACCTAGAACTGGATATTTCATACAGAACTCAGCACTGAGATCCTCTTTAAAACCACATTTTCATCTATAGTAGTGAAATCTCTGAAGCTTTGGTGAAATCTCTGAAGCTAGAGGGAGGCAGAACAGGGATTACAGCCGGGAAGAATTTCACTCCACTCTTGAGGATGGTTTTTTAGCCCTATGTACCATCTCTTATATTCACAACCTTCCCTTCTCCTGTTCTCCCTGAACTTTGCAAAAACCTCCATGTTCTTTGGTTGTAGAACATACTGTGCAAGATAATCAAATCACATTTCATTATTTCTGAGCTTTCCATTCGAGTCATCTTTATACAGAGTTTGGATTTTTTAAAATCCAGCGCACACCATCATCGTGATAAAGTATACAAGAGTGGCACTCCCTACTATTCCATTGTTTTTCAATGGAGAAATAACCAGACAATTTCTGAAACTGGCCCCAGACCATGATAATAGTGCCACTGTGATATCGGGCTTTGTTGATCTTCATGCCTTTTAAGTCTAAATTGAAAGTTTATTATCTTTGCAGGCAGTCTGCTAAGCTATGTATCAGAAACACAGCACCTAGGAAAGGGTGTGGGGCCGAGTTATTTGTTAGGGATAAGCTTTCTTGGGTCAGTTATTAATGCAGCACCTACATCTTGGAAAAACCTTTCATCCTGAGCCAAACTGTGACTTCTGCTGGTGAAGAACTGGGCCGGAGATCAGGGAAGTCTCTTGAAACCTTAATGCAGACACATGAGGAGAAAGATATTTAACAGAGAACAATGATTGCCTCCAACTAAAGGCTTACATCCTGAACAGCTGAGTGGCTGCAATTTTGGGTACTTAATTTTTCTTTCTTTTAGCTCTCAGAACCAAACTAGATATGAATTTGCATAGTTGCTTTAAAAAAAAATAAAAAGCTGGTGTTGGGGGAGGGCAGATTAAATGCTTTTTCTCTGCCATGGTCCTGACTGAAATCCATCACCACTCAGCACTTTCCCAGCACTGAGCATAGGGCTGCAGGTGGTTGTTGGGTGCTTGGCCCTCTTTGGCCAAGCTCTGCTTTTACCTGATCCACAGATATCGGCTATGGAGCAGGTGGATATGGCTTGCCTGAAATGGCTTCAGGGGCCCAATTGGGGAGGCCTGGTGGGCTGGAGTTACCCCACCCCTGCTTCTAATAGCTGCTTTTGTTGGAAAACCACTGCAGCTGGCCTTTTGAAATCCGGCAGGATTCAGAATAGGCAAGCTTGTTTGCAAATTTAATCAAATTTTTTTTGATTAAACTTTTTTTAAAAAACAACAACTGTACATGGTTCCTTAAAACAACAACAACAACAAGAACAACAGTAAATCACATTTCAGAGCTTTTCAGTACAAACACTTGTGAATTTCTTAGTCTGTAAATTGGCAAGCTTTAGCCACCATAGAGGGTTGGTATGCTTGCAAATTTCATCCGCTTCTGTGAAAAGGGGAAAAAATAGCCTATGTCCCAATATTGAACCGGGGGTGGAGGTGAGGAGAGAAATGAAGCAAAGGGAGTCCCATGCACAGCTGGCTCCCAGCAGTTGTTTGCAGAGCTACCTAAATTTCCTCTGGAGCACTTTCTAGGTTTCTGGTCATGCATTGCGTTGCCTCTTTTGAAGGGCAGACATTGATATGCTCAAAGACTGTGCAGAGCAGATGTATTTTACCAACTCATAGCTCCCTATCTCTGTGCCACTGCAATGCCATCCAGCACAATAAAGAATAGTACCTACTTGCTCTGCGTTGTTCCCATTAGGTGTCTTCTGTTCCATAGGCTCCAGGATATTGTTAGGGATATAGCCTGTCTCTCCTGCAGCATTTCTAGCAAGCCACCATTTTTTCCGTTGATCCAAAACCTAAACAAAGGAGAATGTGTGATTACTCCAAAACACTGCAACTGATTAAAATGAAATACCTGTGCAGTGGTACCTCAGTTTACGAACTTAATCCATTCCGGAAGTCCGTTCTTAAACCGAAACTGTTCTTAAACTGAGGCACGCTTTCCCTAATGAGGCCTCCCGCCGCTTGTGCCCTTCCACCGTTCGGATTCTGTTCTTAGACCGAGGTAAAGTTCACAAACCGAGACACTACTTCCAGTTTTGCAGAGTTCGTAAACCGAATAGATCGTAAACAGGCCTGTTCTTAAACTGAGGTCCCACTGTATACTGCCTTTGAGTTCTAGTGAGGGTGGAATGTAACCATGAGAAAGGAGATATCAGTGATGTTAGTACAAGCCAAGGGCTACCCACTTAACTTTCGAGTTCCATAATGCAGGATAGTAAACCAGCCTTTAGCAAGCTGGTGATCTCCAAGGGTGGAATCCAACATAGCACCAAGTCCCATGTCCCATCAGTACAATAATTCTTGCTTGTGCAATGTAATCTTCTCCCTCACTAGAGGAGGGAGAAAGTCTGTTGCACTGATGGAACATGAAAAGCACTGCAGTTACTTTGGACTACAGCTCCCATCTCCAAGAGCTGGAGCTCTTGGGAGTTGGAGTCCAAAATATCTGGAGAGCATGGCATTGGCAAAGGTTGCATTAAGCAAAAATTATCAGTGAGGCAGAAATGGAATGAGCTAGTTGGAACAGTGAATCATCAGAGATATTAAGAAAAGGTTGGAGAGACTTCTCTCTTTGGGTGGGAGAGGTTCTATTGTCTACTGATTAGCTTCCAGCTCCAGAGTCCATCTACAGCAAGAGCGATTTATTGACAAAGATTAGGGTTCAAAGTCTTTAACCCTTTAACCCTGTCTTTTCTTTCTAATAAGCTCATGCAACATTGCTGAAACCACTGCTTGATAATGGGAATTATTACCCTATTCCCATTGATCTGGTTTCCCCCCCTTCCTGACCTGCCTGAGTCATGATTGGGCTGCAATCATTTGGAGTGCACATGGGTGCAATTAAGCAACAGGGCAGGAGGCTTGCTGAGCTTATGCAGAAGGAATAGCTGTCCATGGAGGTACAGGTCAATTTTGTGTCCAGGGCAGCTGTTTATCAGCTTCATTTGGTACGCAGGCTGAGACCCTACCTGCCCACAGACTGTCTCGCCAGAGTGGTGCATGCTCTAGTTATCTCTCGCTTGGACTACTGCAACATGCTCTATGTGGGGCTACCTTTGAAGGTGACCTGGAAACTACAACTGATCCAGAATGCGGCAGCTAGACTGGTGACTGGGAGTGGCTGCCGAGACCACATAACACCGGTCTTGAAAGATCTACATTGGCTCCCAGTATGTTTCTGAGCACAATTCAAAGTGTTGGTACTGACCTTTAAAGCCCTAAATGGCCTTGTTCCAGTATACCTGAAGGAGCATCTCCACCCCCATCATTCAGCCCAGACACTGAGGTCCAGCGCCAAGGGCCTTCTGGCAGTTCCCTCACTGTGAGAAGCCAAGTTACAGAGAACCAGGCAGAGTGCCTTCTCGGTAGTGGCACCCACCATGTGGAATGCCCTCCCACCAGATGTCAAAGAGAAAAACAACTACCAGACTTTAGAAGACATCTGAAGGCAGCCCTGTTCAGGGAAGCTTTTAATGTTTGATGTATTACGGTATTTTAATATTTTATTGGAAGCCTCCCAGAGTGGCTGGGAAAACCCAGCCAGAAAGGTGGGATATAAATAATAAATTGTTATTATTATTGAAAGTGCTGTTTTTACCAGGAGGTTAGTTTGCTGAAGGGTAAGGAACTTCTGTCTTACCTCTAGGAGATCTCCTTTCATCAATGTGAGCTCCCTGGGGTTTCTTGCATGGAAGTCACATATGGCTTGCATAAGTTGGGGAGCATCAGATGCCCTGATGAGAGCAGGAGATGAGAGCAGGAGAATGGAAAATGAGAGGCCTGCTTTAGGACTAGAATAACGTGTACATATTCACATACAGGCATATACATGGCTGATAGAATCATTTTCTGATTAATTTCTGTGTAGGGATAATCAAGGGGACTCAGAATTGTGAGGATATAGACTCCTGAGACAAACACAGTTTTTTCTATGTGCTGTTTTGCTGTTGGGTTCAATGGGATTTGCACATGTCCACAACCCTAAACTTTATCTCCTAGTACTTTGGTCATCTCATGAAAAGAGAAGACTCTCTGGAAAAGACCCTGGTGTTGGGAAAGATTGAGGGCACTAGGAGAAGGGGACGACAGAGAACTAGATGGTTGGACAGTGTTCTCGAAGCTACTAACATAAGTTTGACCAAACTGCGGGAGACAGTGGAAGACAGGAGTGCCTGGTGTGCTCTGGTCCATGGGGTCACGAAGGCTCGGACACAACTAAACAACAACAAGAACGTCACATGCTAGAGCCAGTAAGAGAACATACCTGCTTGAGAAGCTACTCCGGCTTTCTGTGCGGACCTGTGTGGAGGAAAACACAAGAAATGTATTGGATATTTAAAAAGCTTATTCTGAGTCAAAGCCACTGCTCTTGCTCATTAAATTCATGTGCAGAGACAGCAGCAGAATGATGTTATCCTTTGTCATCGCTAGTTACCAGGGAAACACACAGTTCCCCCTTGTGTTTCAGTACTACAGGTTGCAAGGTCTACTTCTGCTTTTCATGTGCTTTTAAAGGAGAGATTCACCTTATCGAAATCAACAGAGCTCTGCCTCCGAGTGGGCATCGGCGGCACCCATCCACTCAAGAACGTGGGCTGGTAGCTGGGGATGGATGGTCCCTCTGGATGTTCTGCCCTATGGGGGAAGAAGAGAACTTGTAGTGAAGGGCCTTCCAAAATGCGAAGGTGCATCCTGCTACAGATGTGGAGCCAAGGATGTTTCTCGCAATGCAGGATATTAAGTCCATGACCTTTTCTTCAGACTTCCTGCTGGAAATTCACTTGCGTGGCAGAGTTACTTGTACTTTTACACACTTTCAAGGTGTGACTCAGAGCTAGGGTCAACAAAAGACATAGTGCAGCTGCAAATGAAGAACATAATCAGAGTCTTGCTAGATCAGGCCAAAAGACCAGTTGTCTGTTTCCAGCGGTGGCCTGGCAGATGCCTCTGGCCAGGTTCCTGCTACAGTGAGATATGTCACTGGAATGTACTCATTAATGTCTATCATTAAGTTCAAATGGCATGCTGCTTTGCACATGCTAGCTCCTTTGTGGGCTTTATCCGTACCTGCTTAGATTCCAAGCATCTCCCAAATTCTTCCAAATAAGCTGGTCTTTGGAATCCAACGAGCACCTTAGCAAGTCAATTGCTGCAGGAATCAGCAAAGGTGAGGACACCGTAGAGGCCAAGTTGGTCCAAGGACAATTGGACAAAACCTGCAAAGCAACAGCATATGAGATCATGGAGCCTGACAGTATCTTTGTCCCTGCCCAGTGTGGTCAGGTCTCCAGGAAGACTTCTTCTGAACATAAGCTCATAAGAACCCTTTGTTGTGCCCAAAGAGAGGACCAAAGGTAATACTATTCATCTCTCTACTGCCTCCTTCTAGGGATCTCAAGGTTTTAGGAATTTTCTTCACAGGTATCATTTGGCGATTGTCCCCTTTCATGCAGAAAGTGAGATATATATAATAGTGCTTGGGGGGCATCAAGGTCACCAACAAATCAGGAGCAGGTTAGGAGTAAAATGCATGGAGTCCTTAATCCAAGCACTATGAAATCTAATTATTATGGCACAGGAAAATCCATAGCAGAGTTTCAGTGGCACACACTGATATAGCAAATAATATCTTTAATAATAATGGGGGAGAGTAGATTACCACCAGAGGCCTCCAGGAGTCTGTTCCTGGCTAGAATACTCACAATTTTCAAAGTGGAAAAGATGAGCTGAACCATCTCAGGAGCGCTTGGTTGCTGCATTGTATGTTCAAGTTTTGCCTGGGGGGGAAAGGCAAGCTAATATTTACACTGTTAATATATTTCTCCGGGTGGCATTTAACTTTTTCTCAGAGCAGACCTATCAAAATGCACATGACTAAGTTAGGACCATTAATTTTAATGCATGGAGCTGCAGAAAGCTTGCTTCCCCACCCCTTAGCAAAAACACTGTTTCAACTTTCAGTTGCTCTGTGGTGGCAGAGACTAGGGAGTGGCACTCTTCCCCTTCCCAATCAATGGCCCGAGGACCATGAAACACTGGGTAGCGGCACCATTTCTGCCCAGTGCTACCACCAGCAAGGGGAGATCAGCCTGGCCTCCTTCAACTGGATGTTGATGCCTGCTACCAAAGCTTGTCTACTGTGGGACAGAATGAGGTGGCTGCCTCAGGTGGCAGCTGCAAATAGGGTGGCAGGAGTCAACACAGCTGTGTGTGTCGTCATGTGCTACCTAAGCTAACCTGCTTCCCTCAGGTGAGGTGGAGGATGCTGTCTGATTGCCAGTGTGGAAGTAAGGTCAACTGCTGCCAATCTGGCTGGCTTCTGTACATGGAATGGGGGAGGTGTCACCTTGTCCTTTGCCTCAGGCGGCAAAATGACTTGGGCCTGCTGCCTGTAAGCAACTCATCCCCTTTTTTCTGGCACTGTCAAATATCCTCTCCCTTCTCTATCTTTCCTCTCCACTTCCCTTTCCCTCTATGTCTTGCCTTTAAGACTGAAACTACACATGGTGTTCTGTTATCTGTCATTCCCTCTTCCCTCACATCTCTTCTCCTTCCCCCCTGGGAAAAGGGGCAAGTTGGATGAGAAAAGTCGGTAGAGAAAAAAGAGTTAGTGCCCAACCAGCCTCCTGTTAGGAACTGAAACTTGGGCAGCTAAGAGAGAAAATGAAGAAAAACATTGTCAGGATGAGGCTTGCCCTTCCTTTTGAAAAACACTGTTCCTAATTGCACTTGCTAATTGTAAAAATGGCATGTCATCTGGTTTGTCCCTTAGACTGTGGCTCACAGGGAGGACCTGTGTCTTTTATGGAGAATGCCTGCCAGCGGCATTGTGTATTGAATTTTAATTGCTTTGGGAAAAGGGGTTTTTTTTCCCATCTGGAAAGCAGGTACAAAATATAATCAATGGATACTATTTGATCCTTTATCCATCTCCGTACTGGTTCACATCCCTATTCCCCACCTTCTCCTATCCATACATTCCTTATCCTGCTCTGGTGGGTCAAGATATCTCCAAAACAAATCCACCGTGAGCCTCTCCATTTGCAATGAATGGCTGCAGCAGGACACAATAGGGCTCTTTGTGCATCTGCCCTAGTTGCTCCGCGCTTGGGAGGCCGGGCCTTCAGGCGGGGGAGATGCCTCTCTCTTCAGATACGCGGCCAGCCCTGCTCATGCTGGAGAATTTCCTTGCCAAGTTTGTGCAGGCTGTACACTGACCTACCAGCAAAATGAAGCTGTATTTGATCTTCTGGAAACAGTCCTTGAACTCAGACTCCGGAGGCGTTGCTGCAGATCCAGAGAAAGAATCAGTCAGTCAGCTCAACCAGAAACAAACAGGTGTTACAGGTAGTGTTACTCATGTAGAAGCCTTTGTTTATCTAGGCTCTTAATTTATGGGCTGGTTCATAGCATGAACACATGCACACAGCTTTCAACCCCTATTCACAATCCAGATACGCCAAAACAATTGGCAGGTAACATGAACAGAAGCTGGTTTGATCCAGATAGCCTCAATGGGACAAAGTCAGTTTAAATCCAAGAGACTGGCTTTGCTAGCCGTGGGTGTGGTCAGCATATCTGTCAACGTTTCCCCCTTTTTAAGGGAAATTCCCTTTGCAAGAAAAGGGAAAAGTTGACAGCTATGGTGGTCAGCATAGCATAAGTAAAGATCACTGCCTTACTGTCCTTCCAGTCCATAGATGGGGAAGCTGTGTTTCTCCAGATGTTGTTTGGCTCCTATCTCCCCTCAGATAAGGTGGCAAATGGTGTGTGATTATGGGAGCTGTAGTCTTGCAGCAACTGGAGGGCCACAGGATTCCTAGCCTAATCCCAGTTATTGAGGTTTTCAAGCACAGTGCAGATAGTTTGCCTAATAAAAGACAAACCCTTTTATTCCTTTCGTCTGACACTTGCCCACTCACCCCACATCTTTGCACAGGCTTGTTTTACACTGAAAATCCAACCAGTGCCACATTTATTGCAAGAGTTTCCATTGCTCCCAGAAGCTCTCAATACTAATTCACCAAAGACATATATTTTATTGTCAAGTTGGCTTATGGAGATATGTATGTTTGGTAGGTACATCTGGTAGCTGTGAGTTTGGGCCTGTTTTAAAAATAGCTCCCGAAAAAGAGCTAATTTTAGGAGAGGCATGGGGAAAGTGTGGGAGATTTTACGCAGCTAATCGTAACTGTGCATAATTGTCAGTAAGAAAGGGGTTAAAGAACACAGAGCTGTAAATTTCTAGGCAAGGGGAGGGAGGAAGTATGGTTTGTTTCCTGTTCCCCTCTCTCTGAACCATGCAAGCAAAGCACATTTCTGAGGCTGGGACTCTAGACTCAGACTGTGTGTTTGAGACTCACTTTTGTATTTTGCAAACAAATATACCTTGCCAGTGTTGTTTCTGCTGTAGCATTGAACAATGCATGAGAGAGACCTGTGATTACTATAAGTAAAACATTTAAACTTACTAAAGCTTGTGGTCTCTTCACTCTGAGAGGGGTAGAGGCAGGGGAGAATGCTTAATACTTGGACATTTAAAGGTCTAACAACCTACAGTATGTTTCCCCTGCTTTGAAAATGCTGTTTTAAACTCTGCTGAGGGCTGTTTTGGCTAAAGAGTGAGTTAAGCCCCCCCCTTTTTTAATTCAGTGAGTCATCTATTTTTCTTTTGCAGTTCCCTACACACATGGGACTTCAGGATTAACTGACATTCCCCAGTTATTTCCCAACAAAAAGGGACCAAAATAAAATAAAATAGAATATTAAAGACCAATGTTATATCTGAAGTAGGAAAACAGTGAGTTATGGTTCAACCTTCAGCTGTCAAAGGAGCTCTAAGGGCAGATAAGGAGACAGAAAATAAGCGATCAAATCTGCATAGAATGTTCATATTTCTGCAAGGACATGAAGTGTCCCCATGAATGAATTACTTGGAATCCAATCTCTATCTCACTATCCTGAGTGCATCGGATATAAAGAAGCCACCCACTCACTAGCTCACAGGCTCTTCATTAAGTTGAAAGTGTAGATAAGACAGAACGTAACCAAGCAACTGGCTTATGGCTCAACACAGCTGCCAAGGCTAATCCTCCACAGGCCTTGGCCAGCTACAGCAGCTGCTTGGAAATTTTCCCTGTCCTAGCAGACACCCTGATCCAAAGTGCACAAGCCATCCCTGGTGGACATCATCAAGAATAGCTTCTGTGAACTTCGTGAACCTGTGACCCTCCAATCCAGCACCTAGAGGTGCCAGTGTACCTGATAATATCTTCAGTGACTGCAAAAACCCACAAAAAATATTCTGTCAACAATCCGCAACGCATAAGATACTGCTTGCTTTTTCTACTCAGTTCCTGTTTGCGCTGGCTGGCCTCTCCTACAAAAGTCCATCCTCCCTTAAATATGCTCATGTTTCATTGAATGCCAGGATTCGATGCCCACACCATTCTGAACAGTGGAGAGGGGCTTTGAGCTTTTTTTTTTTTGAGTGATGCCACAGTGGCTGACATGGGTGCCTTTCCCTACTATTGACTGTGGTCCTGTTGATTTTTCTATGTAATAATAATAATAATAATAATAATAATAATAATAATAATAATTTATTATTTATACCCCGCCCATCTGGCTGAGTTTCCCCAGCTACTCTGGGTGGCTTCCAATCAAGTGTTAAATCAAGTACATTGTCTATGTCTTGTTATTGCACTGTTACTGCCAAAGAGGGGGAGAAAACCCATGAGATTATCTGTCTCAAGTACCGCAGGATCTTGACATCACTTCAGCAGTACGTACCTTGGCCTGGTGTTAGGGTAGGGTACTGTTCTTCAACCTTGGGCTCCTGGATGTTCTTGGACTACAACTTCTGTCACCCATGACAGTTGATGGGAATTGTAGTTCAACAACATGTGAGGGACCCAAGGTTGATGCACGCCAAGGCAGGCATTGTCATATATTGATATGCTTAAGGCAGAAAAATGCTTGGGGTCAGAACCTCATGGCGACCTCTTTGCCATTCTTATTTACCCTCTTTGCTTTTATTCTTTTTCGACTTCTTCTTCTTCTTGTCATTCTGGGATCTACTGGTCTCCTGTACTTTCCCTACAAACGTTTCAATGTCATCCAAGACATGGTTCAGGATCTCCTGTGGCCAGCAAAGGAACAAAAATAAATAAAAAAAAAATTAAATCAGACACTGCATCAAAAGCTGTTTCTCAAGGAACCACCAGAAGTTCAAATTCTCTCTCTCTTTTTTTTAATAAAAAAAAGAATTATTTATACAACAAGAAAAACAAACAAACAAAAAACACAAATACCGAATTACACACAAATTACAAAAATAACCATAGACACTTAATATTCTTAGCAAACAATAAAACATCTATTGGTCTTAACACTAAAGACCCAACCTCCCATCTATTCCATACTTCAAATTCATATTACTTATTGCCAATACACTTTTTTTTTCATAATTAAACTTATTCTCATTAAATCTAATTTCTTATATCTACCTTGCAACTATTACTGAAGTTCCTCGAATGCTGCAACAGAATTTAAACTACTATATTTATTTTTCAGATATTCTTTAAAAACCTCCCATTTAGAAACAAATTCCTGTTTTGATTTATTTTTTATGATAAACCATCTAATTCAGCATATTCTGTCAGCTTTTGGATCCAATCTTGAATAGAGGGATTTCATTACTCTTCCATTTTGCTGCGATCAAAACTCTTGCTGCCGCCGTCGCATATAAAAAGATACCCTTCCTCTTTTGTGGAATATCCAAATCTGTTATTCCCAGGAGGTAGGCCTCTGGTTTTTTATTGAAAGAGATCTTTAGCATTTTTGCAGTTCTGCATGTATACTCTCCCAGAATACCTGTATTTTCCTACATATCCACCACATATGGTAGAATGTTCCTGAGTCTCCGCATCTCCAACAATTACTTGATACATTTTTATACATTTTTGAAAGCTTCCATGGTGTTAGATACCATCGATGTTGCATTTTTGAAAGTTCTCTCTAATCGTGTAACAATTTGTGAATTTCCAATTGATCTTCCATAAATTTTCCCATTGGGCCATGGTTATTGAGTGGCCAAAATCCTGGGACCACCTCACCATTGCCACTGTTACCTCCTCCTCCTTGACTGTCCAGTCAAGGAGGAGTCGGTAAGTTTTGGAAAGAGTTTTTCTTTTAGAATTTAGAAGATCAGATTCGAATCGGGAAATTTCTGTTGAGAACCCCTTTTGTTTGTCAGATTTAAATTTTTCAAATAACTGATGGTATTGGAACCATTCTGAAATATGGTCTCTTATTTCCTCAAAGTTTTTTAATTTTATTTGGTTATCTTCATTTTTAGAAGTATTTTATATGTTGGCCAGCTTTCCTGAGTATTTTTCCGTTTTACTGCTATGGCTTCTACTGGAGAAGTCCACCACGGGACTTTAGGCTCCATCAGGTCTTTATATTTTTCCCATACAGCAAAGAGTGACTTTCTTATTATATGGTTGGTAAAGTTTTTATGAATTTTCGCTTTTCCATATATTAGGTAGGCGTGCCATCCCCAACGGTTGTCAAAACCTTCCAGGTCCAGGAGGTCCGAATCCTGCAACGTGCACCAATCTTTTAGCCAGGTGAAACATGCTGCCTCGTAGTAAAGTTTTAGGTCGGGTAGGGAAAAGCCTCCTCTCTCTTTTATGTCTATTAAGATCAGGTGTTTAATCCTAGGTTTCTTCCCTTCCCACAGGAATTTGGAAATTTCTCTTTGCCATATCTTGAGACAACCTGCTTCGCCCAGTATTGGAATCATTTGAAATAAAAAGATTAATTTTGGAAGCACATTCATCTTTATAATGGAAATCCTACCCAGAAATGTTAATTTTAGTTTACTCCAGGTTACAAAGTTTTTTCTAATCTCTAACCAAGTTTTGGTGTAATTATCCTGAAATAAGTTTATGTTCTTGGGGGGTGATCCAAATACCCAGGTATTTCGCTTTTGAGGAGATTTTCAGGCCCAATATTTTTCTAAATCGTCCTTTTCTTCTGTGGTTACATTTTTAACAAGCATTTTTGTTTTTGTTATATTCAGCTTGAAGCCTGCCACTTCTCCAAATTCTTTAATCAATTCCAGCACTCTTTTCAGACTTTCTTTAGGGTTTTCAGTCAGTCTGTTATGACAGAAGTTCAAATTCTCACAGCCATCATTGGAGACTTTGTTTTATACTGGCTGATTATCTGTCATTTTTGCTTTGTTTGGTCTTCAGCTCAAGTCTGGGAGAAAAGTCTCAGACAAAAGAGCAGGTAAATTAGTCATACGATACATTTGGCTATCACAAATTACTCCCGGACCAAGGGTTATAGGGTTATAGGAATCCGTTAATGTTTGTAAGGTTGGCTCCTAACTGCCCATCTTCCTGACTCTCTTCTATCCGACAAACCAGTTTTTGAGCTATCTGTCAATATCTGCTCAGCAGAAGTGCTTCTTGACTGCACAGTGTTCTTCAAAGTAGCCCAACTCATGTCTCTATCCAATAGGCATTCATATCACACCATTCATTCATTATTTTATTTGTATGTTGCCTTTCCATAGTTAAAGCCATGCTCAAGGTGGATTACAATATAAAAAAATACTTAATTACAAAGATAACAAAAGTAATCATGAACAATAAATAAAACCTCAAAAAGCACACAGTCAAATTGAAAAGGTTCCACACTAAACACATTAAGATTTAAGATAAAGATACAACCCCCCCTCTCTCTCATCATCTCAATAATAGCAAAAACAAAAACCCCTAAACAATGCCCCAGCCCAAACGTCTGTTTAGCAGCCTCAGCTTTTGTAGCTGGAGTCAGCCTGAGCCCTCCCCTCCCAGACCAGTTGGAAAAAGGCCTCCAAGGCAGGGAGCTGGTCTTCCAGGTCTCACAGCCAAGAGATGCCCCTCTCCCTCTGTCCAATCAAGCTCTCAGACAACACAGCTTTCCTGCCCTGCTTAATCAAATAATCCCCCCTGTTATCAGTGCTTGAGGTTCCTACCCTCTAGAAAGACAACGGGGAAAGAGGTTGAGTTGGGGGCTAGCAGGAGGTGGTATCCGGGAAAGTACTTACAGCATCTCTGTCTGTGTCTTGCATCATTGGAGGTCCAGGGTCTTCATACATTGACTCATATTTCTGCTGCTGGTGAAGTGGCTGTTCTGCTTCTGCAACAGAGTCCCAAGATCAATAATAATAACAATAATTTATTATTTATACCCTGCCCATCTGGCTGGGTTTCCCCAGCCACTCTGGGCAGCTTCCAACAAAATATTAAAAATACATTAAAACACCAGTCATTAAAAACTTCCCTAAACAGGGATACCCTCAGATGTTTTCTAAAAGTCAGATAGTTGTTTATTTCCTTGACATCTGATGGGAGGCCATTCCACAGGGCAGGCAGCACTACTGGGAAGGCCCTCTGCCTAGTTCCCTGTAACTTTGCTTCTCGCAGTGAAGCAAGACATACCACATCAGGAAGCAGGGCAACCATTTAACATGTTGCACTATCCTGCACTATCTCTGCAGCTTTCTTATGACACCTGGAAGCGTAGATTTGATCCAAGGTGGGAAGAGTGCACCCAATTATTCTCTCCGCAGTTTTTACAGCCCTGGACAGCATTGTTTTTTCCCTGACTGTGCAGCTCCCAAACCACACACACAGACCTTAAGTTAATACACTCTCAACAGTACAATGGTACTGTTACAGGCCCATGTCGTAAAAGCGTTTGCTTGTGCTCACCTTCACCCTCCTCAAAATCTGCTTTAGAGGGTTGGGGTGAATCCCTAGAACAGATTTAGGGGGATGCAGGTGGAGGAGTGAAAGTCCTTGCACTAAAGAGACACGTTATGCAGTGCTACTTTGGATACAACCCATAGGCATTTATTCTTGCTTAGGAGATACAATGTCTCCTCTGACCGCTTCCTGATGCATTATGAGAGTGGGAGCTACAAATGCTGCTGCGTGTTGCAAGAGAGACTGTAACGTCATCATTACCATAGTCCACAGGGACTGGGCCAGCTCTCCAAGGATGTTGCTGCTGCCTCTGCCAAGGCTGTTGTGCTGGAGAAGGCATATGGTTCGGCTCCATTGGCCCTACTGGTCTTCTTTCTTGGGAGATCAGTGGGGATTTGTCAGTACGTGATGATCGGCTCTGCTGGTACAACATATTCTCCAGGTTGCTCCTGATAAGATAATTGAGAATAAGTACATTCTTAGGAAAGCAAGAATGAAGGAAAACCTTGGAAAATTCAGCACTGAACCTGAACCTAAAGGAACTGCAAGAGCACTGGTGGAATCTGCCTGGGAGAATTTGGATAACAAGAAATCACCGAAAAGTGTGAGAAAAAGCTTGTGAACATGGGAGAGAGGGAGATGACACATGCTTAACAGACAAGTGAGGCAGAGATTCACAGCCTAACAACTCAGTATGATTGGGTTCCAGGTGGCCAGTAGAAATAATATATTTCTCTATGGCTGGGATATATCTTACGTTGACTTGGGGGAGAAGTCTCTCTGGACTGAGGAGTTCTGCATTGATAATGATTATGCACAAGTTAAAATCTAGCAGGCTTCTGGAGAAAGAAAGGTTTGGCTGTCCAGACCACAGGCCTCTAAATTTCTCACTACCTGAGCAAGTTGTGATTCTGCTGTTCATCTCTCAACTCCTCAACGGCCTTCTCCACTTTGGTTTTCAGCAGCTCAGCCTGGAGGAAAGTAAAAGCAAGTCTATCACTTTTTACAACCATTCACCAGCATCTACCAAAGTTCCCCTGAAAATATCTTCCTCTAATCTCAGCTTCAGGCATGCTCTGAGCTGGAACTCCTGCTACTACTGTGGTGCACAGGGAATAGAAATCACTCTCAATTTCTATGGCAATAGCAGCAGTAATGAGTTCCCTATACCCTTGGGAGGAAATCTGTCATCAGTTTATAGAACTCCTCTTAGCTCATGGTAGTGCAGGATGGAGGACACGTACTTGAGTGATCCAAGTTGTAGTGAGTACAGGGAACTTCTACAACGCAGTTCTTACTCTCAGATTCTCCCTCCCTCCCTCCCTCCCTCCCTCCCTCTTTCTTTCTTTCTTTCCATCCATCCACCTTGCACACAGATACATGGATAAAGGTCAAACGACACATGTTAATGTGTGACTGCAATGATTGTGTTTTAAATCACAACAATGGGAGGCAATGAGAATCAGGAGCACAATGAGATATTTTTGCTCTTGTCCCATGGTCCTGGCAGAAACCCCTCCCCACCCCAGCTGCTATTTGCCACAGGAGGAAAAAAAACCCTACCAAATAGCAGCTGGGTGGGTGTTCAGGGGAAAAGTTCCCCATGTGTCATGGCCCCACCATGACTATCTAAAAAGACACAGTAAATGCAATCTTTCATTTCATGGAACATACAGGTTGTTCTAACCCCCCTCCCTGCCCAGGTCTCTTCCTTCCTCTGGGCCCTGAAGTTGCTCACCCCAATCTGCTCGCACTGAAACAGCATGATGCTAGTCCTGGATGGTCTCATTTCTTTCACAGTGATGGCCAAGATGGAGTTGTAGATGCAGCTGTCCAAGACACAGGCACATTCCTGGATATATTCCAGGGGGTAACTATCCAGCTCTTCCTGTAAGCAAAGAAAGAAATCAGTGTACAGTCAGCAGCAGTGCAGGCCATTGGGGATTCCCTGGCAATCAATCCTATCACAATCTTCCAGGTCTGAAGGATGGGGTGGGGAGCTCTACAAGCCAACCTGTGACAGAGCGAGGACGATCTGCTGAGACCAGCTTGACTTTTAATCATTTTTGATGGTAATACCATAGGTATATCTTTAGCTGGTGTGAAAGGCAGTATAGAAATGTTTTATGAATAAATGTATAAATGAGTATTTAGAGGTCTGGTCCCTTCCAATCAAGATGTGGACTCAGTTACTTATCACAACTTGTCCCCCGCTGACATTACATGGTGTGCACAATAAGATAAAGCAGCTCTGCTTACCTCTGCCTCAATGTCAGTCAGCAACAATCTGTTATCCTTCACCTGCAAAAGCATGTCTTGTCCCCACACCTGACCTTGGGCATCCATCATCTTGAGTCGGTTAATACAGTTCTCTACATTGCTAATTTCCTTGCCATCAACACTGCAGGTAAGAAGGTGCTGGGAATAGAAGCCATAGTTTAATTGTTGCAGCAGGTAATCAGGACACTCCACCCCCACATAAACAGTTTCCATGGAAGGGACCAGGAAGTATTGCATTGAATGGTCCTCTATGCTGTGGTGTATTAAGGCTCTACCCTTTCTATGAAATTATAAGGGCTGTAAGCTGAAAGCTTTAGTTGAACCATTGGTGGAGGAAACGCTTATCTACTGGGGCAAATTATAATTAACTGAGTAGTGTGTTTATTTCTAGTGATAATTTGGTCCTAGTATGTTACTGCGAAAAGGAATGAAAGAAAATATTAAAGATGCTCATTCTTCCTACTATCTCAGAAAATCCTACACAGATGTTTCAGTGGTATACAAATATATTTAAATTTAATTGATTGATTAACTGGATGATCAAAAAGCAGATGATTTTTCAGCTAAGTATTTTTAAATTGTGTAGCAAGTATAGCCTTCTAGTGCTGGACCTCAGGGTAACTTCAGGTCTGAGAGACTAGGACCTGAGCTCCTTCTGTGCACAGTAGTCAGGAACTCATGGTTCATTTGTGTGACGATTTTATTGGATTGCCCTGTGGTGAATTATGGACCTGCTGGTGGCAATCTTCTTGGTGGAAAACCTTCTGGTCCTGGCCTGGCTCTACCCACTCAAGCTTCCCATTGAATCTTCCTGGGCAGGAAGGAGTATAAAAGCTTTCTTTGAACAATAAGGATTTCCTGAGCTCTGATGCGCTCCTGGCTACTTGCTTCCCCCACAGCTCTTGGCTCCTCTGCCCATGGCTCAGCCTTGAGTGAGGGAGCAAGTGGGATCACAGTTGGCATGTCCTGTCCCTGCCTAATCCACATTCATCTGAATGAATGATGAGAGCCTCTGCACATATAGTCTGGAGCGGTTCCCCATTTCTGTGGAGAAAGCCTTATTCATGTAGGTTTTCTTTTAACACATTCAAATTAATGTGTGTAGGTTGGGAATGGTGCGTGATGCTGTGATTCTGCTCCCTTCACCAAACATGTTCCTTTGAACACGTGTAGGAGATGAAAGTCAGGGAATGGGCGACCCACATGGGATCTCCTGTAGGAGAGAGTATGAGGCCACCAACATGATGGGAATTGTGTGGCACCACCAAGTTTAGGAACTGGCACCACTGCATGGGACCAGTTCATTCTTCCACTATGACTGGACAGAATGAGATGTCTCTGCTTCCCCAAGCTTTTCCTACCTCCACGCGGTGCTGGAATTCATGTTGGTGCTTTATCATACTTTCAGTATATTCCTTCCGCTGGTCTATGAGAGCAAGAGAGAGAGAGAGAGAGAGAGGAGGCACAGTATGAAGAAATCAACTTCAGTATCCCCAGATGTAAGGGAATCCTCACTTAAATATATGAATCCAAACCTCTGTATGAGGTTTGTACAACCTCTTGTACAAATATCAGGGAATTCAGAATGGTCAAATAGCTTTGGCTCCAACGATTCATAAGGAAGGCATCTTGGAAGGAGTTTCTCGTGTGGCCAATGAGTTGCAAGCAAGTGCGTAAGTTGGAGCAGGGCCGTCCCTATTATTAGGCAGAGTGTGGCAACTGCCATAGGCAGCAGACGTTTTGGGGAAGCAGCATCCAGATCCCTACCTGTACCCATTAGTTGGAGGGCAGAATTGTGTGTGCCACACCGCCTGCCACCACATTGGCCTGAGGTGTAGTGGCAGACACAATCATATTGCCAATACCAAAAGAAACTCCAACTGCCAGTCCAGTTGACTTCTGCACCATCTTCACCTTTGCCTTAAGCAGGAAGATGTTATGAGACCTTACTTCCTAGGTAATCCTTGGTCTTGCTTTACATCACCCTCCCCACTACCTCATCCCTCCTGGTAAACAGCAGGAGGTCAGGTAATCATCTCTGCTTCACCATGTGGTCTACTACAGCCCTATGGCTTCATTGCTGGGTGATTAGAATGGATGTGTGGCTTCTATTAATATTGCTCCAATGTCAAATGATTAACTGTGCAACTAGGGAGAATTTCTTATTTTTTATTGACAAGCAGGAAGGTGGGGATGGGGAGCTCTCCACCCTTCTAACTAGCTTGTTTGTGAGGGACGGCTGATCTCACTGCTGTCTGAGGAGGAGAAGAGAAATCATAAAGGAAAGTGGCAACTATATTACTCTAAGGCCAATCCCTCAGGTAAAAAGCGTTCTAATACTGCTGTGACAGAAATAGGAGAGGACGCAGGTGGCATCTACAATTTGGTTATCTCTCCCCCCCACTTCCAATATGAGACTTTGCAGCAAATAATAAAAACGAACAAAGAAACCCTGAGAGCTCTGGGATGGGGATTCTGACTTATTAAGACTGGAGATGTTGAATGCAGGAGAAAAGAACAGGCTGTTCTTACGGTAAATGGACTTGCCACTTGGCCTGGTCATGCTGTTGGCTTTGTTGAAGCTGCTCTCAGTTTCACTGTGGAGGAAACAAATAGACACAAGGGGTTGAAATGTTCCCTAGGTTTTAAAATGTCTAAATATATCCACCTTACATGCCTTAAATTCCCTCACCCTTCATCACTACTAGGTAAAGGTAAAAGGGCCCCTGACCATTAGGTCCAGTCGTGACTGACTCTGGGGTTGCGGTACTCATCTCGCTTTATTGGCTGAGGGAGCCGGCGTACAGCTTCCGGGTCATATGGGCAGCATGACTAAGACGCTTCTGGCAAACCAGAGCAGCGCACGGAAACGGCATTTACCTTCCCGCCGGAGCGGTACCTACTTATCTACTTGTACTTTGATGTGCTTTCGAACTGCTAGGTAGGCAGGAGCAGGGACTGAGCAACAGGAGCTCACCCCGTCGCAGGGATTCAAACCGCCGACCTTCTGATCGGCAAGTCCTAGGCTCTGTGGTTTAACCCACAGCGCCACCCACGTCCCTTCATCACTACTACATGGAGTCAAAACTGGGTACTGATGGCATCTCCCCACAAGTAGGGATGCTGCAGCATCCATCTCAATGAGCCTTCAGGGGATCCTGATAGCAGGAACTCAGTTAACAAAGCTCAAATCCCCACTCAGCCAAGAAGCTCACTGGATTGCCTTGGGACAGTCGCCATCTCTCAACCTAACCCATCTCACAAAGATGTTGCAAGGCTAAACCCCAGGTTGCTTGGAAGAAAGGTGGGAAATGCGAATAATAAACAAAAAAGCAAACAAACCTTAACTAGCAACAGGGCTGAAAAGAGGCATATTTTAAAACTGCCATGGGAACTATGTAGTATTTTGTATTTGCAAACCACAGAATCCTAATTAGAACTTGGCATCTTCCAAAGAAGGAACATAAAAGGTCTAAAGTTTTCAGAATCAAATTCTTCCTGATGAAGAAAGACTCTTGTCCACATGCAAGAATGAATATAACGTGAAGAACAGTTGGTTGTGGCAAGCAGAGTCCTCCAGTGGTATCAAATGGTATGAAAGATATGCATAAACTTGCTTGTAACAAATGTCATTCCTATGGTGAAAGAGATCTGCCATCTTCCTGACTTTTGATCCTGTGGATTATACATCAATTATATCTCCAGACAGATGCCCAACACTCATGTCTATCTAATCAATATTTCAGGTTTGCATGAAAGAAGTAGTGGGATGTGGTAAACTTCTCTCTATTAAAGACTTTGGATCAAATTGTGAACTCCTGTACATCTAGCTGCCCACTCAAATCTATTCAGAGGCTGAAATACAGCTAAGGAGAAAAAGAAATAGAACTAGCAAAAATCCAAAATAGAAGAAGAAAGAAAAGAAGGGAAAGAAAAATGAATGGAAGGAAAACAACACAGAAAAACAACAACCTGAACACCATCAGATGGTCCTCAGTACTGCTTCCTTTTTATACTGCATATTTATATGCCACATCATCCTTAGGCCATAGGGATGGTGGAGAATTTTTATTCAATTCACACTTAAATATTCCTTAATTTGCACTCTCTGAAATAATACAAGGACTGAAACACAGCCACCCTGTGGAATTCACACTTCTCTGAATTTTGCAATGCAGCCAAAGAATGTGTATAAAAAGGCATATACCAGAGTAAAGTGTGCATACACATTCACTTATTAGTGAACTAATATACATAAATGCATAATTGTAGGGATATTTTCTTTGCAAAAATGTGTACATTAGGAGAAATTCACACTAAGATGCTGGTGAATTTTCATGAAAACCTTTTTTAAAAAAAATGAATAAATTCACATGCTGATGTTAAAACGTGAAGAACTGAACTTAAGACTGGAAAAATAAGAAACCGGGAAGAAACTGAAAGATGTGCCCACCCTTATTAGTCACCAAGTCCATTAATTATGTTTACCTTGCACAGTTGAGCTTTGCATGGAAATGTCACTCATTGTAAATCGAGCACTTCACAGCCCTTTGGACTTTCTGCTTATGCCCCCACACTTGACGTTTCTCTGTGTGATTACATATATACATATGCACACATACACATAAACCAGCTGGGATAAAACCTCATGCGGCCGACAAAATGGGCTTTAATCCATGAAAACTTAGTGCCACAAATCCTCCTTATTTTCTGTGTGGTGTAACTAAGAGTGGCTTGCTTCACATGCCACACCACATCAAATGTGGAAGTGTTTCAGTTTCCCTGAGAGCAGGTTGCACCCTATTTTGCTTCAACCCAGTTGTTTTGCTGCTGTGCCACACTGAACTAATCCATTGTTTGGGCTTAGTGTGTTGTCCAAGTCCAGGCTAATAGTTTACAGCTCATTGTTTGCCTGGGAGAGCTAAGTGGTGAGCCCGGGTTCAAATGACACCCTCAGCCAAACTATGGCTTAGCTCAGCACAGCGGGCAAAAGGCCAATGAAGAGGAAAGCAACCACAATATCCTTTCCCAGAGCTTGCACACCTACTTACACATTCATGCCAAGCCATAGTTTAGCTTACTGTGCCATGGGAACTAGGCCATAGTTACCTCTCCTCAAATTTGCCTAATTATCAATAATATTTTATGGCTGAGTCTTATGTTTCCAATTATACAATAGCGGCCTTTAGCAGCCATGGGCGCTCTTAAGAGCCAAGCAGTTTGTTCCATCTCCATATTCCAAATTGCTGGGATGTCAGGACACCAGGAATCAATTATATTTAGGGTATTTCCAGCCAGAAAGATTTGTACGAGGACAACAGGAAGCTTCCTCCTACCAGGCCAGTTTGTTTGTTCATTTGTCTCCAGTAACTGGCAGCAGTTCTTGAAGATCTGAGGATTTCCCCTTGCCCCCTTCAAGCTGATCCTTCTAACTAGAGAGAACAGGGATTAAACCTCAGACTTTTTGCGTGCTGAGCACACACTCTACCACTATGCTACGGCCTCTCCCATATGTGGGGTTGAGCTGGAGAAGGGGATGTGGCCATTCCCTTTGTATGAAAGGCAAAAGCACAAGCAGTTCTTTTTGATACATGTATAGATTATTTTAAACCCCACTTTCGTGCAAATTTCAGCTTCAGAACATCCCTTCCACTGTATGGAAAGTCACTCTATTCCTCCCTTCCCTTTAGACACCGTGACAAACACTCCCTGGAAATGGGATTAGCTGTACCTGGAAGTATGAGAAAGCAGAAGGACAGGGAAATCTGAGTACCATCAGCGAGCGGCTAGGAAATGGTGAAGCAACTCACCTTCTCAGTTGCTGCAGCGATAGCTCCTACTGTAGAACAAGCGCAAGGACCCCCTCTGCTGCGCACAGCACCTGAAAGCAGAGCAGGGAAGGAGTCGACTGGGTTGGATACATAGCTTCGAGTTTAGACTTTGCCCCCTCTGTGAAAGAAACAAACAAACAGAGTTAAGGTCTGAAAGGCGTAGAGCAATTCATATCCGTCAGGGCTTGACTGCTTGTGACGCAGAGGCTACACCTTGTGCTCTTTGGTCTCTCGTGTATAGAAAGAAGCAATCCATCCTATTCAGTACTGTTGATGTTGCCACCACTGCCATGTACATCTACTACACTGTGGCCATTTCAGTGTCATACCTCCTGTTCATAGACCCCCTCAAACCACAACCAACTCTGCTTGTGCCAGAACAGTCCTTACTTAGGAGAGAGCACACTGATGTAGTCAAAAACATCTGGAGGATGCCAGGTTGGTTAAGACAGTCTTATGGGACTAGGGCTCCTTCCCTCTCCCAGGAAGGGCCACACCCATTTCCTATTTGTTTTCAAATAGTGGGCCATTTGCAAAACATTCCCCAGGGGAGGACCGAAAGCCTCCAAAAGTTTATGGGGAGCTCAAAAACCCAAAAATTGCAAACATTTCTCAAAAACTCCTTTTCTGGGGGCAAAAATCCAACTTGCATAATGTTCGTTGAAACTCTGTTGTTCGTTCCTTTGGGTAGATGAAGGCAGCAATGGGCTAAGAGAGAAGGGCAGGGAGGAGTCAGGGTCAATGGCATTGCTCCCTTCAACAACACTAAAATAATGTTAAATCCTATGAAAAATAAGACCCATAACTGGTCTCAGGGATGGTGAAACTGAGGAGGCCATTTTGCTGAACATTCTCCATGAGAGGAATAATATTCCTCAGCAGTTCAGGAGATTCTCAGACAAGAAAATATGAAAGAATTTGTCAGAATATTCCTTTCTGAGGAAATTTGTATCATCCCTAGGGACAAAATCCATTCATTTTGAAGAGTTTGCTATGAAAAGGAATAATCCCAATGAGCTACGCAGATTATATATTCTTCAAATCCTTTGTAAGGTTTTAAAGAAACGTCACTCTGCAACTATGAATTGTGCTTATCCGCAACTAACCTCCACTCCCAAGAATTAAAGACAATTTAACCTTGCATCACTTCTGCCTATGGCCTATGTCTTCTGATAATCCTTATTTCTTTTCTGTTACCTCTGGGTGAATCTCTTCTATACTTTTGCTAGAACTTTTTGTATTTCTGTGTACCCACCTCCAATGTGCAATTTCCCATCAAGTTGAAAAATGTGCATAGCAAACAGCCCTAAGGCTTTCTGCCTTGCTGTCTGGTTTCTGTCAACTTTCCCCCTGGAGATTTGGTGGTCAAGAATGTGACATCTAGTAAATATCAGCCATTCATGCTAACCAAAGGGCCAAGTGAATGAGGTGGTTGCCAGTGGAAGATTCTTCTGGTGTTTGGACTACTGACTCAGCAAGCCAGAGGGCCACCCCCAGGGCCTATCCTTGCCACTTCAAATAGCAGGCCAAGGCATTTGCAGGATGAGCAGGGCATGTAGCCCACAGGAGAGCAGAAACAAAGCACCCCTCTTTTGTTCTCACTCCTGATTTCTGTACTTCTGGTTTAGTGCCAAACCTCACTGTATGACATTAGGTCTGCATGACAGCACAGCTCAATTAAATGGCAACGTGTCCTCCTTGCAAAATTGGAAGTAACTTGGATGCAGCTGCAATAGTTGTGTTGCTCAGATATAAAGCAGGGAGAAAGCACAGTTCAGGAACCAGAGCCAAGTCAGACTTGGTAATATGATCTTCATATTAATTCATTCACCTGTGACTCTAGCCTTAGCCTATGCAAACCACCCACTCTGGCCCCAAGAGACTTGGATACTTCAGTTATCAAAGGCACCATAATCTGTCATTGTTTTGAGGGTGGATTTAACTGGAATACACACATCTTGCATTGCAGACCTGAAAAAGGAAATTCATCATAAAAACTGTGTATTCTAATATGTACACAAATGTAGAAATAATTACTTTAACTAGAAACAGAAACACAAGATTTCTCACCATAATAGGGAAGACTGACTGGGAAGAGGGATTGATTGTTAAACCACTATCAGAATTGTAGTTCTGTGAGGGTCTCTTCGTATAAATAAGGGTTTGTTAACAACTGTCAGCATCCCTAACAAACTACGTTTCACAAGATTCTTTGGGGGCAGGGGAAGCCATGAGTGCTTAAAGTGGCATAATACTGCTTTAAGTGTGTTGTACAGAGGGGGCATTTGTTAAAACCCATCCCTGTTAGTCTGCTGTTCATCTCTGCAGTGACATCTGCAGGTGGATTCTTGCAAAGGGATATGCCTTGAAATAAAGTAGCAGTGTGACCAAATGCCAAAATCGTCTACGTAACCTGCCATGGTGAAACAGAACAGCTTATTTTATATATACATATAGAAGTATTTCTATACTGCCATATCATAAAACACCAAGGTGGTGTACACCGCTAAAACATAAAACTTCTTCTTTTAAAAAATAAAATTTATTTTAAAATACAAATACTTATTAAGGTGACCAGCTAATCAAAAAATTAAACAGCTGCAAAGGCCTGCCCGCGCACACACCGTTTTCAAGAGACACCTGAAAGTTAGCAGCACAGATGTTTGCCGAATCTCTTCTGGCTGAGGGTTCAACAGCATGAGACACCAAATGTCTGACTTGTAATTGAAGCAAGCCTGGCTTATGAGACACTGGGGGATAAAATTTGATAGCACTATGGCTAGTGAGGGCAGCTGCCTGAACCCACTGAGTATTGAGACAGGAAATTGAATCTATCCCTCATATGATAAGGCGATCAAGATTTCGATCAGAGCTGTAATCTTTTGGAATTGTCTTTGTGGAGCAGTCATGGGGACAAGGAATGTCATTGCATTTAAGCCAGAGGGTGGACAGAAATGACCGTGGACATGTCATTGGAAAGCCGGCCTCACCCTGCTAAATGGAACAGAGCACTTCATTGCACATCAAGGAGCATATGTGTGGCAAAGTGTCCATCTGAATAATTTTATAAAGACTTGCCTTGTCATTCTGTGTTTTGCTGTCTCTGTTTGTGGGCTGTGCTCACGATAGAATGGGGCCTCATCTGCCCACTTTCATTCTCTCTACTTCCTCTGATGCAAAACTCACCAAATTTTTGGGACCAGTGGGCACACCTGGAATTGCTGATGAAGTGATGTGAGTGCTAGCTCACAAAAAGGCTGCCACGAGGCAGGAGAGAAGACAAAATGGCTGCCAAACCTACAAACAGGACCACAGTGGGATGCAGGTGTGCCCCCTCCCCCACATCAATGGAGGGGGAAAGAGGACCTGCAAAAGCTGCCGCTGTACTCACTCAGATATAAAACCTTTGCACCTCTCCTCTGTTCAAAACAGAAGGGAGGATGAATGTCCAATCCTTACAGCCAGTCCAAAGTGGGCATGTTTAAGGGAACACCTTCAATGTAAGGGAAGCTGAGAGAGTGCAAACAGGAACTGAGCAGGAAGAGTAAACAGTCTCTTGTGCATTGTGGACTTCTGAGGAGAGTTTTCCTGAGAACTTTTGTGTGTGCCATAGGAGGTACTGATGGCCACACAGGTGCCCAGTGTTGGCAATCCTTACATGAGGCATCAGAGACAGTGCCAGCCAGTGGCAGCACATTGCTGTAGAAAGTTTGGGGGCTGGATTTTCCTGAGACTCAGGATCTGGTTTGTCACAATATGTGAGGATGGGGGTGGGTGGGCAAAGATTCTTATAGGTCAGAGTGACCTGCTGCGTGGGCTTCCCTTTTCCCTTTCTACTGCTTCGCTTACTTGCGTGTGCCATTCACTCCACAATAGGGATTTCAATCTTAGTTGCTCGCGTTGCACAAATTATATTGTGGGTCGTGACTGCAGAGCTTGACCTGCAGGAGGGTGGAATGAGCCTCACTTTGTATACAGGTTTGGACTAGATGGAGCTTTAGCAATAATTCTATGATTGAGCCCAGGCTTGATCTCTATTGTTTGCTTCTTTTGATCTTGCCTGCAAGTAATCATGAGTTAGTCTGCAGGAGAGGGCCCTTGACTTCCCCAGCCAGCCAGCCAAATGCCGTGTTGCTATGGCACCCAAAGAAGGGAAGAATGCCTGCTCAGTAACTATGGAGACTCATTTCTACATTCCCACTTGGTGCTTTAATGACGCTAGATATGGACACAGAGCTTGTACACACTTGCCTCCATTTTGGAGAAAATTCCAAAGAGAAAGAAGTAGTAACTATTCTTTGTAACATTTTGCCATACAGATGCACACTGGCTGGGGTTTCCATTTCCTAAAAATGTCAAAATGTTTATCATCTCAACTTGGAGCTAAACTCATGAACAGTTACATTTAGTTATTTCCAGATTCTATTTTGCTTATAATTAATATTTATTAAATTTTCAAAAAATAACAAGTAACAACAAAAATTTCCAAAAAAGTTTGAAAATACAAAAAAAACACAAAAATAATACAGAGATAATAAAGAGAAAAAAAAAACCCAGCCGCAAAACAGAAAAAAAGAAAAACAGAAAAACAGAAATATAAAATCCTTTACGATCTCCATTAACTTCCTTTCTAGACTTCCTCCTCCTTCCCTCTCTTGTTTCTTAGTATTTAATTTTTACAGCAAATCCTTTCTGTTTTTTCATAACAATCTATCATTGCGTTTCCTTATTCTATTTTCCCTCTTGTCATATAAAAACTTTAAAACTCAAAGCTTATATTCCATATTTAGCAAATTCTTACATCATTACCTTTTTTCAAATCATTTACCAATCCTTACTTAAGTCATATAATTTCATTCAACATCCTTCAAACATTTATAAACATTCCCAATATTAAAAAATAAGAAAGAAAAAACAATAAGTCAGATTCAATCCAGTCAACTTCCAGCCTCCCCTCCCTGGACCCGGGATTGTCAGTCCTTTTAACCTCATTAATCCGGCTCCTTAACCTGGTTGTCTCGTATCCGAGGCCCTCAAGTCTCTTTCTTGCCCCTTTCGCCACTCTTGTTGATATTTCCTTTCAGTCGTGGATACTCCAGCAAAAGATGCTTTT